TTTCTAATAGTTGAGAACTCCTCGGATTTGGAGGATTTGGGACTTTTCCTGTATTTCCTATTATTCTACTGCTTTTTCGCTGAGGAGTCTGAGAGGGGGTGTGGGTGGCAGGCCTCGCCGGCCCGTCACGTGGGCTGACGGCCGCCACCACTGGTCTTAGCCAGCCTCCACAGCCCTCTAGCCAGTTAGTTAGTTCTTCCAACCAACAACACCACTTTTCCCATTCTGAGCGTTCTGTGCTGGTTTCGCCCACAGCTAATAAAGCAAGACAATGTAAATCAACCGGAGGGCGTGGAGAGCAAACGCATCAATCAACACCCCCCGAACTGAATCGAAGAAGCCATTACGCCCTAAGGGGGGGAGTAGCACAAGCTACGGACAGAGCAAGAAAGTGAGAAAGACGTTTGAAGAAGAAGAAGAAAAAAAACCTCCGAGGCCGAGGCATCTCGGCGTCCCTGAAGACGCCGTCAACTGTAACAGACACTATACAATGCGCGATGTGCGTTAGCTGCAAATGGCGCGAGAGGGAGGGGGAGGAAGGGGAGGGGGGGAAAAAAAATTACAGAGCTTGAGGCGATTCGACCTTGGATGCGGAGAAGGATGGAAATCCTGGGGAACTTCTTGGGAACCCATGTCTTGTTGCAACTTGGTCTTCAAAGGCCCTCTCCAAAAAAGTGACATCAAGGGTCTCCTGTCAGTTGTCCTTTTTAGGCTTCAGAAGCGAACATTTCTTCCCACCCAGTCCAAGGCATCAATTGCTACACAACTGATCGACATTGGTATACTACTATCGTTACGTTGGTTGGAATTAGCCGCGGTTTCAAGCGGTGGTCGGCGTCACTGGTCTGCCTGATGAACATCGGATGGATCGTTGGCGGTTACAATCAAAATCCCGCCCAAGGACAGACATTGTTTGCTTCTGTGGGATCTATTATCGAATGTCCGTGGTGTGTGTTCGGTCTCGGTCTCGAAAGAGACTCTGCTGAGGGATCTGGGCCCAAAGGACTTTTTCCCGCCTCTGGAGGATGCGCCGAGAGATAGATGACCCTGCCACCAGTCCACCACGAAGCGTCAAAAATCTCGTGGGACTTGCATAGGCGAACGACAGATTCGTAAGCCGGTGTGACGGTTTAACGGCTAGCTGCGTGTGGCCGGCCCTCTGGAAGCGGTGCTGATCGGCTGTGAGAACCTGCAAGGTCCCGCGAAGCTCACATAGAAGCCAGAGAAGGCTATGTGGCCTGTTTTGCCGGCCTGCTCTCCGCGTCCTTGCAATAGGCAACTTCTCACTCTCCTGCTGAGAGGCGTAGATGCGCATGTTCAAAACCGGACATATTAACTCAAATTTGTTGGGCCAGGGATGCCCAGAGACTTCCATCACCAACGACCGAATGTGGGCCAAGTACCACACCTTTTCCTGTTCGACACTGTGATCCTGCAGCCTAGGATGGCGTTGGTAAAAACATGCTCTGGTGCTGGCCCTCTCATCTTTCGTCTTAACCAAAAAAGCTCGGGCTCCCGACCTTCATCCCATCATTTCAACCTTCGCGAGGCCCCCGACATCACGCCACCATCACCAGCTCCCATTAACCGCTTCTTCAGCGGCGGTAGCTCTTGATTACAAAACCGTGACAAACCACCATTTCCTTCATTCGTTTACCTTGGAGCCAACCCGCTACTGCTGAGTCGTTTTACAGGCAAGTTGTTACAGGCGAATGGTGACATCGATCGAGAGTTGCAACAGTGATACAACGTCAACTCCTAGCAGGGAGGACCCCCAAAGATTTGGCACATATGGGCGACCGGTTCCTCAGGTACCGCCTGTAGTTCCGACGTTCCTGTAGCCGACGTTCTCTCTACCGGAGGAACCCTACTGCCATTCAATGGTAGCTAGGCCGGCTTCCAAAATGGGACCGTTGTTTCACCTATTTTTCCCGGTTGAGCACTGCAAGATATCGCCAACAAGCAACCCACCTCCATAAAGAGACGAGTAGCACTGTTGTGGTGCGGCTCGAGTGGCATTCCCTGTCGCAACTCCGCGTTGCTTGGACCCAGTGTTCTCCCCATGACCATGGTAAACAGGACAATGGTTATAACGTCCATTCCTATTATAGCGCGTCTTCTATGGATGCATCAAAACCTGCCCACCATATTTTTGCTTTTTCCTGTCGTGCCAAGTTCCGTTACCTAAGTGTAGAACCGATAAAAGACACAGCCTACTGGCGTGTTGTGACGATCTTGAATGGAACCGACTTGCTGAGCGTAGCCGATGGAGACGAAGCGTTCACGGCGTATAAGCCGTATGCCAACGGATCGCAAGTTTTGTTTCACTTTTATGTTTTATTTTGGGTTTTTATTTTGTTTTAATCGTCGGGTCTCCGGTGCGGCGACTCTCAAAATAAGCCGGACATCCACCATGCGGCCAGCCGTCACTTCCCGGGGGCGGACTCATGGTTTCGTAACATCCCACACCGTCTCCATGTGCCGAGCTGATCGTCGAAGCCGGGCTGAACCCAGATACGATTTGTAAATTCCCGACAGCCATCTCGAATGGCGCGTAACATGGCTCCACGTCGGCCTGTCAGAGTTTGCTTCCGGCGCTCGGACGGTAGTGATCAGCAAGAAGAAGAAGGGGAACCGTACACGAAGAAAGAAAAGTCTTCTCTGCTGCGCTCAGACTCGTATGTTGCAGGCGGGCCCTTACTCTGCAGTAGTGCCTCACTTGGGCACCACCTCATCAGTTGGCAAACTGAGCAGATCCATATGGGGGCATGGTAAGGTTCAGACGTTGGTCAAACCAACTACCACTCCTCTCATTCCTCTCACTGTCTCGTTTTCGTTCTTGGAAAGCCTATGCGCTCGGCCAGGACATCGGTGCCATTACGCGGGTGCCGTTCGACTGGCGGCGCGACTGAAGACATGCCAGAATAGAACAGAGCTGACGTAAAGGCTGTGATCGAACTGCATTGTGGAGTGGCGGAAGATAATGAACGTAGGACGTGGCTTGCGGGCTCGCTTTTTTTTGATGTTTGAGGTTCGCAAAATGTCCTTCTCAACCGGTCTGGCTTTACTCAAGGCAAGCATAAGGGGCCAGACTATCTTGCTTGCCATTCCGATCCTCAACCGGGGACTTCCGCCCCCGATTGTCGGGTAACATATATTAAGCCGGGACATTTGTGTGCCCAAACCTGCATACACTGAGACGTCGAGCAGGACATCGTTAGTGGAGAGGCTGTCACGCCCGCATGTGTTGATAAACCTGCAGTAGCTGACTGCCTAGATGAACTCAAAAATAACGAACGAAACGGCTGGGAGCTATGGCCTCATAACCTACCTCCTTTGATGGGGCTCGGCCTAGTTAGGACAGGTTGTTGGTGATCACCAACACACAAGCATGGAAAATCGAGGTATATTATGGAGAACGCTGAACGAAGCTGCGTTTGGGTAGCAACAACGAATGGCGTGAGGTTGAATAAAGTTTGTGTGTTAGTTTTCCCACGAATCCAATCTGCCTCGTGTCTTTCTTTCTTTGAAAAGATCTCTGCTCAATGGGGGCTTCCTCTTCCGCCTTACGCGCCTTGGCTAACCCAAGTTGGATTAACCTGAAGACAATCCGTGAAACTCAGAATGTCCGGCACAGGCTCACTTACCGCCTTGTTCCAGGTCCGTTCAATTGTTAGCAAGTTAACTAGATTCACTGAGACCAAAAGAGGGAGAAAGTTCGATATGTGACGTAGCTCCGTCACAGCTTGTCATGTGGCTATTGGTCTTACTGACGTGACTTGCTGCTGCCAAATTCGCCGATACAATTTGGAATCCATGAGCTCCTCTACCAGAGCCACCGTAGAAAGTTGTTTTGGTCAGCTGTCACGTAGGTGCCCTTGCCATCTTTGCTTTGGCACCTTGAATGGTCGATACAGGGCAACTCACTGTACGTGTGAGCTATAGAGGCATGGGACTTTGAGAACTGTTCATAACACTCCTTCCTTCAAAGCAACGTCTCAATTTGGTAGTCTATTTGCGGATGGCATGCCGACCGAAACCCAGATGCTTGTTCGGATATACACTGTAGTCACTATTGATGACGGCCCAGCGATAGCTTCGAAAGTTGTAGCAGTTGCCAAGGTGACAGGCCCGACTCTCGTTGAGCCATTTTATAATAGGCACCTATCTGTAAGCTACGGACCCGGGTCTCTGCCGACTCTGTGCTATGTGCCTTTGTACACCCCAGAGAACACACTAGTGGCGAGGATCAAGTAGAGGAGGGAGCTCGTAAAGACTGAAGCTTTCGGTCCGCCTGTTTCTTCCGATTTCCAGTTTCGACGGCGTTGAATCAGCTAACAAGCCATAGTCGATGAAAATCATACTTCTACCCGGGAACGGAACCGCGGTGCCGGAGACGATGGAATAAGAATGCAGTAGTGAGGGCCAACATGCCGGGGAAAAGCTAATATGATGGACGCTACAACTGGAGCCTGCATTGGCTCCTAGCCATGGTCGTCCCGCAAAGCCTGAAGCCGTCTTCGGGAAGCAGAGGCTAAGGAAGCTAGTGTTTTGATGGACACTTGCTAAAAGCGCTGGCCCAGATTTTGGGACGTCTATAGTAGGCTGGCTCTACTGGAGCGCCGTCAAGTTTGTGCTCTGGAGGGGGGAAAAACGAAACAACCAAGCAAGGCTTTGTAAGTCTGGCGATGTATCTGTCCTCCGACCTGTCTAGCTAGACCTTTCGGGCCCCTTACGACATAGCACTTGTGCTGTATCAACCGGCTGCCATTGATAGGGGCGTGAACGAGCCAAAGAGCAACCGGGAACCCAGGACACAACAACAAAAATTTAGATACCTGTTCATGATCTCATTTAGTTTTCATTTGGACAATTTTACTCAAAAGTTACACTGGTTAATCACAGGCCCAAACCCCTTTTTCTTAGAAGGAGAGATGTTTGTTTGTATAACAACAACAAGAAAAAAAAAAAGAAAAAAAGAGATGGATTCAATGCTTGCTTCATTTCCAAAACCAACTGCCCTTTTCGTTAGGGTCATTCTCTTGTGGATGGTCCCTCTTGCTTCCAGACCCGGTAGAAAAGCTTGCTGACCAGGTATAATCGGAGCGTTTCTCCGTCTGCCTACTGACCTCCTCACCCTTGTCGTTAAAGGTTGTGATGGTCTTGGTGACACTGATGTTGCCCTTTCCGTCGTCACGTTCCTGTACATTTTGTATTACTCTCCAGCCCGGAGGAAGACCTTCCGTAGATAGGTCGTTGGTGTTCGAACCCGCCGTTCCACCGGTTTCTGTTTGCCCTGAACCACTGAAGCGGGCCTTACCCATAACTGAAAAATACGAATCCTCTTCCGTTTCCTTATGTTCCTCTTCGGCGCGATGTTGTGTCTCCCGCTGGACGTCCTCTGACCTGTTCTCTTCAAACTCCTTCGGAGGATTTCCTTTTGGGGTGGGAAGAGCCTTCCGCTCATGAAAAGGATCATCCTGTTCCTGCAACCAGCGCTGCCATCTCTCACTGATGGCTCCCTCGAGCACATCTGGTCTGGGTGCCCAGCCGTCCCAAAGGCCCTGACGTGTGAGTTGGTGAAGCCAGAGGATAGGGGGTAGTCCTTTGGGGAAGGATTCTCTCCATTCCTTCTTGACGCGATGCCTCTCGTCGATGTCCGGGAGGCCCTGGCCGCTGCTCACCATCAGGAGGTCCTCAAAGGCGTCCTCAAAGCCAAACAGGCTTGGGTCGGCGCCTGCAGGAAGGTCTTTGGGGGTCGGCTGTGGCATGTCGCGAAGCATCAGGGGTGAATATGGGGATTCTATCAGGAACGAAATCCACATCGCCTGGTAGAGGGATTCGGTAAACTCCTCCGCCCTGAAGAGGGCTTGCATAGGGGACATGGCTGAAAAGAGCTCAAAGACGGTTGGCTGGGGGAACGGAGAAGGCGACGATCGAGGCTGAAGACTGTCATCCGGAACGGCTCTGCGTTCATCGTCTTGAGGTCTAGGAGGTTCAGGCCAGCGGCCATTCAAATTGCGTGTGACTGCGGTCGGTATGCCCAGCACGCTATGAAAAACAGAGGCAACATGGTTGTCAACTCTTTGCTTGAAACGAACGAAGAGGTTGTCGGAAGGAGGATTGTCCGGCATGTTGCAGGTATGCGATGTGTTAGCGAGTAGAGATGGGATGTCTTAGTTGAAAATTCGAGGCTCGTGGGATCGGGATTGTCTCAGTTGATGAGAAGCGTGTGAGTGTGAGATCAGGTGTGTGCAAGCAATCGCGGAAGACATCCGGACGCGAAGAAGGCACCTAAATCTTCATCGACAACGAATTGAGAAAGCGACGTCGTGACTGAAGTCTCATGAATATGACGAAGTATATCAGATCAGATCAGACCAGCTCTCCCGGTGGCAAGCCGTGATGGCGGGGTGGGAAGGTAAGTCCAATGAGGTGGGCAGTTGAGTTCGGAGACTCTCAAGGTCCGATAATCCCCAACAACTCTCTGAGAGGGTCGCCGTGACCCAGCAAGAATACCCTGGAAATATCCAGTCAAGTGCCCCCGCCCGAAAATGGCTACGGCGGATAACGGACTGAGCCACAACTTAGCACTGGGTACCCCTGCCCAAAGCACGTGTTGTGACGAGAGGCTCGCATTCCAGTTGGCTGCACCAGCCTCATACGTAGTACAACCAGTGTCTACCAAGTGCCAACAAAACGTTGTAGAGACAGGGTGCACGGTTCATTCCACCAGCACAACTCACAGTACAAAATACCCTTTTTTTTTTTTTCCCTTTTTCCCCGGCTTGTACACTAGGACATGTGAACCTGAACGTACGGGCGCCACGAAATGACAACATATTGCAGCAGAGTTGGCTACCCCACCTCAGTGCTGAGCCACACTTTACAGAGCCAAGGGCCATTTCCGCCAGCCGGTGCTGCCCTCAGGGACCTTTTTTTTTTTTTTTTTTTTTTTGGCATAGGCCCCTGGAGGCTTTAGCCAGGAATGTGATTGATTGTGGGACGTGCCCAGACCCACGTCAGAGTCGGGTCGGTCCTGGCTTGCCGACCGATGCGTCGAGTATCGGACCCAGTTCAACGCTGCGTGTTATGCGTGTTGCGTTGCGTGTGTGAGAAAAGACGAGGAAAGATCAGAAGAGGAGTAGGTTACAGGCCCAGCGTCAGCCAAGTGCCATCACAGCTGGTCAACGCCGCCGAAACCTGATCTGTCTTTGACTCCTTTTTTCCCCTTCTTTCACCCAAAAAATATCTATCTTGCAACGCAGATCCTCATGGCTGGCTACGAAGATTTGCACCCCAGATCTTGACTCCATTTTCCGACGTCCAAGCCCAGATGAGACGACAGTTGCCCGAGTCCAACACCATCCGCCGCGCTTGGATGCCCGGCGAATCATTTAGTTGCGCCGTCGTCATTCACGTCAGCCTCGCCTAACTAGCACCTCTTTGTTTTTTTGTTCTTATTTTCTTTCCCTTGACCTTCGAGGACAGGAACAAAAACTGGTTGTGAACCCGCATGCGAGGCGATCTGCTGGTATCCTCATAAATCCCCCCCTACCCAGCGGCCATGACTGCAGCTTCTGTGGTGATCGCCGCCGACCCTGCGGCACGACCAGGTCGCGGCAACGGCGGCGATGATAAGGACCTGCAAAATTGGTCTTCGCTCATTGGTATTATCACCGCCATTGTCGGCAACATTCTCATCGCGCTCGCTCTTAACGTTCAGCGCTACGCACATATTCGACTGCATCGAGAGCGCGCCCTGCTTCGGCGGAGAGCGAAAGAAGCCTTGAAACATGCGCAGAACGGAGGCCAAGCCGGTCCCTATGGCTCTGTCGGCGTCGGCGGTGATGGAGGCCGGCTCGAAGAGCAGCAAGAAAACGGACATCACGATACCGGCGAATCCGAACCCCTGACGAGATCGTTCCGCTCCGAAGACTCCATCGGTTCCGACTATTCCGGCGACGACGAAAAAGCCTCCTCCACATATCTTAAATCGCCGTACTGGTGGATGGGGCAGATCCTGATTACCTTGGGCGAGCTTGGTAACTTTTTGGCATATGGCTTTGCTCCCGCCTCGATCGTCTCGCCTCTGGGTGTTGTCGCTTTGATATCCAACTGCATCATCGCGCCGATACTCTTCAAAGAGAAGTTCAGACAACGCGACTTTTGGGGGGTCATTATTGCTGTCGCAGGCGTCGTAATCGTCGTCCTGAGCGCCAAGCAAGAAGAAACCAAACTAGATCCGCACGATGTCTGGGATGCCATTACGACCTTGGAGTTCGAGATATACCTTGCCATTACGGTCTCTCTGATCATTGTACTCATGTGGGCGAGCCCGAGATACGGCCATAGAACAATATTAATTGACTTGGGTTTGGTTGGTCTATTTGGTATGAGCTTTCCACTCTCAACATCACCGCTGATACCGGGCAAATTGCTGACTGACATCTTCGCCAGGTGGCTTTACCGCTTTATCTACCAAGGGCGTGTCTTCGATGCTCTCGTCAACTCTTCTGGGAGCTTTCAAAACCCCCGTCACCTATGCCCTTCTCTTCGTCCTCCTCTTCACCGCCGTTATGCAAGTGCGATACGTCAATAAGGCACTACAAAGATTCAGTTCCACCCAGGTCATCCCCATCCAGTTCGTCACGTTCACCCTCTGTGTCATTATTGGCAGCGCCGTCCTTTACAGGGACTTCGAGAGGACATCGACCGAACAAGCCGTCAAGTTTGTTGGTGGCTGTTTGTTCACCTTCTTTGGCGTCTTTCTCATTACTAGTGGCAGGCGAGAGGAAGATATGGACGACGGCGTATCCGATGCCGACGGTGCGGAGGAAACGATTGGCCTGGCCGAACAAGATCCTGCGCAGCCGCTCCCGCCTTCATCCGTCTCGATTTTATCAACATCGCGCCGGTCTTCAAAGGCTTCCATCGGCTTCCCCACGAATAATGGGTCAAAGCCTTTTAGTATGCAGCATGACTCTGGAATCCCGTCGCTTCGGGTTCCGGCCGCGGCTTCGGCCGGAAATCTTGTTGGCACTGAGTCCGAACCCCTGTTAGCCAATCCATGGAGTAACGCCGCAGACGAGATTCTCCCTCCGCCCGGCACACGAACAATCTCAGATGACTCCATAGCCACTTTCCCCGTCTTGGGTTTCTCTCCATCAGAGCCAGTAACCCCGATTTATGACGGGCATTTACAACCTGGTCTCACTGATAGACCGGTAACCCCTCGCCCATCCATGCCCAGTCAGCGACCTCACAGCCATCAGTACCCGGGGCCGCTGTTTTCCCCGTCCCCGCTATCTTCCACAGTCAGTGCAGTGGTCAAGGACACTCTGCTTAGGAACGCAGAAAGTCCGTTGATGCGCAGAGCGTCCGTGAGAAGGCTACGGTCAAGTATACGAGCCAGTCTTTTTATGCCCGAGCACGAGGATGATGCAGACATCGACCCGGAAAGCCAGGATTTGATGGGTCGGTCTCACGGAAATGGAGATGGAGGGCCACCAGAGCGTACTCGAACAGCTGGCGAGGACGCTCCTCGAGGATATCAGACTGGGAGACCTCGAAGCCTAAGTGATACGTTGGGTGAGTTTTTTAGGGTAAAGAGGAAAAGAAGAGATGTCTACACCGACGCAGAAGAGGAGGAAGTGTGAAGCAGCCCAGGTTAGGGTTCCTGACTCAACGTTTTATTCGGGGTCGTTTATACATATATATATTTTTATATTTTACCAGGGGAGTTGGGAGGCATTATGGTTCATCAGCATTGCGTACAGGCGTTTCTGGCAAGGGCTCGGAAGGTTATTCGGATGCCACTCTCATCGTCCATCGCTTTGCGGCGTGTGGGATCAGATTCATGGGATGTTGGCTTTCTTGGGCATAGACATTGTATTAATTATTCCTTACATAGGGTGAGGCACGGATGAAATGGACCTTGTCTACAACAACACTGCAATCTGATCGTGAGAGTGACGTCTTTCCCTCCGGACCAAAAAGAAAAAAAAAAAAGAGAAAAGAGAACAATAACAGAATAGCGTATTCAGGCCATGTAACGACCTGTATGGATGCCGCAAAACAACAACCGTAATTAGACTTGGCAAGTTTGTGACTGACATTTGTAAACGGGTGCTCGTTAAGGTTAATTATCTTTTAGAAACTCTGGCTACTCCTGCCCAGGCCCATCATGCGTTGGGACCGAACATACTTCTCGCAACTCAAGCGCCACCCCTAGAGTGAGCCTTCTTCTTCCGCATCAAACGCTTTCTCGCAATCAACATTGGCTTGACGTCCTCACGATCGACGCCCGCCCCCTTCACAGGGCCGGATGATTCCTCTTCTTTTCCGTCCTTCTTCTCCTCCTTCTTGACACCCTTGTTCATATTGCCTTTCTTTCCCGGCTTCCCCTTCTTCTTCAACGAGGCCATCTTCGGCATGTCCTTGCCCTCGGCCTCAGACTTTTCGTTCTTCTCCTTCTCCGTTTTGCTGTCTTGGGTCTTCTTGTTGCGGTCCAGGTTCTTCTCGGCTGCCTTACGTCTGGCAACAACAGATGCGTTCTCGATGGCGAATTCGACGATGAGGCGATGCTTCATGCCATTTTCGTTCTCCAGCTGGTAACCGTTAAGAACGCGCAGGCCCATGAGCGCCCAGCGGTGTGATGAGTATTCGATGAAGCCATATCCACGACTTCTACCGCCGGCGGCCTCGGAAACCTTGGAACCTTCACGACTCTCGAACTCAATCTTGGCTTGACGAACGATACCCTTGCGCTTGACCTTGCGCTCGTGCTCGCCCTCTTTAGCTTCCTTTGCGCTTCTGACCTTCTCCTCCTTGGACAAAGGCTGGCGCTTGCCTTCCTTGACATCTGTAGCGAACTCGACACAGGCCTTGCGGGCCAGCTCCTTGAGCTCCTTGGAGCCTATATTGCGCGGAATGTTGCGCACAGCCAGACGGGTCAGACTGATGTGCAACGTAGGGTTGCTTTGGACGAGCTTCTTGCGCTGATTGGCACTCTGCTCTCTCATCTTGATTTCCGAGGGCGTAAGTTTCTGGTACAGTGAAGACCTTGTGTCGATCTGGCCCTCGTTCAGCAGGAAGAGACGACGCTTGTCCTTCTCGCGTCTCTTGGCGCTACCGTCAGCGGCCAGGCGCTCGGCGTCGTCTTTGCTTACGGCCTGAGCAACCTGCAGGAGTCTGTTGTCGAGGGTGTAGCGACCATCCTGATCTGCGGTCTCGTCCTGCAACACGGAGTGCTTGGTGGGCAGACCACTAGCTTGCGTGCGCGGCGCGCCCTTGATGCAAGCTCTCGCGTCTTCCTCCTTGACGAAGCAAACGAATCCAGTGCCGGCTGGTCTATCAGTCGCACGGTCCATGACGACGCGGGCGTACCTGACAGGGCCAAACTGGACGAAATGTGACTTCAGTTGCTCGTCAGTAACGGTGAATGGAAGATTCCTAATGAAAATCGTAGTTTTGTTATCGGATGATGTCTGCTTCTTGGGAGAGGACTTCTTATCTTCCTCTGAATCGGTGAGGTCCTCCTCCTCGTCGGAAAGATCGTCATCCTCATCATCTTCGTCCTTATCTTGGTTGTCGTCACTCTCCTCCTCGTCTTCAAGGTTATCCATGTGGTTCTTGAAAAAGTTTTCCAGGTCGGCGTCGGCATCTTCAGGGTCTTCGTCATTGTTGGAGTTCTGGGTGGGCTTCTCCTTCTTCGCTGGGGTCTCCTTCTTCTTGTTCTTGGGCTTTTCCTCTTCAGCAGCTCCTTCATCCTGATTTTGCTTCTCCCATTCACTCTTATCAACAGCCCAGTCGACTGCGATGGGTCTTCCATCGATTACCTTGCCATTGAGCGACTTAAGAGCAGTTTCGGCATTCTTGCGTCCCCTCAGAGTAACAAAACCGAATCCCTTGAGCTTGCCTTTGTTTTGTGGAAGGTCGGCAAATTTGACAATACCGTAGGCCCGGAAAAGAGCGGACAGCTGGTCAGATGTCTTGATTGTCCAAGGCAAATTGCGCACAATCAACTTCGGGGGTTTTCTGGCCTCCTCGAGTGCTTGCGCACGCTTCTGCTTTTCGCTGGAAGCGGCCGCTCCAACGGCACTCTCCTTGCGGTCGCGATTTCTGGCTTCGGCAATGTCGATTCTGATACGGCGACCCTCCCATAGCACGTTGTTGAGTTTAGACTTGGCTTCTGTGGCATCGTCGGCATCCGTCAAGGTAACAAAGCCGTAGCCTCGAGAAGTCTTGGTGCTTGGGTCAAGAACAACAGTTGCGTGCTTGACAGGGAAGTGCTCGGAGAAGAAGTCGGTCAAGGTTTCGCTGGTGGCGTTCGCTGGAAGAGAGCGGACAAAAAGGGAGCGATTGGCTTCTACACGAGCCTTCTTTGATTTCGGCTCTGATGCTGCATCTACCGCAAGATTTTCTGCGACAGCGGCGGCAACAAGAGCATCGTGCTCATCCTCCTCAGCGCGAGACCGCTTCAACGGCTTAGCGGGGGAAGACATTGTTCTGATTTCAAATTAGAACAACAGAATTGGCGTAAAAACAAAACAAACAGAATCTCAGTTACGAGATTGGTGAGGATGTTGAGGAAAAATTGATTGCCTCTACCTCACACAGGGAAGTGGCTGCAGTGATCGAGGCTGCGAAATTCTACGATAAGCATTTTTTTTCCTTCGGTCAAAGCTTATCACCACGTGCAGATTGATTTCAAGTCGGACAGCGGGGATAGACAAGACCGACCCCGCGCTATACCCGATACGGAAATATATTGACTTACTTGTTGCAGACTGGATAACAACAAAAACGCGCCGGGGGTCACCCACTGTAATTGTGTGCGTTGGCAGCCATTTCATGGGCGGGTGACAATCCGTCAATCAACAAACACATATTTTCCCCCTTCATCTACCATAACAGTTATTTCCACACCGCACGTCTACGCCGCCTGGTGGAATCCCAAGCACCCAGCGATTCCCAGCAACTCAAAATGCCGGCGCGAGTCTCTACCAGGTCCACGCGGGGCACGGCCGCCAGCTCGAATAAATCGTCTGCAGCGACCCATGGCTCCCGAGCATCAACATCATCACGCTCTTCCTCGCTCGCGCTCGACGTACCGACCGAAAGACCAGACAACGAGCTTCGCGGAAAGGTGTGCGCCGTCTTTCGTGATGCGCAGAGAAACACAGCGTCGCACCGCAAGCTCGTGGTTACCTTGCGCAAGATCCAGGAGGCTTGCGCTTACGAGCCCACCAGCAACAAGCAGTCTGCATCAAGCGACTTCGATGAGGAGGCCTTCAACTCTGAGTTCGTCCGGTGTGTCCTGAGGGTTATGCCCATTAAGAAGTCGGAGAGCGTTGGAGAAAAGACCATTCGATTTGTCGGGTTTTTCTTGCGACATGCGAACGACAAAGATAACGAAATTCTTGGCGAGGTCGACGAGGATGCTAGTGTCATGCCTGAGACTCCCAGCACACGACTCACTAGTTTCCTCATGGAGACTATCCTGCCCCTTCTCATGGTAAAAGATAAGTTTGTGAGGTACAGATCCACCCAGTTGGTTTCACACATCATCAACTCTCTCGACGCCATCGATGACGATCTATTCCAAAAACTCCGACAAGGACTCCTTAAGAGGATCCGTGATAAGGAGGCTATGGTGCGCGCCCAGGCCGTTCTCGGTCTCGGAAGACTGGCTAACAACCTTGACGCCGCTGCACACTCCGACGATGATAGTGAGGAGGATGAAGCGACAGGACTGCTCGAAAAGTTGCTCGAGGTTCTACAGAATGATCCTAGTGCAGACGTGAGAAGGTCGCTCCTCGTCAACCTGCCGATTGCCCCTGCTACTCTTCCCTATCTACTTGAGCGCGCCCGAGACCAAGATGCCGCGACCCGCAGAGCAGTTTATTCGCGATTGCTACCCGCACTCGGCGATTTTCGTCATCTGTCCCTTTCTATGAGAGAGAAGCTCCTCAGATGGGGACTCCGTGACAGAGATGAGAATGTCCGCAAGTCTGCCGGCAGGCTCTTCCGAGAACGCTGGATTGAAGATTGTGCTGGTGTTGCGCCGCCCGAAGATGGTGCTCAACCTGCGGAGCCATCACCTCCTAACTTCGATGGTCTCCTCGAGCTCCTCGAGCGCATCGATGTCGTCAACTCGGGCGTTGAGAATGGTGTTGCTCTCGAGGCGATGAAGGGCTTCTGGGAGGGTAGACCTGATTACCGGGAGGCTGTGACATTCGATGATCAGTTCTGGGAAACCCTGTCCGCCGAGTCGGTCTTCATGGCCCGAAGCTTCAATGATTTCTGTAGGAACGAGGGCAACGGCAAGTTTGAATCTTTGGTCGAAGAGAAGCTTCCAGAAGTGACCAAGTTAGCATTTTACCTCGAACGGTACATTGGTGTCTTGGTCGAAGCCATCAAGAAGGCATCACAAGCAGAGGGTGAAGAGGAGGAAGAGGAGGACACCGTTGAACAAGAGTTCATCGTCGAGCAACTTCTTCACATCGCAATCACTCTTGACTATTCCGATGAGGTTGGCCGACGGAAGATGTTTGCCCTGCTTCGTCAATCCCTCTCCGTGCCAGAACTTCCGGACGAGGTGACAAAGCTTACAGTCAGTGTGCTTAGAGACATCTGCGCCCCTGATAATGCAGGCGAGAAGGAGTTTTGCTCTGTCGTTTTGGAGTCTGTTGCTGACGTCCACGACACCATCGTTGATGACCTACCTGATGACAAGACTGAGGACAGCTTTCACTCAGCAAGGTCAGAGGTCAGTGGTGACGCCACGCCCACTAGAAATGGGAGCCGTGGGAAGAGTCCTGAGCTCAGCGAAGAAGAAGCTCGAGCAAAGGCTGTCAAAGAGATCATGATCAACATGAAGTGCTTGCATATCGTGCAGTGCATGTTGTCTAATGTCGCCGGCAACTTGCAACAAAACGACCATTTGGTCTCTATGTTGAATAACTTGGTTGTTCCGGCAGTGCGAAGCCATGAGGCTCCTGTGCGTGAAAGAGGCCTTGTGTGCTTAGGTCTCTGCTCCCTGCTCGACAGATCTCTGGCCGAAGAGAACTTGACACTTTTTATGCACTTCTTCACCAAAGGCCACACGGCACTTCAGATCACTGCCTTGCAGATCCTCACCGACATTCTCAACGTTCACGGAGCCCAGCTTCTTAGCACAACACCGACACTCCTCAAGGTATACATCAAGGCACTCAAGTCTGGAACCAAATCACCCGAAGTCCAGGCAGCCGCCACACTGGCCGTGTCGAAGCTGTTGCTGGGACGCGTTGTTACAGACCCGGAAGCCGCGGCTGAGATGCTCAAGACCCTCGTCGTACAGTATTTCGATCCTGCTACAGCTCATAACCAGAGCGTCAGGCAAGCTCTCAACTACTTCCTGCCTGTCTTCTGCTACTCTCGGGCGGAGAACCAGGATCTTATGCGTTCTGTTGCCCTCGACGCTCTGCACATGCTCGTGAACGTTCGTGAGAGCTTGGAGGATGACGATGCTGATGTGGACGAAGACATGGAGAGCCTAACGACCATTGGTGCTTGCCTAGTAGATTGGACAGACCCTCGCAAGTGCTACAACCCAGCTCAAGGCCTTGAGCTTGAGAAGAAGACTGTCAACGGCGACATTCATTTGGAGTTCGCCTTGGACATTTTGGACCGGCTGAATGGAAACATGAGCAGTAAGTTGATGAAAGCACCTTACAAATGATGACAAGTCTGAGTACTGACAAAACTGGCAGAGGGAGAAAAGAAGATAGTGGCACCGCTGCTTGGAAAACTGTACATTTCCCCGGCCAGCACAGAGACGAAGATCAGGGAAGTGTACGACGAGGTTTCCATTGCCGTAGACGACAGGCTTATCACCGATACGACGGGGCGAAACGCTCTCAACAAGATTCACTTGAGCTTGGGCAAGATTGTTGCTGCTCTTGGAGAGCAGGAAGCAGAGCCTCGCCGTGTAAGCAGGAGCGTCTCCGTTGCGTCTGTTGCGCCGTCCGCATCGGCAGCGTCTGAGAACAACGATGCCGATGAGGACAAGACAGTTACCATAGAGCCCACTATCAAGGAAGAGGACGAGGACAGCAATGAGGGCACCGTTATCCAACGATCAGAAGGAAACTCGTTGGTGAGCGAGCTCCTATCGGACGAGGAGGGTGCCTGAGTGCGAGCGATTGAATATGACATGACCGTTTCCTAATGACCAATCCACCCCTGGTTTGAGGGCTTAAAGAGCTTGACGGATTGAATTTTTACAGAGACTGATGATCTATGTACTAGTAATGATGATCCCCTTGCGGAACCAAACATTCTTGGTTCTTTTCTTATTTTTCACAAATTGACTTGATGTGTACCTGTTGTCCTTTCTAGTGTTTTTAATCTCATGCCGATCCGAGTGCATATAACAAGCCAGATGCCACAACATTAATAACCAAGTGTTGCCCGATAGTCCAAGCCATGCAGTACAGGTACTTGGGCGAGAAAACGGTCCACACAAACAGGTGGGTTCTGAGGACTTCGCATGCGAGCATGACAAAGAGGGCACTGCATGACGTGAACAGCGTCAAGTGGCCAACGTGCTGCAAGAAGACGTTGCGGCTATTGTGTATCTCACGGTGTCGGAGGAGGAGTATGTTCGTAGCTGATGTCCAGTAAATTGGACCCGCCCAGTTGCTTACAAAGGTGAGGACGCCGACGGCAACGATGTTGAAACCGGCGACACCATTGTAAGCGCTGGAGAGATCGACAGAGGATATTGCGTTTGTGCCACCAAAGGCAAAGAAAGATGCGTGCTGGAGCAGGAGAGAGGTGGTGGATAGAGTTGAAACATCGAGGTCGAGTGAAGAGAGGTAGCTAAGTTGGACGTTGGAAAGGAGAAGAAGAGGGATATTCGTTACGCGAGATTGGGTTGCCGCAAGGAGGGTTATGAGGTGGTGAAGGAGTTTTACTTGTTGGAAAGAGTAAGTCAAAGATCAATGCAAGCATTACGGCGTTGGCTTACCAGTATGAGGTGCTTCGTTTGGCTTGGTGATGGCTAGGTAGCCTGAGTAGCTTGCGATGGCTCCTATGCCAACGAAAACAATTCTTGCTCGTGTTACCAACGAAAGAGGGAAGCCTTGGAAGGCGGCGTTGATAAGGGCTGAGGTGCCAGTTACAAGCTCCGGTGCGTCCTCATTTGTGAAGGCTATCTTGAAGGCGAAAGCGGATAGAACGACAGCACCGGATGTAAAGGCCGAAACGATAAGGGGTACGCCGCGAATCCTCCGGGAGATCTGGACAAACATAAAGAGATATGTTGAGCTCACAAGTATCCAGAGGAGGGGCGGGTTAGTTATCACAAAGCTCTTAACGATATCAGGCTCACCAGCATGCTTCTGGCCCGTCTGGTTCCATCCGCGAATGATTCGGGTAGCAGCCAAGGCAAGCAAGAATAAGCCAAGGGTCTGTATTGGTTGTTGAGTGCTGCTTCCAAGTCAGAAAGAAACCAACTAGAGAGAACGTAATACCTACTTTCGCATCCTCCTAATGGCTAGTAGGCCAAGCCAGGCCGATGTGGACCAGTACCAGAAGTGCTGTTCCTCTTCAACATAACTGCTCGCAAACATCATGGCGCCGTATATCAAAGTAATCATAAGGAGAGGAAAGAGGTTAGGGCGAGCACCAAACAACAAGGGCACAGCGACCAGACCAGCTACGGCCTTGCCAATGTGCAATCTCCCCATGTCGTAGTTGCTAGCCATGCTGCTCATAAGATCTTGGGCTTTACTCAGCCACTGTTGTTTGTTAATATACGAGGCAGGATAATGCAGAGACGGTTACGAGCCTTGGATATGGTCTGAAGCCAAGCTTGATCCAGCTCTTCCTCATCACCCATAGCTTTGAGTCCATCATTGACTTTATGCCACTCACAGGCAAGCTTTTGCGCATCATCTTGTGGACTTGCGCAGGCTTGCTGCAAAGAAGATGACTCAATGTCAAACATGCTCGTGCCAAATGTCGCAGTGACAATTTTCAAGATTTGCCGGGCGTTGCGGACGAGCAGCTGGATTTGGTCGTTTTCTGTGTTTGGGTCAGCAATTCTATGTCTAAATATTGGGATATGAGCGCATACTGCTGGTCCAGAATGGGAGGAAGTCAGCGATGAAGGCACCGAGGTTGTTCTGCGGAATTGGAAAGCCTAATAAAGCCCCCAAAGTCGGTGCCAAATCTGATTGCTCAACCTTGGTATAATACGCAAAGTCCTCTTGGTAAGCAACAGGGGACCTGAGTTTGCGCTGCAGGACCTTGAGCTTAGGCGATATAAATACAAGAGCGGGCGACGTTTCCCCGGGGGATGATGCTCCATGATTGCCCGCGTCATTCATGCCGTGGTCTCCGCAAAGAACCATAAGGGCCGAGGACATATGATCGCTTTTCTCCATGGCATGGTACATGCGCTTGACAATATTGTCCATCTCATGCTGTTTGGGGACCATATGTGGGCTACACCAGGGTCATCAGCGAACATTCCAAGACTTTCATACCCGATGCCATATCTCACCTTCGGGGTCCTGATTTGTGGCCAATATGGTCAAGGCCAAGATAATGCAATACCAGAGTGCTCCAATCATCGTTTCGAAGCTCAGTTTCGATGTGTCGAGTAACATTGTTGTCTACTTCTGTAAAGTCCTGGGAATATTTAGTTTGACAGCCTAAGGAGGGGCATGCAAGCGCTTACCGAGACAAAAAAGCTTGAGGTGCCGTCAGCACGGTCGAAGGTCTCTGGGAAAAGCTTGAGCCAAGTATCATCGCCATACATGACCAGCTTTCCGGATTGTTTGGTCTTCATCTGAGCCAACCAAGTATCTTGGGCTGCGAGGGTCGAGGACGTGTCCGCCTCGTCAAAGTTCAGAATGACATCTAAGAAGGATGGGATAGACCCAGTGGTGATGGCCTTGATTCGAGGCATCGTAATTGTCGGCGACCGAGCATTTGCAGTAAATGGAAGAGCAGCACCATCACGAATCAACCTAGTCATGGGTCAGCTAGATGAAGGCTCGAAATGACAGGACACGTACTCTTGGGTGTATGTAAAGCCAGTTCCATTCGAATATACAAAGTCGCTTTTGATTTCAGAACATAAGCTTCAATGAGATAGTTTCATAGCATTTGGATGTCAATTACCTTCGCAACGCATCGACGACCATAAATATGAGGCGATCAAAAGGCGCCGCTGGCGGAGGGCCATATTCCAGGGTCTCATACTCGGCCAATCCTGGGAGAACAGGTTTATACGGAAAAAAGCCGGTCGCAAATATGAGAATTGAGACAGGAATCAAAATATTGACGATTGTCAAATGAGTGGCCAGAAAACGAGGGCCATATCGAAAAGACATGATCACGGCGTATCCATCAAGGTCTCAACGAGACCCAAGTGAAGGAGGATAGGAAGGGTTGCAGCGTGTCGTGTCTAATGATCTGTGTCTAAAACAAAGAGATGTCATAGTACGGGAAAGGTGTTGTATTATTCACTCATAATGCGTGAAGAAAGCGAGCAATGCATGCCACGAAGATGTGAAGGATGTAAGCGAGAATCGCAGGTAGCGGCACAGTCCTCCGACGTTGTTTAGTATCGTCAAGATCCTAAATGGGTAAAGTGACTGGCCACCTTCAAGGTGCCCTGCGAACAGACTAAGGTAGAACCAAATCTGTGTAATTATTATGGGCAGCAGCTGAGGACACTGTGACCGCTCAAGCACAGGGATAAGGTCCCCTGCATTGAAAAGGAATCGTGATTGTTGATTGGCTGAAATTGCAGTCCAGAGGCCCGGAGGTCCCGTTGCAACAAACAAACCCCAGGCAGAACGACCAATACGAGGGAAAGTCCCCTTCACTGTGTTGATGAGGTCGAATTGTGTTCAAACACGGGCTTCAGGAAAAGTAGCACAACGCTTCATATTCTTGTTATGCCGCACCACAGCTTGGTTGTGTTCGATCAATTCATTGCTATGAATGTACTAACTTTTTTTCGGGTTTAAACCCGAATGGCAGGGAGAATATGATCAAACCGAATCCCAAAAACCACCACAAAAAGAAATAGTCCCTATCCACACTAACTCCGAGAAGAACTAGACCACGATGCTGAGATAAACCCGCGTAAAGCTTTTTCGCGACAGTGTCGATGACTGGCAATGACGAAAATTTTGGTCCCCAGGATGAGAAGAACGCTTTCCAACACATTTAAGCCTTCTTCTTGGAGCCTCCGCGACGGTCCTTGTACTTGGGAAAGACGATCTTGGACGTCTTCCTCTGCTTCTGAATCCTACCAGATCTGCGACGGGGCTTTGCCGAGTCCACGTCCATGCCTTGACAGGTCAGCAAAACTGTCCGCGATACTAGTAGAACATAATGAAGTCAAGTGCAACTTACGGGTGTCCTCAGCCTTCTTGGCATCTTCCTCGGCCTCATCAGGGTTGATTTGCGCTGAAAGTCCTCAGTATAAGAGCATCAAAGAAAAGTCTGCAAATGCGTCTGTAGCCTGACTTACCATCATCTTGCTCATCAGCGTCCATGTTGACATCAGCCTCCTTCTCAGGCTTCGGCTGCTTTGCTAATTCCAACAGCTTGGCTGAGAGGCGCTCTGCTCGCGCTTCCTCGGCAGGGCCAAAGACATTCTTCTTGAGTCTTTGGTTGTTGTTCTTCTTGACACTGGATCTCGAGCTCTTGGCCATGGTTGCGATGGGTGGTCTCGTATATCAGAGAATACTAGACCTTGTTCTATACAACAAGAGTATGGCAGATCACAGGGGAAAGAACGTGATAGACTTCTCAGATTTTTTTACACACAAGTAATGCGTCGTCGGGACGGCAAGAGAGACTCTGTGAATGTGTGCGACGCTGAGCTCAGTAGGAAATTTTCCACAAAGCGACCAGTCGCCCCGCCTCCCAAGGCGTCGATACCCAGCAATCAAAATCCCTGAGCTCACGCGGGCCAGACCAACGTCTGTCACCGCCCAGTCGCGGGGCCTGCCGGCTACAGCCACCCCACATGGCCCAAGAGCCCTACCACAGTAAGTTCTGCCCATTTGAGAAGAAGTGCCTGGAAAAAGAGACACGGAGGCCACTGTTCACCAATTTCCAGGGAACGCAGCTGCTGAAACTGCGGCCGTCCGTCCACTGTAGGCCTCATTCTTTAGCGCCTTTACGGTGTCGCCGGCTAGCCATAGCCCCCCAAGGCTCCCCCAAGGCTCACCCAAGGCAGCTTGACGCGACTCATTTAGTCCCACACCACCCAGCCTCTCCCATCTCACTGCTCGCCTTGTACTTGCAGAAGGCCCTTCATCGCAGAGCCCCAACCCGGCGTTGGTCGCGAATGACATCAAACTTCTTGCCGACCCGAGAAAAAGCCCACTGGCTGGCCTAGCCTAACCTCACCTCATTTTTGCCTCGATCTGCGGCTTTTCGTATCTGGCTGGTACCACTACGCTTTGCGTTCTATCCAGAATCACTTTACCTGACGTCAGGTGCGAATAATCTCAGACATTTAGCACAAGTAGTCGAAGTGCGTCGCAAAATAAGGTGCCGGATCCAAAGGAGAAAAAATTAGTAGTCACAATCGAGAGATTCGCCGCCGTACCACGCCTCTGGGACCCTGCCCTTGCCTTCCACGACCATCTTCCCCACGCACTTTCCTCTCGCTGTCCGGCGCGCACCACCACGAGCCTTGTCGCTCCTGCCTCGTGTGGTCGCGCCCATGGTTCTTTCCTCTTGAGCCACTGAGCGCATTTTCCTTCTTTGTATTATCCGACAAGCACACCGACTTCCCGCCTCCTTCCTTTGCCCGAGGTCTTTCCGACGTCGCATCCGCAAACCTTCATGAGGCTGTCACCGCAAGCACCTCCGCGATCCTCCTTCGTCGCCCGTGAACCATGACCTCCATCCCGAGGCATGAGCTCCAGGCTCTAGTTAAGCTGGTCAACAGCAACCAGCTGCTTAACCGTCAGCTCTCTAGCATCTGTCAGCTCAACGGCCTCACCAGTAGTGGGGTTAAGGCATCGCTGCAGAGTCGCATTGTTAACGGTGAGCGGTACTCCCTCCAACCCTACCGACCGTCGATGTCGTACCTCCTGCACTCGTTTCTGCCTTCCCCGGGCTCCCGACTCGCCTCCTGCGTTCTTCTGTCAGGGACTCTCGTTGGGGTCCCGTATGATCGCCTTCTCCGAGTGATTACCTGGCTAACTCTTCTTCCCGCCAGCTATCCAAGACGCTTTCAACCACAACGATGTCACACGGTTCCAGCAAATTCAGCGGAGCATCGAGACCACACGAACCGGCGCCTCATCGCCTGCTTCCCACAAGTCCGCGCGTCCCCCCGCAAACACTCAGCCGGCTGTAATGCGAACAGATCCATATTGGAATCAACGCAGCGCAAGTAGCCGGCCTGCGGGCCCGAATGGCCATTCAATACATGGTTTTGGGGCTACAGCCGGTACGTTTACCAACCTCTATGCTTGATAGATAACCGTCTAACTGCCTCAAGGTCCGAGGTTCAAGGATACTCCGTTCTATGCTCTCGAACACCGGGTTGGCGATGTTCGCGTCTGTGAAAGTAAATCTCCCCTTGGACCCTAACATATCGCTCTCTGCTAACCCCTTTAGTTATGAGCCAACACAGAAACATGGTTTCCATCCCGGTTAAAATGAGCGAGTGCCTGGGGGTCAACAAGGTCCTTGAAGATAAATCATACCGGGTCATGGTGTTTTGCGCCGATAACAACAATAACGAGCCTCAAAACATTGCCTTTCCTCATCAATCGGAAATCAAGGTCAACGGCAACGAGGTTAAAGCTAACCTAAGAGGTCTAAAAAACAAGCCAGGTTCAACACGACCAGTGGATATTACGAGCTATCTCCGTCTGAAAAATGACAATCGCAATCTCGTCGAATTCACGTACGCCTTGACACAGAAGGTTAGTTCATGAGAAGTGAATCGATCTCGCAGCACTCCTTGCATCACTTACTGATTCAATGTTTCGTTTTAGAAATATTACCTTGTTCTCTACGTCTGCAAAACTACGTCAGCTCAGGAGCTGGCTGAGAGAATCAAAGGGGGCAAGAAGATCCCCAAGCAGTCTGTCATTCAGGAGAGTAAGTCTTTTGAGCCTCCTCTGAGCAGTCCGAACAGCTATTGACCATTGTCCAGTCAGCAAGAAGGCAGCGGACACGGACATCGTCACCACATCTCAGGTGCTATCTTTGAAATGCCCATTATCCTACATGCGACTTGATGTTCCGTGTCGGTCTACTTTCTGTTCGCACATCCAATGCTTCGACGCGACTTCATATCTGCAGTTGCAGGAGCAAGGCCCTCAGTGGCTGTGTCCCATTTGCAACAAATCTGCGCCATTTGATCAGCTTGCTGTCGACGAGTAAGTGTCCCACAATGCCTGTCGGTGTCGCCTACTGACGTTTGCGCAAGATATGTCAAAGAGATTCTGGTGAACACATCTAAGTCTTTGGACCAAGTCACTATTGAACCTGACGGACAATGGCGCGTCAATTCAATGCAAGATGATAAGTCAGCAAATGGGGGAAATGGTCCGGTTGATGACGATGACGACGACGATGATTTCATCATCTCAGAAGTCAATGTTGTTCGCAGCCGCAACTTTGAGACACCAAACCGTTCAGTGACCAGCACCGCTACTCCCACTACGACCATTCTGTCGCGCGAGAGTTCGACAATGCCACGGGGTCTTGGTTCCACCAGTGCCAAGAGGCCACATTCTGAGAGAGTCACGATAGACCTGACTTTGTCTGATGATGATGATGAGCCTGTTGTACCGCCTCCAAAACGACAGCAGCTCCAGCCCCCATCGTCGAACAATTATACCAACGGTTACAACGATCAGCTATTTTAAGGCATTATTCCTCCTCTTATCTCTTACGTTCACTCTTGGGAAGCGGAGTCTTGGGTTGTTGGCTCCAAGCACGTACATATATCCCTAATGATACCGAGCTTGTGGAAGTATGTATGCATTTTTCATTTCGGCGTGGAACGGATGGGTGGATAGCTGCACTGGCGTTCGGGAGGCAAAACATGTCCCATACTCAAGAGTCTAGTTTACGAGACATGGAGCAAGGGAACAGGTGCTCACAAGGAAATACCTGCTTAGATGGTTAAGCGATTGTTTAGCTGGCTACGGGACAGACGAGTTGTCCCCTTAGGAGCACTCAATTGTTGTTCGTTTGGTAGTTGAGTAATCAACCAATCAGATAACAATCATTGTGAAGTATGATGCTTCCGGGTCTTGTTGTGCAGCATGAATTTGTGAAATGTATGTAAAGTGATTTGTTGCAACAAGCTGAACGGACCATGTCAACCAAGAGGACTCTTGTAGGCAGTGAAGCTCTGTGGACCCTGGATGGAAGCTCAGTGTCAGCTCCACTACAATCTCCAGCCCGGCAGCTACGTACCTCCACACCCCATGGACTCCATCCGTTCGTCTGTCCTTCCCTTCCTTCAGTCAAGGTACACCTGCATCTACGTCGACAAACGCCTACACCTCTCTCCTACACACGAACGACTAGCTTATCCTAGCCACGAGAATCTGTTTCTGAGGACGAAACAAGAGGGTAAACAATTTGTCAATACGACGAAATTGCACCATCGACCTTTTCGCGCCTTCGACCGCGCCCCTCCATCGCAATCGTCGTCGACCTACATCAAATCAACATCAATTAGAAGAGCAGGCCAGCTCGCCATAACCAAACACCACAGCGCCACAAGCATTGGAAAAACCGCAACCATGTCTTTCGAAAGCGTGATGCCTCCATACAATGCCTCGGATCCATCGGCCTCCTTTCTCAACTCCTCCTGCCTCGACTTTCTGCTCATCGAGCTGGTGCCCATGTCATTCCGCGTGACGCGAGAGCTCGACATAGCTCCGGTTGAGAGTTCCGGGGCACCAGGAGAGGCGACATCGTCTATTAGCCCCAGCCAGGGTGCAGCAGGAACAGGCCAGGCGTTGTCAAGTGCGAGCGGTGCCGTTATGTCTGGCAGCGCTCGGAAGATGGACGAGGACGAAGAAAGAGATGCCGTTTTCTATCGGCTTGAGACACTAGGCTATCGAGTTGGCCAGGGACTGGTAGAGCGGTATGCGTTTCGTTCACCCTCTTTTTTGTTGCTTGTCAATTCTTTGAGAAGCTAACGTATCGTCTTTTGAACAGATTTTCAAGAGATAGGCCGCGATTCAATGATACCCTCGACGTTATTAAATTCATATGCAAGGATCTGTGGTCTTTAGTGTTTCGGAAGCAAGTTGACAATCTTAAGACCAACCACAGGGTACGTATCCTGCGATAGTATTTCGAGTGGGCTCCGGCAAGATGGAAGAAAGCGGATAGTTGCTGACTTGCGCTTTTACAACATTTAGGGTGTCTACGTGTTGACGGACAATTCGTTCAAACCATTCTCTAGAATGAGCACCGAGACCGGAGGACAGGCAGTTGTTCGTGCACAACCGGTACGTTGGTCCAGTCATGGCAAGATTTATGAGAGCAGCGCTGACTTCTCTGAATTACAGTTCCTTTGGTTCCCTTGCGGAATAGTTCGCGGGGCCCTGGCAGCATTAGGGATTAATGCCACTGTTCAGGCAGAAACAAACGAGCTACCAGCTGCCATCTTCCAGATCAAGACGCTACCTTCAAGCACATAGTTCTCAAGCGGCTACCCTGCGCAAGATTTCACAAGCTAGAGGGTTTTGGCGGCAACATTGTCACAAACCTCTAGAAATCCTGGTCATTCCGAGTAGATTCCAACGATATCTAACTCCACATATATACAATTCTCCATTAAGAGCAGGAGAGAGTTACCACCGGTTGCCATATCCAAAAAGCCCGACGCCCCCCAAGCCGCGGAATCACGAGATCAGTTGACGTAGTAAGCGCGTCCGTTACACACATTCGAGGTCAACACCACCTTACAGCCTAGGGATAAGAGTATCAATCAGCCATTAATTCTCCCTCGGTTGTATTTCATCTATCACCGTTTTGGCTACATCTTGGAAGCTACCATAAGACTTCCTTTGGAGAGGGCCGACAACTGTTGCTTCAAATGTACAAAAGGGGGGGTAATCACTTTTGAGGGGGGTTGTGAGCAAAGTCAACACCCTTCTGAATGTTGCCCTTCAGACCCTTAACAGCGGCCTCCAGCAGTGTCTTCTCCTTGTCCGTAATGTCTCCAAGGATGTCGACAGCCTTCTCGGCACCGTTGGGCTACGCAGCGTCAGTTTAAGCTTGTCTAAGGGAGAAGGGGGTCTGCGGTAAATGTCAAAACTTACACCAAGCTCGATGGGAACGGAGAAGAAGTCGACGCCAGTCTTGGCGGCAATCTCCTTGCCGCCAGGGACGCCAGGCAGGTAGACGTAGCTAGGCTCAACAAGACCCTTCTCGCCCTTGACAGCCCTGAGAACCTTCTCCGCAAATCTATATCCGTTAGCGGAATGACTTGCAGTGCAGCAAGTCCGTCCTTACCTAAAGCCGGCGTAGGCCATAGAAAGAGTGGCGGATCCAGCGCCGTCCTTAGCCTTGACAACTTCGTCGCCACCAAACTGGACACGGTTGACAAGAGCATCATACTTGTCGTCGGGGATGGTAACAGAGGGGGAGACCTTGCTGAAGAGGGGAACAATGGTCTCGCCGGAGTGGCCGCCGATGACGGGGACGGTCAGCTCCTGAGGCTTAGACTTGCCGGAAATTTCGGCGACAAAGGTCTCGGCTCTGACAATGTCGAGGGTGGTCACACCAAAGAGGCGCTGGGGGTTGAAGACATTCTTGGCCTTAAGGACCTCGGCGGAGATGGGAACGGTAGAGTTGACAGGGTTGGAGATGACAAGGATGAAAGCCTTGGGAGCAACCTCAGCGGCGACCTCGATCAAGCCCTTGACGATGCCAGCGTTGATGTTGAAGAGGTCATCGCGAGTCATGCCGGGCTTGCCTGAACGTAGCTACCGTTAAACAAATACAGCACTGTGGATCGCGCGATTTGGAACTTACGAGGAATACCGGCAGGAATGACAATGATGTCAGCATCCTTGAAGGCGGCCTTTGCGCCGTCATCCTTGGGCAGGTATCCGGCAATCTTCTGTTTGCGGGGAACGCTGGTTAGCATGCAACAGCTGCGGTGGCAGTTCAAATGGGTATGACGAGACCTACCGCCTGGGAGGAGATGTGGGAAAGGTCAGCGGCGACACCGGGGGTGTTGACGACATCGTAGAGGGCAAGCTCGTCGACAAGAGGAGAGAGCTTGAGGAGGAGAGACAGAGGCTAGAAGATCAAACTGGTCAGCCCATGCGAAACTTTGGATTTTGCCCGGGAGGCGGGGTCTGGCGTCACCGTACCTGTCCGATACCGCCAGAGGCGCCAGCAACAACTGGAAGACAGTTAGAAGGAATTCTTTGGCAATGATTCTTCAGGAGCGCAGATGAAGCGTACCGGCCTTGACCATTTTGAATGTGTTTGTGTGTTTTGAGCTGAAGATGAGAAAGGGAAAGTGGTGGTGACTGAAGGGTTCTCGCAAGATTAGCGGGGTGATCTCATGTAGCTCAGGAGCTTGCTCGGCAACACGTTAAGCTCCGCCCGGAGGTACCGCAGAGCTACTACTGATTGTTGTGAGCTTGGGGGGTATATCGTCACATACCTTCAACAGCGCGCGGTATTTAGTTGAATAAGCGCAAATCGAGGCGGACAGTCAGGAAATTTGTTTGTTTTAGAAATGGGGAAAAAAAGAAGAAAGAGGAAGGGGAAAAGCAAGACTAGAAGTAGTAGCAGTCAAAGCAGCAGATGATACCTAGTCCGGAGGCTGTCGGCGGGGACGTAGGTTCGACCGCGGGGAGAATTGCGACTTTCTCCCCTCCTCATCCCCATGAGACCATCAGAGGCCATTGGATGGAGGGGCAAAAAGAGGGGCAAGTTGGGGGTGGTAGCAGCGCGTCGCAGCACAGCACAGCGCCAGTGATGCGCAGAATATGTACCGTACATAGTACATGCTCTGCAGTGAGTGCCCGCTAACTTAACAGAGAGTGCTGCACCCAGCAAGATCCCATGCATGCCCTAGGCTGGGTGTCTCGGGACCTGGGAGGTAACAAAGAACAACAGACCCTGCCGCGACCTGCCAGCCAGGAATGGGCCGAGTCGGCTGTCACATATACCTCTTCGCGCACCAAACAAAGGCGGCGTGGCTTTGGTACTACTGGTACGGCAGCCCCCCTCCGGTGAGACAGGCTTGGCTGAGGAGGAGGAACCTTTCCCTCCTCTCCCCCAAAACAGCTTTCCCATCTTTTGGCTCAAAAAGCTCGCCCCAGGCAAAGCATACGCCGCCTACCCCTGCTGAACTCTCCGCCCACCACTACCTGCTACACATCAGGCGCATGTGAGAGCGGCCACATAAAGGGGAGCAATGACGAGAGACACTGATTGAGGCACCAAGAGAATGCCTTCCCCGTCAACTCCCGGGAGCTAGCCAGTACTTTCCGATGTCTTCCTGCTTATGACGGACTGACGATCCCGACGCACGAGATCTGTCCTATGTATAGCCAAAACTCGGGTGCGGAAGAAACAAGTGTCGCCATTGCTGGTTCCAATGTTTTCCAAGCCCCCCGAGACCCAAGACGCCTCCGTACCTGGCGGAGTTGCGACTCCTGCAGCATCATTGGACCATTAAAGGGTTGAGACGACGATTTGAGCTCTATACCCTGCTTTTATGTTTGACTATGGAGCGCTTTACCACAGAATAAGTAACATCAAGTAAAACCGAGCTCACTATTAATATCCGTAAGCCGCCTTCAGGTAATTATTACCTATTTGGCAGGCTGCGGGTTTACCAGCTGCGTGGAGGTACGTACCGCCCTCACTCAAGCGGGCAACCCTGGTCTGCTGGCAAGAATACCCCTCCATGTTACGGAGGTCTCCTTTCGAGTGCCCGTACAATGAGGTCAAAGTCGGCGAAGACTTACTCCGGGTAAATAGCCTTCGATGTACAGATCCCGCAAGTCACCGGAAAACCGTCGTCAAATGACGGGCTGGGCTTCTTCACTGGCGTGCATGACCAAAGCCGAATGACCCGTCAACTTCCCGACTCTAGCCCGCTATCCCGAGGTTGAGACGTTAATCGCTCCCTCGTTTAGTCGGACGACTCCGGATGACAGCCGATAATCCGGCATCGCGAAAACCATGAGCTACCCTTAGCTCCCATCCTCTGTCTTCTGACGTCGATCTCAACCGCGGTTAACACAGCATCATTGCTCAGCAGAGTCCTGGATCTCATGAACCTCCGACAGGACACCTCAACTCCACATGCACATACGCGCACACACGCACACACGCATACACAACAGGCTCACACATTTCGTAGGTTCCACTAACGCCTTCAGGCACATCCTCTTGGAGCAATTGCAACCCAGTCCAGTCATTATTTTTTTGGCCTTGACTCAAGCTTTTGATTTGTTCGCCTGTGTCTCTCAAAGGTATTCTATTTGCTCGACATAACGCCCAAACCAAGCCTTTCCCGTCCGCTAAACAAGCATTTATGCCTCCTTCTCGGCAGCGGCCTTCTTGGCCTTGACACCACGGGGCTTCTTCTCAGCCTCAGGCTTGACGGGCTTCTGGGCGCGACGGAGGGCAGAGACGCGCTGGACAGCGGCCTCGCGGAGGTCGGCACGGTAGCCACCGTTGGCGGCCTGGAGGGCAACGGCCTTGTAGGTCCTGTACATCATACCGTCAGCATTCGCATCCTACTCTGCTGTCTGCCATTGCAGACCTAGACGAGATTGTATGGTGAAATCCCAGGGGTAACTCACTTGCGAGTGGACTTGTTGCCACCGAAGGTGACCTCAGTGGTGGACTGAGCGGGCTTGTTGGCGTTCTTCTGGTTCTTGCTAATGACCTTGACACCGCCCTTCTCGTTGGGGACGACACCGATCGCCTATGTCGCAATAAGTCAGCTATTTTGTTCTCGGTCGAAATCGCCATCGCCGCATCGTTATCGGTGTAGAATGTCGATGATTCGTTTATATTGGGAGTATGTATGTACCTTGTTGTTGACGAAACCAGCGTACTGCATCCATCGTTAGCCAAAACCGTCCGTGTTGAAGACAACTGCCTGTAGGGCTCGATAAAGCCGTAACGTACCTTGCGAGAGTGCTTGTTGATCAAGTTAAGGGGGTCGCGGGAGAGCTGGAGACCACCAGCGTCGGCGCGCTTGACCAGGAACGCATTCTGGCCGCCTGTATGCCGCAGCAAAAAGGACTTGGTGAGCAAACAATTTGTGCGGCAGCGGTATCGTATCGTCTCTAATCCAGACGATCGTGTGTATCAGGTTGAGACTTACGGACGACCTCCCAGATGAGGTCAGAGGAAACGTTGGGCAGGGCAGCGGCCATTTTGACTGATTTCTGAGGATCACGGAATGGTTGATGAATACCTTCTCGAATCTCTGCGGCTTCGCGTGTTCGTAGAATTCAACGGCCGAATTGAATGTGTGGGCTATCGCTTAGCTGTCAGTTTGTGGACTAGCGCTTGAACTATCCACTTATCTTATCGTTGCGCCACATTCCAATGACCTTCGGGCAAAGCCCTCCCACGCAGGTGTGGCTGGTGATGGCGGTGCGATGCAACTCTGCAAGCATAGGATACCTGGTTCAAGGTAATGAGAGGCCGCCGTTTCCGCATCATCTAATAATTGGGGTTAAGTGATGGTTGACACCGTCGTTTTCCGTCATATCTTGCTTCACGGCCTGTAGTTCTACGAGAACCGATAGAGAAGTAGTGAGTTTCTTGACCTGGGCTCCTACTCAACGTCCTCATGGTGAAAAATGACCATTCAAAAATGATAGCTAGCATAGCAACTTGTAATCATTTTCGCGTTTTGAGCCGCATTGGCGGCAGAAAAGGCAGGGGTCTTCAATCATATCTCATTACACAGTCACCGTGAACTTTGGGGAGAACATTCGCAAGTTTGTCTCAAGCTCACCTAGCTTGCTATTAAGTGCCTTCGTGGTATTTTTGGGGCTTCCGTTATTAGCCCTCTGTGAGCTGGCTGCTGATAGCTACTATTACTCCCCTCTTTACCCGGATAGTCTACGAAATGACGACGAGCCTATATATATATCAGATGCAATGAATTGAGTATGGCCATGCCTTGCATGATTCCAACGTCGGTATAGGGTCGTTCTTGTGCACTTTCAATTCCGCTGGCGTGTCAAGCTGGCACCTTGATTGTCTCCCATGTCTAAGTCTCTTGCCAGTAAAAGAGCCCATCCGAGATGAACGCAGGACTGTTGAGCGCCATACAAGCCTTGGGATCTAAGGATAGCAACCCGAGCTCGTGTAATCGCCACAATTTTCGAACCAACCCGTGACAATTGTGTGGTCGAGCAGGACTTAGCCACAGGATATGAGTTTACATCTACACACTCGCCTTGTAAATGGAGTTAAAATCTCGAAAAATTCGCGTAATTAAAGGATAATTTGAATCAAGTGTTCAATATCCACCACACTCAATGATCGACATGCAAGTGTGTAGACTGCGTGTGACTTCTTCCCTGGGTTATTGGTAGATACTATGGAAGAGGGACACACTTTTTGCTTGTCATTACTAGTAGGTGGTTGGAATATTAGTGGACTATCTCACATTCGGGTTACAAATTCCATGGCTCCAAAACTTGTCATATGTGTGTGTTTTCGACGGAGGCGCTATGTATCGTATAGGAAAGTAAGGAATCGCATAGATTATCCTTAACAACACTCGGAACCCTTTTGTCAACTTCAAAACTGCTGTGTGAGAATATCTAGTAGCCTCTAATGTGCATGAGCCAGCTTTGCCGCACTGCCCTTTTGGTGCGTTGCTCGAGCCATATGAGGAACGACAATGTCTACAGCTCATTTTGCTCATGTAGTAGAGTTTCCATGTGAACATATTCACCCTACGGTGACTCAGATCTATGCTTTATAAAATTTAGTCTTTGTTGATGAGCCCTTAAAGTTGAGTATACATTTCTCTACCGCTTGAAAAAGTGGTTGCCAGGGAGAAAGACAACCCTGACTACCTCAAGTAATCGGCTTGGCAAGTCCATAGAAGATGCAGTCGTCGTATGAAGACCTCCCAAATTAGATTCGTACTTTCCACTATGTATCGTAGAACTATCAAATCCAGGCCCGCCTTCGACCATCACATGGCCCATCCTCTCTGGGCTATGGTATGGGCATGAATTACAGTACTCGGAGGAGTGGAAAGTTCACGGCGGCCAGTGACGAGACACAGGCGTCACCAGTCATCTATAATAATTGTGCCCCCCAAAACATATGTCATTATCTGGACTGTTCCGGCAAACAACTTTCATGAAAGCCGTGTTCATACCTGTGCAGTTGATTTTGGCACTTGCAAGTCTGTCTGCCTCACAAGGCACCCGTTGCACCTCTACTTAAACCAGATAGGATCTATAACTTCGTTAATTTTGGTGGTTAGGTACCATGGAACATTGCGGCTCACTTCACATTCGAACTTAATCGGTTGCCTGTCGGTAGTGGTTAGTTTCCCTGGTACAGTTCAGTACTAAGCAGGTTTGACCTACGACGAAGTTCCCAGCACAATCAGCAATCACTCGGTATAGTACAAGTGAGTTAACTGCACCAGAACAGGCAACCCGGCCATCGTATACTCCCAGCTGGGTTAGTAACTGGTAGTGTTTTCTTCCCACCAATAGTCAATATATTCTAGCGATTGTGTGGTCAAACTGCATGCCTTCACTCACTCATCGAAAACATTCAAGGCTTTTTGATATCTAAATTTTCCGATGAGAAGAAAACCCAACGGCGATAGTGAAGAGGCGCACATAGTTCAGAAATATTGCATTTTATCTCTCTCAAGGATACCAGGTTCCCAATCATGCATCACGTCAATTCGCTTAAGAGAGCAAGGATTCGAGGTATAACCCCAAAACATCAGAGATACTCCGTTGTCTCTCAAAGGCTAAGATTCCAACCGCTAGCAAACAAAAACGGTTGTGGCTGAAGCCCGGGAAATGGCCAAGCATGTTCATTCCGTTGGGGTGTAGAGCAACACATTCGAGTTTTCGAAGAAAAACTAGAAACACTTGTAATAGGAGGGGATGTCGTTATGGGTTGTCTACCCCAGGGTTGCGGGAGGAAGGTTCAGCAGCGGGCGGGGCCCGCTTTTGGCGAGCTGGGGGTGCAAGGTCTCCCAGCTCGGAAGAGCAGCATTTTAGGCCATCGTCATGCAAAGATAGAGATCAGGTCTCATGCTAATTGACTTTTGAGTCGGTCACCTATCCGTCGCGGCAAAGTGCGGCGGTACTATTGCTAGTTCCCGGAGTGTTTTTCACAGTAAATAGCGATTACTCGTAATTCAGGGAGCCGGCATGCGTCAGCGTCTCTTGAACAGTCTCCAATCACCGTCATTGCTGCCCCTGGACGCTCTGGCTATTACGTAGTCGGGGTCAGGAGCCGGGTCGAAGTGTTGGTGGAGTTTGGTGCGGCTAGCAGCCTGGCACTTGCAGCTCCAACTCCAGAAACTCTAAGCCGTACCCAGGCTGCCAGGGCATCGTTCGGGCGCGCATCATTCCCCGTCCAAGGGAACCTGGGACCGCTAGAGGGGCACCTCACGTGATTTAAAGCCTTTTGGGTGGGTGAACGTGTCAGCGCCTGCGCCCACGCTCTTACGTATCTCCCTGACCTTACTAAGTGGACCCGCGAGGCACTCAAAATGCGCCGAGAGAGAGCTTGCGCCCTCTGGAGGCCTGCTGGGGAGAACACTGACAGGATCAGACGGAATGCACGGGGTGGTGACAGCCCCGAGAGCCCAGAGCACCGGGCAAGAGTCCCCCTAGGCCCATCTAATGCACCACGGGTCGCCCATCATCGCATGACAGCCATCTTTTCCCTTCCCTTCTTTTCGCCTTTCACTCCAAAGCTTTACACAACCCGTAGCAGGAGTTATTGAACCGCACTCGGCGCCCCGTGTAGGCCCTGAAATGTCCGTTTGAACGTACCAAACGGCAGCTTCTCTGACCGTGTCGACAGCTTTTTCTTCTTCTTCCTCTCTTTCAATCTTTCTCTACTCGCCTTATCTTCCCTTGCATCGTACGCTGTATACCACGACCTCTTTCCCCCCTACTTCTCCTACATTTCCTTTAGTATCCGATATCAAGCAGTGAGAAACTGGAGCCTAGGTCGCTGAAACGCACCTACTCCGCGCGTAAAATCACATTCGGCGAACCCTTACGACAAGAACCGCAAACAGCCTTATTTTCTCGTCGCTGAAATAAGAAAACGACAAACAGACCGACGCCCAAAATGTCCTACCTTCTCTACTCCGTCTCCTTCTTCGCCCTAGTCCTGGCAACGGCGCTCTATCTGACCCGCGCACACTGGCTACACGTTCTTCCGGCCCTTCCCATCCCCGGCCGTGACTATATCTATTCCCGGTTGCCCTCCAGCTTCACGGGCGACATGGAGGCAGGCCTCTCGAGCTCAACTTTCGACCTCAGCGGCAATGTCGAGTCCGGCGACAGCCGCGCTGGCCTTGACGACCGGAGCAAGGCCGAGATTCTCAAGATTATGAAGAAGCGCCGCATGAAGTTTGACGACGCTCGGAGGGTCTATATGGAGAACCGCTTTAAGGCCAACGGCATCGGCCCCGATGGCCGCCCGCTGGATCCAAAGGCTGTTACCTTCAGCTAGACAGAGAACCGGAAGGGAAAAAAGACGAGGGGAATATCACAAACGCAGAAAACGAGCCTCTACATACACTACCAAGGGCGTACGTGCTGACGATGAGGATGAGTTTGGAAACCCCGGAAGAGAAGGATGAACCCCTTCGGCCAGCAACTACTTTCATCGCCATCATATTACTCGCCTATGACACTCAATACCCCCCCCCCCCCCCCCCCCTGGCTTGCTTAAGGCCGACTCTATTTCATCGCACATTCGACACCGACATCGACTTATTTCCTTGTTTCACATGCATGTTTATTATATCCTGCGGGCTGGGGAAAAGGGGAGATTAGGCGTTATATGTTCTTTTATTCCACATTCCATGTTATCCAAGTTTTCCTATGTTGAGCTTCGAGCGGCGGATGCGATTTGTTTTCTGCATCTTCCATGGGCCCTTTTTACAGCGCCACTTTTTAGTCCACTCCAGCGTCACATGCGGAGCGTGTGTGAACCGCCTTTTCAATACCAACTCTCGTATTGTCCTCATTCCGAGCCAGTGCCAGTGGCATCGTTTCCATGATTCACGTCTTCGCAATGCCTGTATCAACATACTAGTCATATTTTACGTCAATTTCGTAGTCGGTATGAGACCCATCTAAAATATGGCCCGGGATACGCTACTAATAATTATACTCGGGACTCGCCTACCCAGATTGTCGTGAGCCATCTCACTCGAGCCCAATCATTTCGTCATCTTCACCCGCCTTATTCTCCAACATCAGAAAGTGCTGATCTCCATATGTACAATCGAAAATCTGGAAGCTTCCAGGTATTACAAGCTTTTATAATGTAGTCATGAGCAACTGTTGCCAGCGCCGGAAAGTTTGGTTTGGCAGGGCGTACATGTTGTCCTGCTGTGGTCAAAGAGCACATCTGCTCTAGTTCTTCTTCTTCTGTTCAACGGTCGCCTCATACTGTCGGTCGTCGTCTCCCTCGACCTCCTGCTGAATCTTCTCCATGTCCTTGATGCCCGATTCCCAGGTTGCCTGGGACATCTTGGTCTGCTTGTTGAACCAAGCAAGATCAGGCTTGCGGTAGCTACCGCCAAGACGGTCCCAAAGTGTGGTGAACTGGCCATAGTTGTAGCTGTGTGAATCGTGTCAGATTTCATCAAGCCTTTATCCGTCTTTTAGGTTGAAACTTACTTGAAGTACAGGTGGTGGGCAGTGTGGCATGCGGAACCGTTAATTATCGGGTTGTCGGTGATGTATTCGCCGTCGTGAATGAGGATTGTCCAGAAGTTGATGAACATGAAAAGAGCGACGTACGCTATCTTTTGCAGAGGGAACAACATGGGGTAGATGTGATAGGGAACGGACTGGGCGAAACCATCGAGAGGGTGGAAAGCATGGCTGGCGTAGGGGGAGGGCATGATCCACTTGTGGTGAGGCTTGTGGAGGTGCTTGTAGACGGACGGCAGGTGCAGCCAGCGATGAATCCAGTAAATGCACAGGTCGGTAAAGAGAATGAACAGAGGGAACTGGGCATAGTCGTACCAACGGCCAGGACCCTCCTCAGTGGTGTCGTAGAGCTTGCAGAAGCCGCGAATTTCGGCAAGAAAGGTGATGGCGGTGCAGAGGGACATGACGGGCATGGCCTTGTTAGCCTGCATCATTTCGAGCTTGATCTGATTCTTGAGGAATTTGGGGTGGTTGAAAGTCTTCTTGTCAAAAATGAAGATGTATGAGAGGGTAGCGAAGAGAAAGTAGTTGAGCAGTCCGAAGATCCTAAGATCGTTGTTGTTAGTGATCAGACGAAACGGGTGAAGATGGCGGGAAGGAGAGGTTACCAGGTGACGAGAAAGAGAGATATGAACTGGCGGAACATGTTGTCTCTTGGCCAGGCGCTCATGTAGGCGGCCTCGGAGGGTTCGAGATGGAACCAGTGAGTAGCAGGCTTATACTGCCATGTCGAGAGAGGTTGCGCCGTAGCGTTGGCAGCAGTGTGTGGAAAATCATAGGGGGCGGCGCTGGCGGGTAGGAGCGCAGCGTAAAGTTTGTCGCCGACAAAAGTGTCGACCACCTCGAGGACGACATCCATGGTCAAGTCGGTTTAGTGAAAACAGGCGTGATGTAGTTGCGGCCAGTTACCGGTGTTGTGGTGACGACTGAGAGAGAGGAAAAAAAAAAGGGGAGGGGAGGTGGAAGGGAGCGGCGCGAAACGATTTTGTAAGTGGCAGGCGAGCGAGCAGGTGGTAGCGCAACAAAGTCGCGGTAGGTCCCAGTCACAGAACAGGTAGCTGGGGGCAGCTCGGGAATATCGTTGGCTCCGAGAGATCTTATCGGACGTTTTGGTTGAAAAAAATTCTGGGGCCACTGGAGGGGAAGCAATTTGCCTCTAAAATGGGACTGCCAGGTTGAGCGGGTGGGAAAGCGCAAGGGGCGGGATCGGCGGTGTCTGCACAGCAGAAGCCGGCAAGGATGGTGCTGTAACGGGCTTTGCTGGTTTGGCCAAAGCAATGCAGACGACGGAGAGGATTGCAGATGGTGGATTGGAGAGGATGACGGTGACAGACAGGTCAGCTATTGCTAGCTATCCTGAGGAGGGCTGGCTGGGAGCAACACAAGTGAGCTATTCAACGAGTGCCCTAGGGTCCCAAGAGGTAGGCCTGTCTTGGGCAAGGTTTGGCGACAGGTGAGATGACAATCGAATGCAAGATGCGGGAAAGAAGGAATGAGATGGCTGCTCAACTCACAGCCAAACAAGCTTCCAATAGGACGGACAGCTGATAGGTGGTGGGAGCCCATCGTCTTTTTATTCTATCTGAATCTGTGACCTGTCTCTCAAGTCTTTAGACTTCCCCTAACAACCAACGAGTCGGTGTGCTTGTCCCAAGGGGCAAGAAGCTGAGATCCAAGCTGGAATCACACGACGACGCCTGAGGTCAATCTTGTTGTGGGACGTTTCTCTTTTGCTCCAGTTGCTACTTTGGCATCAAATGGCATGATCTAAATCATCGACTTCCTGGCCCGGAAGGATGGATCTTGTCTAGGGAGGTTCGTTGTGATGGAGGGGGCCAGTGCAAAGCCATTGGTGCTTCTGATTGGTGTTTCCCCTGAAAGGGAAAAAAAAAGTGCTTACACCACCCAACAAGTAGATTCCCGTTGTGGATGGGAAGAGGCGTCAGTTCGTATTCGGATTGGCCAAGTCTCCCCCGAACAGTTCCCCAGCGTCATAACAGCTGTGGCCTGATATTGAGGTACTTTGCGCTGGGCCGCCCGCTGGGCCGCCCCAAACTGTGACATCTTACACTGATCTCAGCATCTCGCCCTCCTCTACCATCTTCGGACAGTAGCGCTGGCCAATGGCCGTGCCACTCGCCCTCTGGCTCCTGTCACTACCTCCCGTTTGATTCACTCTAATTGAGAAGCAGATGCACAGATGCACACACCGACCTCTATCCCCAATGCCCTTTTCCCATTGCTTGCCTTCGATGCCGCGCGGCGCGCCGGGTCTTTCGGAGCTCTCACAGTGCACATTGCCCATCTATCTGAAGTGACGTGACTTTTCTGCTTCGGAAGTTGTGCTTACCGGCCTGCTAGATCCACTTGACGAAGCTAGACCAACTTGGGTCCATCATTTCTGATTGCTAACAGACAAGCATGATCAACGTACGAATGCACATGCCTGCCATATGACGATGCGCTGTGCCCGCTGCGGCGGCCTCTCAGAGCCGGCCATTCATCGTCCTCGGTGTCTGAGCTCTCGGTCGGACTTTGCGGAGATCTCCCACCCAAAAAAGCGGCAAACAACGAAAACAACAGTAGACCTTGGCCTTGTCTTCAATGTTTCTCTTCATGGCTCCCCTGCATTGCAAACGCTGATCTTGCAACTTACACCTTACGACCAGCCGGCAAAAATCCGCAATCGACGTCTAGAATGTTTCTAAAGGATGTTGAAACGAACCACGTTGGGCCGCCTAGCGTAACATCCGGCCTTGGGGGAAGGACCCCGATTTTCACACCTACTGTTGCACACGAGTTTTTGCATCAGCTGTATATGTACAACGTAATCGGAGGCCGTCTCTTAATTGCACTACGTTACGGCCTATTGCAACGTCTTCTTCATTACAACATTGATAATTTGGGCACTTACTCCCCCAAACACGTCCAAAGGAATTGCTGAGCGGACAATTGATGACTTTTCTCCGTGTGCGACTTCTGCAAAAGCCCCAAGTTGCAGGTCGCGAAAAGATTTAGACCCGGTTCTGCTCAGGACGGGTAACATCCACGTAAAGACCTACAATATCAGCTCCAGCTCTGTATTTTACCAATGTATATACTGTTCTTGCCGTACCAAAGAAGTTTGGAGCTTGTGCTACCCACTATAATGTTGTTTAATTTGAGGGGTCGGCCGTTTCCCCCTTTGACTGAAAGTCTACGCTACGGTATGCACGCCATCCCATCGTTACTTACACAGACTACTCAGATCGCTCCACTTCAGCTTGAAAACCATCGTATTTACGGTTCTCGTTACGAGCCGAGTGCAGGCCTACGCAGTTTTTTTCAGAAAAGGATGCGGACCGTCGATGCCCAGGGGACTGTCCCAAGCCCTTTAAGAATAGTGTTATCTCTCACCTTTCTTGGCGCTTGGAATGAAGCTGCCCCCAACAGTAGACCCTGGAGCTGGGAGACATTGTTGACAGTGAGCTGCGTCATTAACCATTTCAGGGTCCAGTCATAGGCGTGCCAGCCAATGTAATGATACTCCGATGAGAGGAGGGCAAATGATACTATTGGAGATGAAATGGTATTCGCTCAATCAAAACTACGACCATGGTTGACTTGTTGAGTGATTTAAATGTGTCTCTACATGCCATTCTCTACCGACTTTAGGCAGACATTTTGGATTTTCAAAATGATAACACGGGTACCAAATAATGCTGTCAAAGTAGGTACCTATGGACCGCAACTGATGAGACAGGAAACCAGATTAAAAACCTGAGGCCTTAGGCTCACCTCACGGCAAAATCCGACGGCTGCATGGTGTGTAGGACTGGCGTCTGTCTGCCACCTGCCTGACTTTGCCCAAGACCACCACGGCTAAGCGCCCCATCTGTTGGCGTTGGTTTCCCTTTTCGGACAGCTCACTGCCTGCCTCACTTTGTATTACATAAGCAAACAATGTTTTTGCCTTGACACAAGTCACCTAACCCACCATCCATCGGACTCTTTAACGCTAAGGCACTCGGATGCGCCCTGTTCCTCCCTACCTCTCTGGGCCGTCGCTTGATGGAGGCCAAGCACGTAGCTGCGGGCATTCCTAGTTGCGCCATCCAGATCTCAACCATGATTGCTGACATATTTTTACGCGAGCTTCACGCCCCCCATCGGTGTTACGTCTGAGATGGACTGTACTTGATGAAAAATCAATAAAGTTATCGGAACCTTAATAGTTGGAACAGGCCACCTCTTTTTATCTTTTCCACAAATTACCATCGCGTCGGACAATATCTTGATCCTAAAGATCTAAATAGTGGTTTGCACTCCAGGCTGTTGCATTGCGTCTGCTCAAACAGGCATAAAAAAGCTTCACCGCCTCTAGGGGATACTGGTCATTGTCATATCCTCATCCGGCCACGTCGCCTTCCAATCATTGTTCAACCACGGCACGGCACGGCACGCCCATATGACCAACATTATTGACGCCCAGTGGTGTACCAAGGCAAACTCTTTCCAGAGGTGTTGAGTGCTTCACATGACTGTCCATTGCATTTGTGGCTCGATTCAAATCCTATCAATACCAAGCGGAGGGCGTATCTGGAACAGGCAACAGGGAAAGCGAGAAAAAAAGAAGTGGAAGGAGACGAAAAAGCAAGCATCGCGAAAGTGGTTGTAGTGGTGTAGGAAGCGGAATAAAATGTTGCAGCACCGAGTTCCCCACGTACCCGCCACTCAAGTGTGCAGTGTAGGTGGGTGATACAGTACATGGCATTGCATGGCATGACATGGCACGGCATGGTGTGTGGCCAATGCATGCAGGACGGGAATGTTTCCCTGGCGCTGACTCCGACTTGGACGGAAGGGGAAAAAAAGAATAAAAAACAATAATGCAGAAGAGGAGAAAGAGGAAGCGCAGTCGATCAAAGCCAATCGGGGCGTAGAACACTTCGACAGCTTCTACCCGTTTGCCCTGAAAGGCATGGGATGGGCACAGACCGTACCGTCCATGACAGATGCAGGTATGTGTTTGGTCGTCCTTCCAACCCTGATACACTGGTGTCTGCTACTAGTGCCGCACTATTCCCTTCGTGTGGCCCTCATCTTCTCTTGCGTCTTGCGGATAAATCGTACTAAAGTATCAATGAGTTTGCGATTCGAACATTGCGTTCACATGTTGGAGGTGAAAACGGTAAAGGGAACCCGGCTCCTTCGAGGAATGCGAATTTGTAGCAGCCCTATCTCATTTTGACGGATTGACAAGTGTCGAATCTTAAGTACGGATAAAGTCAGAATACAACACTCCTTTTCACACTGACTCACCGAGAATGTATCATTTCCATTGCTTACCTGCCCTTTCTTTTCTCCTTTTCCTGTTGACAGCCACTTTAGTGTACGCGCTGCACTGACAATAACACGCTCACGCTAACAAGGTGGGTGCAGGCTCTTCTTGTTCTCAGACGTCGTCAAACTCTCCCTCGTTTCCATCTTGCTCGGCGGAGACAGACCAGACGATCCACCACGGACACAACCCTCACCCTCTTACCCTGACCCTGGATCCCCCCTTTTTACAGCACATGTACCCTTACCCTTTCACACACACCCCCAATCCGACCCGACCAACCCTTACATCCGCCTCAAGCCTACCATACTACGTAGCAGTGGCTGGCAGCAAGCCGTCTCCGATTGACTTCCTCACTTAGTCTTGATAGTCACACACACACATACACACACTGACATAGACACACCCTCGCACACGCCCCATGAGGCGTGTGCCACAGTTCGTGAGTGCCACTTTGCCGGCTGCGTATGCAGGCTGTACCGCTGCATCTCACGACGACTGCCCCTTCTGTCTTTTCCACAACAGCGAGCCATACCCGCCAACCCCATCCTGTTCCATCCCATCCCCATCTCATGGCGTTCTACTCCACTACGGTGCTTGGTACTGTCGAAGCTGCTGTTGCTGCCCATGTCTTCATGTATGCAGGCTACCCCTCCCTAGCGCCGTCCCCTCTGCTCCATTCCCGTCTGCATCGCTCAATCTTACCACCCCTCGTGTGAGCATTGTACCTGGTCATCATCGTCCTGGCAGCACTCACTAATAACGTTGGATGTTGTTCCACATCCATCCACAGTGATGGACGTGCATAGTAACCGTAAACCTCGCTAGAAACCGACGATTAGGGCCACGACATTCGTAACTGGCTTGCAGAGCACTCTGGCCTCTGATTGCCTTGCTCTTGCGATTGCGCTTAGTCCCCTTTTCCCGTTATTATGCAAAGATGTAAACAGGAGGTGCAGCTTCCCATTAAAACCGTAACAATCAAACACATCCTACCCATGTACTCCATTCAGGACGCTTCATACTTGATGTGGGAGTGGAATCTAAAGGCAGATAAAGGATAAGGGCCGCAGAGAAAAACATGCGCTGGCCCAGTTTTGAAGATGCCACTTGTTACCCTTCGCTCTTAAGTTTGTCCGCATATAATTATGTTATGTGGTGGTGATCAAGTTTATTGACGTCGTGGGTAAACTGTTCGGCGGTGCATCGTCTGATTCGTCCTGTCCAGTCTACAATCCCAACTGCGCATGCGCCTGCGTTTAATTTATCAGGCATGTTGAGGGTCAAACCGCAGTTAATCAGGCCAAAGATGGATTTGAGTAAGGCGTCTCAGGCAACTTTGAACTTCAGGGAAGCATACTTGAAAGTAAGTCGCTTCAAAGTGATGGGATGAGAACTGCAACGTAGCCGTACCAGACCAACCAGCAGTACACTGAGAAGGGGTACCTGACAAGGCAGGGAAAGGCAGAGGTTAAGTTAGTACATCTCACGACACTAACAAGTAAAGGTACGGAGCGCTATACCCTACTAACAGGGTTCCACTCCGAGAACTAGACATCCCTGCCCCGGTCCTGCCGCAACCCTGAGTCGCCGCAGGCTGGGTACCCACGCACCACACAGATTGAAACTTCTCTCTGGAAGGGAATCAAGCGCCACATGGGAGTGGACGGTACGGACCCACGTCGCGAGCCAGCTCTCCCCCCAAAAAAAAACCAAGCGCACAGACCAGTTGTACCTAACTCCTAGTAGATACTTGAGTTCAATGGCACGCAGACCCCGGCTGCTACCTCGGCCGACACTAACGTTCTGAGTCTTTACCCATATAAAAAGGTCTCCATAAGCTGTTTCTGCTTGTACCTTTGGACCCATAGTGAAAGTAGCATTACTCCGCCGGATACTTCCCATCTTGGCATACGCCTGGTCCCACCTCAGGCGGGCACAGAGCAGTTCCTCCCCAAGCGGCCAGGGCAGGCGGCTCCCCGTCTCTGGTCTCTCTCTACCTGTGCACCTAGCCGGAGCACACACACACTCTCTCACACTCACACCCCTACCTCTCTCTCACTTGGCCTGGGCTGTCTCCTCTCTTTCCACTCGCCAGCCTCTTCAGGTCCTTTCTTTCCTTCCTCCTTGCCTAGCCCGAACTTTTTCTTTCCCTTCTCTCTTTTTCCCCATCTCCGCCGTGACAACCTCGACGCGCGAGCGCAGCATCGCCATCATCCTCAATCGACATCACGTCCTTCCATCTCATCGTCCACGAACCCCGACGGCATCGGTATCGGCTTCGCGCATCCACCTGCGTCTCCCTGACTGGACGGCTTTGCCGCCTTGTGCTGTCGCTGTTACTGCCAGCCAGAAAAACCCCAGACCTTGCCTTAGGTAACCCGCGCCTTTTCTTCTGCACCCGCTATACCGAAGGGGGTCCATTGCGGCGACGCCCAAATTTTCCGAGTCTTGCCCACCACACATTCCCATCATCGTCATCCGACCGATACTGCTTTATCGTCGGCCTTCGATCGGCAGCCACCCGCTTACGCCTCTATCATTCCCCTTATTTATTATCATCGCCGACCCTTGCCCGGCCGACGAGATATCTGTTGCCGTTGTTGACGACCATCCACAGCTCCAATTGCAGCCATGTCTATGTATCCGCATCGCGCCATGGGCGCGGTGCCCCCCAACAACTCGGCCCGACTCAATGAGTTGCTCGACCAGATCAGGTCCGAGTTCGACTCGCAGATGCGCACCACTGAGGGTTACGAACACCAAAGTAAGCCATTTGCGCTCGACACATGGTTATCTCCCAGACTAACAGCCTTCCTGTAGTTCAAGCTCAAGTTCAAGAGATGCAGCTCGTTAGGGAAAAGGTCTACGCGATGGAACAGGCGCAGATGAACCTGAAGCAGAAGTACGCGATATGATGCGCTCTCGCAAACTAAACACCTGAAAATGCTGACGCCGTTCCCGAACAGGTACGAGGAAGAAATTGCCATGCTCCGCCGTCAGCTCGAAGGAGCACGCGGAAACGCGCCCCCCAGCATTGGCGGCCCTCCTCCCCATGCCGGTCCGTCGCAACAGCCTCCTTCTATTGCTCCCGGCAACGGTCTCTTCAACGGCATCATGACCGGTGGTGGCCAGGGCCAACTGGCCCCTCCTCCCCCTCCTCCGCCTCAGGACCAGCAGATGGGCCCCCAGCACCAGATGGCTCAAGGCCCTCCGGGACTCCCTGTCCCACCACCTCCTCCCCCCCCACAGTCGCAGCAGCCTCCTTTCCAGCAATATCCTCAGGGCCCCGTATCTAACGGCCTTGCATCCCAACCTCCCCAGAGCACCGCATCGCCGGGTCCCGGCAGACGGGGAATTGGCAGACCGCCTGCCGCTGTTGGACCGGCTACTCCTCAAATCAACACACCGATCCCTTTCCCTGGCGCGACCCAGTCGCCCCAGGTCAGCCACCCGACGCCCGACCACGCCCGAATGGGAGGCCCTCATGCCCCTCCGGTGGGAAACGCTCTTGGAGACCTTGACCCTGATCGTCTTCCCCCTCATTCTAAGAAGTCGGGCCATGACTGGTTCGTCATCTTTAACCAGCACGTCCCCCGTATGCTGGATGTTGACCTGGTGCACACTCTTGCCCATGAGAGTGTGGTCTGCTGCGTGCGTTTTAGCCACGACGGCAAGTATGTGGCCACCGGTTGCAACCGGTCTGCTCAGATTTACGATGTTCAGTCTGGAGAGAAGCTTTGCGTCCTCCAGGATGACAGCGTCGACATTACCGGCGATCTCTATATCCGAAGCGTTTGTTTCAGTCCTGACGGCAAATACCTTGCCACTGGTGCTGAAGACAAGCTGATCAGAGTAAGTAAAAACACGAATGACAAATACCGTGAGCAATGATGCTGACAAGCTGCTTCTAGGTTTGGGACATCGCATCTCGACAAATCCGAAACACCTTTTCAGGCCACGAGCAAGACATTTACTCCCTGGACTTTGCTCGTGACGGTCGCACGATTGCCTCCGGCAGTGGAGACAGGACGGTTCGTCTCTGGGATATTGAGCAGGGTACCAACACCCTTACTCTTACTATCGAGGATGGCGTTACCACCGTCGCAATCTCCCCCGATACTAAGTACGTTGCCGCTGGCTCCCTCGACAAGAGCGTACGTGTTTGGGATATCCACCAGGGCTACCTGTTGGAACGCCTCGAGGGCCCTGATGGCCACAAGGACAGTGTCTACAGCGTTGCTTTCTCTCCCAACGGTAGAGACCTTGTCAGTGGCAGTCTGGATAAGACTATTAAGATGTGGGAGCTCAGCACTCCTCGCGGCTTGCCAAACCCTGGACCTAAGGGCGGCCGTTGCGTCAAGACGTTTGAGGGCCACAGAGTGAGTTTACCTGCAAAGGCGTTTTGTCGTGCATTTCACGTGCTAAATAGTTATAGGATTTTGTTCTTTCTGTTGCCCTCACTCCTGACGCGGCTTGGGTCATGTCTGGTTCCAAGGACCGTGGTGTCCAGTTCTGGGACCCTCGCACCGGAGCTACGCAACTCATGCTCCAGGGACACAAGAATTCGGTCATTTCGGTCGCGCCCAGCCCGACTGGAGGCTACTTTGCCACTGGTTCTGGAGACATGCGGGCCCGTATCTGGTCTTACCGTAGCGTCCAGTAAGGGATGAAGCTGTGGAAGTGGCCAGAGGAAGAGTGGTTCTATGCCTTGTGAGCGACAAATATGTATACCAGTAACCGGTGTCGAGCGGGGGTGATCTGTTAGTCAGTGGTTTAAGGCGGGAAATGTTGTCCCTGTCTCTGTCTTGGGATGTCCTCAGTCAATCAGACGGACAGGACGGTAGGGGCGCTTGGGCAGGGATATGTCGGAATCTCGTAGCAAATAGCCGTCGCTAATGAAAGATTTGAAGTTTTGCATATTGCTGTGGTATTGAGATCTACATGAGAGAGCTAAACAAGTCTGAAAATTCGTCGCCCTTCTTTGATGTCTTCTTTTTCGGTTTCCTCTCTGCTTTTTTATCTTTGGCGGGTTTGACAGGTCCTATGTCATCTAGTGCTGCAGTTACCTTCCGCTTCTTTGGCTTCGTGGCGTCCTTGAACTCTGATTCCGGAGCACAAAGCTCGGTCTTGATACCCAGGCGTAACTGGTCCCGAGAGATGACTACACCAAGTCCTCTCGGATCGGGCTCGTTGACGTCTTCTTTCTTAGACGCGGTCACCAAGGGAGCAGCTGACGGCATGACAGGCACTTCTCCGGGGCCCTTCTCAGACTGCTGAGGTGCCAAAGGCGCAATTGCAGTGTTTATGCTGGCTAAGACGCCCAAAAGGACCAAGCCCAGGGCGGCATGCTGGTTATCAGCAGTCAGTTGCGTGAAGGCTCTTGTTTCATTAGCATACATGGGGCGCAAGCCAAGAAAGGGAACATGACTTACAAAAATGACGATGGGATAGTTACGTTTAGGAGTACTTGAACCCTGGCGGTGATGTCGTCATCTAGAGCATTTTGTGCCTTGGAAGCCTTTTGCTGTTTTGGCTTTTTGAAGTGCCGGGCTTGGGTGTTGCGGAGGCGGAGGACGAGGGCGTCTTCGAGCCTCCTGACCGAGCGGCGAAGGAGGTCGAACTGCGTCCACCAGCGGGCGACGCGGTGCTGGTTCTTGTTGCGATGATTGAAGCTGTCAAGGATATGGAGGACGGGGATAAGGGATTTGGAAATTTCCTCATCTAGAAAGCGATGGTCGGATGAAGAGTCGATGTCTGGTACGCCTGGCTTCATGTCACTCCTTGGCAGTGGGCGTCTTGTTGACAAGATTTTTTTGGTCGCTTCTTCTCACGTATCTTTTGCGACGATTGGAATGGACGGAATAAGCCGATGTGCAAGAAACGTTTACAGTGCCAGCGCTAGAACGCGGACAGGGGTCAGGAAAGCATAGGAATAGTAATGGGCCAAATGATGGTTGGATCGGATCGGTGCAGATTTAGTTTGCTAAGGGACGTCCGGTGGTGTGTTGCTGGTAGGCAAGAGGTGGAGTTCATCTGTTTCTTATTTTACTGTTTCTCATTTCCGGAATGAGAAGGAAACCAGCATGGTCCATGGAGACTTGCTGTTTCCGCCACCAGGTCAAGCTTTGAGTCAGCATGCTACAATGGAGAGAGGTCGAGGTTGTCAAATAAAAACTGAAGCACAAAACAAGAAAGAAAGAAGAAAAACGGCGGTTTTGGAGACAACTGATGAGACAAAGAAAACAAGGGACCGTGCGACGGGCCGCCTGTAGTTGAAGTGGGAACAGACTCGGAAGACTAAATTCACATCACGGGGATTGTCTTGTGTGACATTTTAGGACTTCAACTATAGCTTCAAGCTGCCATGAGGTAGAGGAACCTTTCGCGTACCCAGCTACACATGCGGCGAACATGTGAGCACGAGGCTCGAGCATCGCAGGTTATGAAAAAATAAGCTTCGCTGACAGTCGCTCCGGGAATGCGGCGGTTCGTCCATTGCAGATTGCAGGATAATCCCTCAAGTCTTAGCCGATTCGGGGGGGGAAACTCGACGGTCCTCGACCTATGGTCAAGGCCAGAGAAACCTTAAGTCGCGATGGCATCATTGCATGAGCGTAAGCGCTCTCATCAACTTTAGATGGCATGTCGGGTGGAAAGGGCTCATGAAGGTATGCAAGTAGCGGTGAGTAACGGGGTACTGGGGATGTTGTCCTTGCCTTTACCCGAGGTACTAACGGTTTACTGGTGTCTGGGGGACAGTGAGGTAATAAGGCATCAGGGGAGCCAGTGCCGACACTGGGGGAAGGGAATGACAAGAACAGTGCCAGATGATGTCGAGAAACGCTTGGGTACCGTGCGGATTACGTGGGGGCAAAAGTGGGATGACGGAGGAGGTAGACAAGCAGACAACTTGGAAATGGCAGGCGTACCTCTCTCATCAAGCCCAAAGGCCCTGTTGGAGGAACAAGGCAAGGAAGGCAACGGTGGTGCGGTAGGCATGCAGCCGAGTGGAGCTGGGGTGAGTTCTGGCCGCTGCAACGCCCTGCACCTCGTAGTACTGAACAGTCGGCATTGCCCAACCACAAGCGCGGATGCGATAAGACAGCCGAGTCTTGACGATGCAGCCAGCGTCATGAAAACCAGATTCAGAAACCAGCTGACTTACTATCGCTGCTCCTCTCCACCAGCAGCCGGCTGCCCTTGTTTATCAGCGCCTCTCGCATTGGGGTAATGGGTCCGAATTCCGTACATAGCGATGCAGGTCAATCTAAGAACATCTCTCGTGCGTGATAGACATGGGCGACTATTAGCTTAGGTTATTTGTTTTCTCTAGTCATTCCATCATCAAAGCCCCCAATATCTCCTCCTCCTCCTCCTCCTCCTCCATGGAGTAACCACCTGCACCCTGATCTACCAGAGTACCCGAATTCTTTTTCATCTCTGGCTTCGTGCCGTTCGACTCTTTTTTCCTCCTGTAGGGCAGAAGTATCTTCAGCTGCCAGATTGGCTGGGGTGCCTTCTTCCCACCTTTGGGGATCCTTGGCTTCCGTGCATCTTCAAGTTTTCTCTTGTTTCTCCCGACTTCTTTTCGACTCCCCTCCTCTCTTCTTCTTTTCTTCCTTCTTCCTCGCCCACCACAAACCGTTTAAATTGACAAGACTCCGCTGGGTGCAAGCCCTGCGTCTTCTCTGCTCACCACGCGACGTAACTTCAACCGTTATCTCTGTCGTCCGCCCTCCAATCCACTCGTCGTGGAGCAGCCAGTTGGAACATTACCCTGTTACCTGCGACAACCTGGCTCCGGAGCGCCCACTACGCTATACACTAGCACCGTCTCAATCTCCCGCGACTTTTCTCCACTTGGACTATCAAGGGGGGTTAAAGGCAGATTTGCGAGCTATCGATACACGGCTTTACCTATTGTGTAGCAAGGTAGTGCCTAGTGCCTAGTGCTGTCTGTATACACGTCCGAACGCTCGCGTCTAGAAAAAGCGATTTGCGACCGCGGAAGATTGTCAATTCTTGTCCTCGCGCCTTTCTCGTCTTCACAAACCCTTGCGTTCAGGCCAGTCTTCCCAGAGTCCAATTCCGCGTTGCGCCTTATTCCACTCTGCCTAACGGGTTCCATCCATGGCCTCAAGAAACCCTTCAACCTGGGACGAATACGAACGGGGCGCCTCCCCCCAGCGCTCTGTGAGTATCGATTCCAATGCTGTCACTGAGGACCAGTCCCTTCTCGGTGACGACGAAGAGAATGCGTACGGCAGCAGTCACCACGGCCTCCGCCGTCGAAGGTAAGTTTGATAAACCTTTGTTTTCTCTTTACGCCGGTTGTTATTATCGTTGACCTCATGCGACTCCCCGCTAACCCCGCCAAGGTCGTCAGTAACGCGACATCTCGCCGCCATCACCGACATTGGCGGTGTCAACAGCATTCGCTCCTTTACTCGCAGTTGGGCTCGTGCCGCAGGCTTCGCTGAAGTCATCCCCCAGCGCCCATCTTTTGTTTTCGCACCCGATCAGGCCCCGATTGCCTCCTCATCGGCCGAAGCGCTCGATTACTCTCGCAGCTACGTCGAACCCGAATCTCAACCAAGAACCTCCCTGCTAAGGCAACATCTTGAGGCAACACCCGAAAATGTGGCAAGCTCCTCGCAACAAAATGGTTCCTCTGCGTCTGAGGCCCTCGGAGACTCTGCCCATACCGACTTTCGCGAGAGAGAACGGAAATATGTCGAGGCAGAAATGTCTGGAGCTAACTACGGCTCCAGCTTCGGGAGTGGTCGCCGGCCATCACAGTCCATTTTCGCCGTTGCGCCTCACTTGGCAACCCCGCCCCTTTTTGGCAGTTACGGTTCGTACCGGACCTATGGGACCATATCCGACGTAGACGCCCCGTCTATGGCCCAGGCCGGTGAGCTTTGGCGACAGCAGCAACAGGCAGGTGTCAACGTGCCGGATGGGGAGCATCCCCAAATCCTAGTGAAGGAGGTTGAACAGGACGGCAAGATTGTTCTCACTGTGGAGGGCCAGTCGACATTGCCTCAAACTATCTTCAATTCGATCAAGTATGCAACCTCAGCTCCAACGAATGTTAGCGATAAGTAGTACTAACCTTCAATGCAGCGTTCTGATCGGCGTCGGCCTTCTGAGTTTGCCCATGGGCATCAAGTATGCAGGTTGGATTTGCGGCATGATCATCCTGGCCGGTTCTGCGGCCGTGACTGCTTACACAGCAAGGCTTTTGGCAAAATGCATGGACTTAGACGCTAGCTTGATCACGTTCTCCGATTTGGCCTACATTTCATATGGTCGTAATGCGCGTATTGCAACCAGTATTCTGTTCACCATGGAGTTGCTGGCTGCTTGCGTTGCACTTATCGTCCTCTTTGCCGACTCCCTGGTCCTACTCTTTCCAGGGTTCCTGAGCATCAACATGTGGAAAATCATTTGCTCTCTGGTTTTAGTTCCCCTCAACTTCCTTCCGCTGCGGCTGTTGAGTTTCACCAGCGTGATTGGCATCGTGTGCTGTTTCAGCAGTAAGTTACAGCAATCTCTAATCTCCATTGTGATCCAATCACTGATCTGGCATAGTTGTCTTGATTCTGGTGATTGATGGTCTCATCAAGCCGACCACACCTGGTTCGCTTATTGAGCCTGCTACAACATATCTTTTCCCAGCAAACTGGGGCACATTGCCACTGAGCTTTGGCTTGCTCATGAGTCCCTGGGGTGGTCACAGTGTCTTTCCTAATGTAAGTACATACCAACGACCGGTTGACTGCGGTCCTTTAACACTCTGGAACAGATCTACAGAGATATGCGCCATCCCCACAAGTATCCCAGAGCTGTCAAGACAGTCTTTTCGTCTGTAGTGAGTTGCCTACAACAGATCTGGTCCCCCGCCATGCTGAAACTAATTTTCAACAGTATCTGTTGGACGCATTCACGGCTGTCGTTGGTCTTCTGATGTACGGCGATGATGTGATGGATGAAATCACGGCCAACATCCTCCGGACAAGCGGCTACCCTCGCGCGCTTAATTTCTTGCTCTGTATATTCATTGCCATCATCCCCTTGACCAAGATTCCACTCAACGCCAGGCCTATCATCTCCACCCTGGAGGTGTTGACGGGCATCCATCAGCATGCCGTCGCCGACAACCAAGCTATGATTGGCCGTTCTGCCACGTTTCGTGGCGTGATGAAGGTCGCCATTCGAGTGATCACCATTTTCGTGTTCCTTGTCATATCCATTGTATTCCCGGCTTTCGATAGCATTATGGCGTTCATGGGTAGCGCCTTGTGTTTTACCATTTGTGTGCTGTAAGTAAAACCCTCTTTGCCCGTGGTTCGAGACTCGGTTCTAACTTGGTCCAGTTTGCCGCTTGCATTTTACGTCAAGTTGTTTGATAAGGAGATCACCGCTAGGGAGAGATTGCTGTGCTACACGCTCATGTTTATCTCAACCGTCTTGTCAGTAACAGGCACCGTCTGGGCTTTCCTTCCCAAGAGCCTTTTTGGCGCAGAGTAACCTGGTGGTGGGTTTATTCTGTTTGACGACTTATGCATTTCTGGAGTCCTGGCTACCGATCGGTCATTGCATGGCGCTGGTGGCAACTGTTTCTAGTTACCTGCATGAAGAGTTTCTGTTCTTTCGCAATTTGGTCTGTTATATGTAACTGTCGCGTTGCCGGTGTGTAGTTGGGAGCCATCTACATGGCGAAGCATGTAGATGCTAGGAACTTGTGGAAATAAAGAACAAACGTTGCAACATTGGTCTCTGTTGACATTAAACTTGCCATTGTTCGCTACCGTTGCCTCATCTACTCTCTGGATTCATTTCTGCGAATGCTTCGGGAGATGGAATCTGGTTTTAAGAAAAGGAAAAAAGAAAAAATAGGGAAAAAGCAGGTATGTAACGCTCGGCAAACCCGTGTTGTAAGAATTGTCCTTCTACTGCAAGGCAGGAGGACGGTTGAACTCAGTTGGACGCGGGCTTGAGGACAGCTTCATAACCGAACCTGTAGCCTTGCTGCCATCGTCGTGCAGCCCGCTGTGTTAACCATGTCTAGAGGTAACGTGATTATCTTGCTGGTGGGGAAGAGTAAGCTACCACGGCTGACTCGTTCGAGGCCTCCAGGATTTGCAACTGCTCGACAACCTGCCTGTCCGGCCCTGTTGAACCGACCGACTGACCGACCCCAATTACTTCGGTCGCATGGGAACTTTCGGGGCACACGGCACGAGGCATCAGAGACATGGGACAGCAGCAGAGTATTGGCTACATATATTGCACCTTGGCAAACGCCGCCTTCGCAAACCACTCCGTTCAAAGACGAGGTGTTACTTGTTGCTACTACTACTATTAGGTACAGCGATTGACCTATGGGCCTACTTAACCTGAATGGCGTCGTCAACTTGAAAAACCTTCGAGGTATGGGAGGATCGTGTCGGCTGTGGCAAACATTTACAACAACTTACCCACCAGATCTAGACTTGTCTCGGCCGCTTTTGGACGGGCGGCGCCGAAATTGCCTGTGTCCGAATCGACCCCGGGTTTTCGAATCCAAGCATGACTTAACATACTGACGTTGTTCAAGAGAACGTTGATCCACGCGAAGAAATCCTGATGACGCCATCTCTTGAGACTGGGAACTGGCAAATGCTGAAGGATGTCAGGGCCAAGTCGCAGAGCTGTAAATTGACATACTAGACGTAGGGCTGGTCTTGGTGAAACGGTAAACTCGGTTCACGCTCCATAATGTCCATTAGTCTCGGAAGTGGATTCGGGCTGCGACTTTCAAGCGGGGACGGCATCAGATGACGTAGCACCCTTGAGAGAATGGCCAGGGGAAGGACATAAAGGGTGGACATGCGGGTTGGTTAGTATGTCACAGCTGGAATACAGTCACTGGGTTATGAGAGAAACTATCTTGAGTGGGTAACTTCTGGTATTGTTCATTAATCTGGAGATATCTAATACACAGAAAGCGAGTTGAGTCTAGTGATCCAACCAGGCACCAAAATTTGCCGTCCATGACCACTGAGCCGAGCATGATAGCGTTACGGTCAATGGGCTGACGAACCTGGCAAAGTCCTGCAGGAGTAAACTCAACCACAAGAGGTGGCCCGACTAGGAATGTGCTTCCTGCCAGCCACCAACCCACTCGACGTCTGCGAGATCAGTGCGCTTCTCCCGGCGCCAATAATTCCAATCTCTGCCCTTATTCCAGGGGCATTCCTTAATCTTTTCCTTCGGCGATTTGTGATGGATGTTGTGGTTCGCATATTGGTCCCAAACTCCCGCTGCGTATGAATTGAATCCTAGTCCGAGCGCACGTTGTTGTCGGGCGAAATCACCCGACTTTTGCGTGTAAGACGAGCCGGTGTACGCCCGGCGGCGTTCACCAAGTGCGCTCCACTTGTCAACCTGATCCCTCTTAGGGGGCGACTGCCGAGTAGAGAGCATTAGCTTCGACTTGGGCGGGGACGAGTCCTGGAAGAAGAACCCATCCGCCGCCAGATCACTGTCGATGTCGTTGTGAATTTTGTGAGTGTCGTTGTGGTAGGTGCGCTGTGGGGTAGTTGCAATTGGCGTCGCGTCAACAGTGTCGCAATCGTCAGTCTTGCTGTCATGGCTCCACGTCCTGGAGTTCAGCTCCTTGAGAGACTGCATCTGCCTGGTGCGCTCAGCCTCAGCCTCTTCCTCCTCCTCATCCTCGTCCCACATGTCACTCCAACTCTTGGAGACGACATCCTTGCGACCAAATACCAAGGACATAGAAGACAGATTGCTTCGAGGTTTGGCCATGTTGATCGGAAGGGAGCCGGCCATTGGAGAAACCTTGGGAATGGGCCGGGGCGCCGCCTTAATGGGGCGACCAATGTGTAGCGACTTCATCGAGGCACCAAGGCTGGAGTTAAGCATCGAGGAGACCGAAGGAGTCTGAACAGAGCTAAACCAGTCCGAGGTTTCCCCAGACTTGGAAAAGAGATCCTCAGTGTAGCTCTCGTCGTCAGGGATGGCGCTGAGCTGGCGGATGGGATGAGGTGGGCTGGCGTGGAGGGCCTTGGCCCAGGGGAAAGCACCTTGTTCCACTTGCGGGCTCTGGATGGAAGGAGTCCGTAGAGGCTCGCGGTTGGCGCTGGCCATAACGTAACGCTCAGCGGAGCAGAAATCGTCAACATCCTCCTCGGATGTTGTGAAGCTGACGACACGCTGAAGAGCAGCACGAGCGCCAACAAGAGATCTCTTCTTGGGGTCCAAGTTCATGCACTGAACAATCACCTCATAGGTGTCCTGCGACATGGACGGGAAGACGTCGAAGAGAGACTGCTTGTCCCGGGAGAAGTCCAAGAAAAGCGGGTCTGCCTCGGTCGGGGTGGTAAAGGGGTTACGCGAAAAGAGGATGTTGAGAAGGCAGATGCCAATGGCCCAGATGTCAGCCTGAGCAGGAGAATAACCAGCACCAGCAGAGTCGAATTGCTCAGGAGCCATGTAGCGATCGCTGCCAACCGTTGTCTCCAGCGTCCAGTTTTCGGTAGTAGCGAGACCAAAGTCTCCCAGCTTCATAGCTCCGGATTTGGTGAGGAAGATGTTCTCCGGCTTGATGTCACGGTGGTACACACCCTTGTTGTGGATGTAGGCGACCGCGTCAACAAGCTGCAGCATGAACTGTCGAACGTGTTCGGTCTCGAGAGGCCCATGACCGTTCCGAATGGCTTCGTACAAGTCACCCTGAGGGCAGAATTCGAGGACAATGTAGAGGTGAGCCTCTGTCTCGAAAGAGCGAAGCAGGTTGACAATGTTTGGGTGCGCCCCAAGGCGGCCGTGAAGTGTAAGCTCTTCGGACTTCTCGTCGACAGCGAAGTCGAGACCAGCGTCGTCGGAAGCTGCCTTCTTGGTCAAGCACTTGATGGCAACGGTCTCGTTGGTGTGCAAGTCCTTGGCCATGAAGACCATGCCGAAGGACCCGTGGTTGAGGGGAGAGATGGTCTTGTACCGACCATCGAGCAACACACCATTCTGGAAGTTATCTCTCAAGCATGCCATGTCGAAAACGGGGGGAAAAAGAGGTTTGATGGAGCAAGGGTATCCGAAAGAAGAAATGAAGTGACGAAGAAATGATGATACAGCCGTTAATCAAGCTTTTGCCCGCTTTTCAGTGGTTCGTTGAAGAGGAAGGCGGATACAAAGATGTCCAAGTATCGAGGAAGGAGGCGTAGGAGATGGTGTAGTTTGTTTTTGGTTGGCGTTGGTCGATGAAGAGGTAGAAGAGGTGTTGCCAAAGAATATACAAGTTTGAAAGACAAATCTAGCAGGAAATAACGCGATATCTAACTCCTATTCGTTCACGTATCAGAGGCTCATTGATGGGTATTTTTTTGTGGCTGTTGTCGAACAAATGAAAGCGAAGGTCTGTTGTTTGGTTGTTGATGTTGTTGGGTCGTTAAGCGGTAGGGACGTCGAGAGGTCCGAAAAGACAAAGGCAGTTTCGTTATGAGGACATTGAAATGGAATAAGTATTGCGATGAAAGGAGAGAATGGTGTCCAGAGATGGAAGAAACGGTTGGCGAAGTCGGCGCTGAAAGGCTTGATTCGCGAGGAAGAATCGAAGATGTCGAGTCCTGATCAAGAGAAGTCGAGTGAGGAGCGAGTTAGCACCAGACGGCAGGTTATGCGTATCAGGTTGCTGTCTCTGATTGGCACGGAGGCCGAGATGGATGGTTGTAGATGGCCGAGAGTAGCTTCGTCGAAGTGTGATTGCAACGGCTTGCAAGCAAGCTAACTACCGGTATCGGCAACAAGGTTGGCTACAGCAGCATTCGAGCGTTTTGAGGAGCGGACTTGAGAACGAATCGGATGAAGAAATCGTTCGAGTCGGAATGGAAAGTTGAGGGGACCTGAGCTCCTTTTAATTGGGAGGTGGGATGAGTCGTTGCTTAAGGAGCACGCGAGAACTGAGGAATGGCAAAGGCGGGGGGGAAGTGAGTCAATGGACACGGATGTGAGTGGGTGTGCGCGATGACAGCAATGCCAGTAGTGGAGTAGGTCGACGTCGAAGTCCTAGGGGCCTCTCTTTCTCTTCTCTCAGTCGATGATTGACGGATTGATATAAGAGTCAAGTCTTCGGCGGAGGTCGTAGATTGCGTGATTGCTTGCAATAATGACTCGCGGTTGGCTATCTCGATGGATTGCGAGTGCTTTGATTGTGAACGGCGGGCGGTGAGGTTGGTCGGAGAGGGGGGAGGAAAGGCGAGAGAGGAGGTTGAAGCGGATGAGGAGGGTGGCGGTGGAAAAGGTGGCAAGCAAGGAGAGCAAGAGAGGCCGTTGACGACGATGAAGGATACGGGAAGGTAGAGGAGGGAAGATGAGTGAAGGGAAGGATGAAGATGGTAGAAGGGGGAGTATTAGAGTAAAGTAGGTAAGTGCAGGATGTAGGCAGGCAGTAGTCAGAGTACACGAGTACACAGGCAAGTTGGACGAAGGAAAAGGGTGGTGGGCAGGCGGTGCAGGGAAGACAAGGCGAGAAAGAGGGTGCGAGAGCGTGAGTGTGTGAGCAACAGAACAAGTGAGAGAAGAAGATGGAGGTGGATGGACGAGGATGGATTGGCGTGGATTCGATAGGAAGGATGGGATGGCATTAGGTTGGGGAAGAGAGGCAGAGAGCGAGAGAGCGAGAGAGCAAGCGCAAAGACCGGGGGAGCAAGGCGAGATTGGGAGGGAGTGAATGAGTAACTCAGGTCAGAAGGTCAGGTACAGTACGAGTGGAGGAGGTACATTGCGTACACCACCATGGACCATACTATGGCCCGGTACCTCTGAATGACGGGACGGCGGAGGACGGCGGTATGGCAGGGAAGGGGGCCGAGAGAGGCGGTGGGCGAGGGCGGTACGTACCAAAGATGCCGCCAGCTGGGAAGCATGGGCATGGAGCATGGCGCACTACGTGGAATGATGGGGGAGGGGACCGGGATGGCAGAATGGTAGGATGGCGCTGCGGGTGGGACGACACAGAAGCAGCCCTGCAGCCACTCCCTGGTCAACCACGATGGTTATCTGTCGTTGCTTTGCTGTACTTCTGCAGGAGAGACTGGTTTGACTGGGTTTTGCTTATGGCTGGGCTGGTAACAAACACGACGCGATGCTACGCCAGACCGGCAGACCGACAAACCAGCCCTCGAGAATGCATATTTTGTCTTCCTTGCAACAGTACAGAGGGGGCAGGAAATGAGAGAGTGTGAGCGTGAGCAAGAGCGTGAGTGTGAGAAACTTGGTACAGGCGGCACACACTGTGTTGAAAGCACCAAACACTGTCGAGCTTAACGAAGGCTGGCCACTCACATCAGCCCGAAGGCCCCACCTCCTGTCTCTGAGTGGCCTGTTTCGTTTCTTGCGACGCTCCGCTACGTTCCGTTTAAGGGGGCCACCCAGCTGGGAACCTGGAGGGCGTGCACCGTCATGCTGTGATGCTACGGCGGTGACATAAAGTCGTAACGGAATAACGTACCGTTTACAGCACTTGCTGTCGTCGCACCGACACTGACGGGGGCCAAGGGTGCCAAGGCACACACTGTAGACGTACCCATGGAGGCTCGCATAGGAACGAGGATAAGATTGATAACCTGGCAGTCCAGGTGACATAATTCGTAGTGGATACCTCGCCCAACGTGTGTCTGTATTGTCTCCATTCCAATAAGTAGGTAGACGAGAGAGAGAAAAAAAAAAAAAACATGCCGCCAGTCCGTCCGCCTGCCCCGTCATAATCTCGGGCCCCACACGGAGTACGTTCAGGTGCCTTGCTGAGGACACGAAAGCTGGGAATCTCTCGTAGGAGAATAACAGTCATACAGTCATGCTCTGAGTGAGGCAGTGGCCCAACTGCTGCATACCAGGGGTCCGATACCTACGTAGCATATTACTCCGTAGTGGGCACCGGGGAAATGTCCATGCCCGCTTCAGCTATCGCGGACGAAGCCTTGACTGTTACTCATCGTTGGACCCCGAATGACCGAATGACTGAGTTGGCGGAGTTGATTGATCAGTCGGCACGGATTTCAGCAGAGCACGACATCACCCGCCTAGTGGCTTCTTCCATCGGCTTCGACGGCAGACCAAAGCGTGATCGACTAGAAACACGCAATCTCCAAGCGGATGATAACACTGTGTTGTCCTCTGCCTACACCGTCGAGAATGTGTCGCAGTTGATGTGAATCGCACGGATGTAGAGATTGACGGTGTGCAGCCCCACGAAGCCTGTAAACAACCTAATGACAACACCGACATCAACATTACTACATACTAGTACAGCAAGGACAACATAAACAACAACAATAACAAGAAATGGATGTGGTGGGAGGAAAGGGGTGTACCATCAACTTAATCAACCCAGGCCAATCAAAAGCGTTCAACACTATAGCTATGACGGATGCGGGTACCGAAGATGGTATGCGTGGTACACAGTCGAAATGTGTACTGGCAGTGCATATCGGAGAGATCTAAAGTATCTCCAAAGCACAGGAGATGGCCGAGGGCGTATTGCGGCAGAGCTCACAATCATAGTATTACCATGGCAGTACTAGTAGACTCACGGGATATTTGCAGTGCTGGGGACACCCTGCAGGCTGCATGAATGAGCGAATGGCTGGCAGGCTGTTCGACCAGGATTGACATTGACATGAGCTGGGTGGCTCGAGGCCGTTCGTTGACTGGCTGCAAGGGACCACCTGGGGTTGAACACATTGCAACTCTTTTGTCTCTGGCTTCCGTCTGCACGGAGGGTGGTGAGGCTGGCTAGGCACTGACTGATACGGATACTGTATCCAGCACTGCAAGGGCGAGACAAGAAACAAATACTACGTAGTACATTGCAAGCCCATGGTGTGAGCCAAGCCCCTCATTAGCCCCCAGCGAAAGAGGTCCAGAATTTGAGTCTCTTTGCCTTTCAATCACGACCAAGAGGCGCCGGCGCTGGGAAACGCGCCTGGCGCTCACTGTCGCCATATCGTGGAGCAACAGTACCTTTACAAACACCTAATTAGTTGGCTATAAACAATGGCAGTGGCCTGGTTGGCGCAGCTGCTATGCACTGCCGGCTGCGCACTACGTACCTGACAGCCACCGATCTTTTTCCAAAAAGGCAAAGCAGAAGGGCCCCGTTCAGCTGCGTGGTTAGTCGCCACACCGCCTGGTACGTGATCGGCAGGTACACCGCGGCAAGGCGAAGGCTGTATAATCGACCTAGGTGCCATGTACCGCAATCTGCTCCTGCTGCCACCCATCAGTGTGCAGTCGTGTGCTAGCTTGCCAGCTTCTGCGCCCACCCGCCGACGCCGATTCGAATGATCGCTTGATACGGGCGGGAAGCGCGCAACCGTCCAAGAAACCTGATCGACAGGCCCAGCCAGGGCCTCTCAAGACGCCTAGCACCAGTGCACAGTATCAATGAAAGGCCAATAGTTCATGGGTATGAGCGAGAGAATCACGCACGCCAGGTACAGGCACGACTAGCATCAGTGGTGGTAGTGAGTAGCAGCAACAGAAGCAGCATCGTCAACGCCTTGTTATCGTGCCCACGGCGTGTTTAGATTGTTGTGGAGACACTACGATGGGCCTCAAAAAGGGGTCCTTCTCAATTCGTTCATATCCTCTGACTCTTTTGGTATCCATCAGCTCAAATGACCTCCAGTACACGGATACTCCGCAGGAAAGCAAGCTATCGGATCTCGGATACCACCTCACCATACTTACATAAGATAGTTGGCAATTAGGGCCAATAGTCTCCCCCCCCGAAGGCCCTGAACTAAAGGGGACCGGACGAGTAATACAGGTGCCATTTACGGCCTAGTTACCAAAGATAGAGTGGCAAGTGGTCCAAGATCCAGAATTCGCGAAGCATTTCCTGGATTATGTCTGAAGAACATCGTCATTTGGGCCCATGTGTCATGGAATTCCCCTCAACCTGACCTTGGACGGCCTCTGGGGGTCCCTGGAGGCGTTCTGGTGTTGCATAAGAATAGCTCCTTACCTTTTCAAGCCGCAGCTAAATTCGACTGGCGGGGACGTGGATAAAACGATAAGGGACTCTCTCGTGTGTCAGGGGTAGGACAGAATGCTGCCTCCAATCGACAGGCATGGCAAGTGGTTTTCTTTTCCCACAATTGCCATCTGAGTTGTTGGGTCCTTCGAGTTCGAGACTTTCTGGCCACGGCCCGTGGGGTACCGGAATCTTGGAACCTTGCCTTGGCTCGTAACCGTTCTCCCCTAACGTCTTGCTCCCCATCCCCCTCCTCCCGTTTACGGTTAACCCCCAGCCCTACAGTCCTGCTACGTAACGGCGCACGGTAGTGATCCTTTCATCACGTACTAGGCACTGTAGGCCGCGGTGCTATCTACCTCACACAATCTCTCGACTGGATTCCTTGGGTTTCTGTTTCACTTGCTAACCTGACCGTTCCCTCATTGGCTAACGTCACTGCACTCCTTTTGACCTGCAGATGAGCAGAAGTGTAACCTGTCTGTCCCGTCCGTACGACAGCCCTCCCCTCCCGACATCGCTTCGCCGTCCCTTTCGTACCCAGTAGTAGTAGTGGTATCCTTACCGTCAATCCCAACTTTCTCCCAGGAAGCGAAGGGACCAGAGCGACCCAGCACCTCCACACCCCCCCAGATATTCCAGAGATGCGCGATGCACCCAAGCGCCATCCATCTGTGAATCCTTCTCCATGGACTTTCCCAAATAAGGAGGGAGCTGTCGTGGGCCCTTTTCCTAAATCGTATCTCACTTTGCATGCAGCTTTCTCTGTTATCTCGAAACACGATAAGATGCCGTGACCGCGATAGAGACACCGATAGAGACACCGATAGAGACGCGAATGGCACGAATACACACGTGATTGTGAAGACACGTATTGCCTAGTTGTCTCTTACTGGCCGTAGAGGGAGGGGGAAACACATCACCAGCTATACCATGCCTCATTCCGCTGCAATCGCTACCTGAAGTGACGCCAGACTCGACTCCTCTTTTGGCTTCCCGATCTGCGCCGTGGGCGGTGCCTTTCTTGCTTAGAACAGGTGGTGAGTACCTAAAAACTATCCAGCTCATCCCTGAGTAGTATCGAATCGATGTCGCAATGTGTAGTCCTGCAGTCTGGCCCCCCCCTTTCTGTCTCTGTCTCTGACCCAGGGCTTCAACGTCAAACCTTCGTCCGATGATTGAATGCTGATCTGACCCCTCCACAGGTCACCCATCCGACTTCCTTTCCACCAAAAGCTGCTCCGTAGCGCCCGTAACGCTGACCTGGCTGTACATGGCCGCCTCTGAGAGTGTTTCAGATATTGTGCTCTTCGTCATCCCCACAAACCCAAATGAGCCTGCAGGCCAAAAAGGTTCGCTGATGCGATTATCACGCTGGAGGGCGGATGGCCTCTGGGCGACTTCGTTATTATGTCCCGAATTGCCGAGTTGTCAGTCTCGTCTCATCCGTTGCTTTTCTCACAAATCAATACAGCCACCTTCGGCAGTAAACAGTGCAAAGGAAACCCTCCCGAAGGCGGGGAAATAAAATGAGCAAAGGCGTCATGCGACAAGTTGGCTGTCTTGCCGTGCTCATCATTCTGCCCCATCCCCATTTATCTCCTCCCTTTTTCTTGTCCTCCTCGGGACTGCCGTCCCCAACCAGTTGGTCGTGTGACCGGCAATGGCGGGCGGGAAAGGAAATCCCCAGACGCTGGGGGAGGGGGTCCGTCCCTTCCCAACGTACGGATACCTCACGTCGCGGGAGCCAACCGCACAGCGCCCGGGCTTGTACCGAGTATCTCCGTACACTGACTAAGAAACAAACAAACAACAGCTGATGCCTCTCCATCATTCTGGTTCCATCATGTCTCATCGCGGCTGCCCTCCCCGCTCACATTTGAGGGTCACTCCAAACGGCCTGCAGGGGTTTTGCATTTGGAGGGCCGCGTACGACGGTTCTTTTTCCGTTAAGAGACTTGGGGGAAGCCTCTCCAAGAGTAAACAAACTACATTGGACTGGGGTTTGTCTACTGCAACCAGATTACGACGGGCTAAAGACGATGGTTGGCCAAGTCCCTACACACTGCTCACGGCGAGCTTCGTAACATTGGCGTCGCGTGTCCTGAAGCGTAGACTACAGTAAGCTGAGGAAGGTTTGGCTCTAAGAGCAGCTACAACTTGTGGTGGCTTGCCGCCGGTTATGCTGGGTAATGAACGGGCTCCCTAGAAAATCGAATGACAAGCTTCCATGCTCCAGTTCTCCGGTCTCTGAACCGAGTCGACTGCGGGAAGGAGCTACCCACACCCCATGAATATCTGCAGCAATCTGCATGCTTTTGATACCTTCCGCTCTGAAGCTTTATCGGGCCACTGGTGGAAGTGTGGAAACACATGGACGGCGAATCCCTCTACAGGTACGAATCGTTTATCGGTATCAAAGCCGGGCCCGCAATGCTGCATGTACCTCAACGTGTTGTCTCTGTGTGTCGCTGACTGCTTGTGTGCCGTGGCCTGTTGAGCCTGTGCGCCGTCCTTCTTCAAGTCCCCGAGGTCCGTGGGTAACTGACTGCCTGACCGATGTCTTCGACTAGATCGGATAGCACGTCCCCTGCAGCTGGCCAGCCAAGGGTCGCGGGTGTTGGACTTGTTCAATTGGGTAAACAGCACTGCCTCGAGGGAGACAGGCATTCGTAATGTCCCTTGGAGAGACAAAGTAACTCAACTCGATGTGCTGGATTCGTTCGTCATGCGGGACTGCCTTCTGAAGCGGCAGGTCCACGGGGATTTCCAATTTACCCATCTGTCATCCAACAATGTACCGTGGAATAGCGCAGCCGTAGGCGTCCCCTATCGCATCGCCGTTCGCCCAGTGCATCTCGTTGAGACACGTTGTTGGCCAAGTGGAGCTCCTGCGATCAAGGCAAGACAAACGATGATGGGTCTGGCATAGTGTGTATCCCTAGTGGCATCTCTCATCTGATTAGCCATCATGCCCAAGTCAGAGTCGAGAGGTTCTGGTAACAAATGAGAAACAAAGGGTTTCGCGAGCTCGTGGCTAATGCTCATGCGTCAAACTTGAACTCTGTTTCTCATTCCGGGCTGTCTATTCTACACCGGAGCTTTCTCGCCACGCAGTCTCCCCTTATCTGAGGCGTGACGCTTCACCGCGCCACGGGCGAGAAGAGATAGATGCAGGGCCGTAGTACCTACTGGCTTGCTCAAGACAGAATGGCAGCCATAGGGTTGGCTGGTGCATGAACTCCACAGTCACCTCCCAGCTAGCCCAGCCCAATATGCATGCCGGGGACGGTGGGATCGGAATCGGCACCTGCTCCTAGCAATTGGCTCACAGCTGCCGTCCAACGTACGGCGGACTGTCGGCGGTGGAGCCTCGCGCAGTCTCCGCAGACTTGCGCAGTACGGTGGGGTTCAACAGCCACCTCAATGCCTTACCTAAAGTCTTCATTCACAGGACTGGACTGCAGCACGTTCAGGACCCTTTTGGCGTGCTGATGTGGCCTTTCCCGCCCCCTTCGACGCTGACCACTGGTAAGTGTGGCCAGGCACTGATGCCGCCTGGATGGACAACAGATAACTCCATAATTGCCTAACGGGGAGGTCGGGCGGGATCCAGTTAGGCACCCGTGCGCACCGCTTCATCGTCCGTTGACGCCGTACGATGGCCGAACGACCTTGTCTTTGTATACTTCCTTTGAGTCACCGTCGGCCGTCATTCCTCCATCACCAGGGCGCCGCCGGACTCGTGACGGCTCCCCGCCCCCGGCTCCTTTTCCGGCTGCCGTACCGAATCCGTTCGATTCGTGCCTGATTCGCTTCTCACCCAATACTGTCTACGCCGTTTTACCGATGCTGCGCGCCTTGGCGTTCTCGCTGTTTGCCGTCGCCAGCTCACCGCTGCTTGCTCCGGCCAAGTTGCGCTTGAAGATGTTACTGCTGTTGGGTCTCTCGGAAAAGTTTGTGTGCCCCTTCGCTATCTCATTCGCCATCCCCACTCACACACTCTTCCACAGTCGCGCACACACACCTGCACCCAAATGCAGCCTTTTCCTGTTCCGGGCCTTCTTGAATTCCGGTTTGGCTTGACCGCCTTATCCCAATCTCCAACCGTCCAACTTGATGCATGAACCCTGTGCCACATTGACCAAATCAGCTGCAAGAGGCACCGACTCACAAAATTGTCGCTGAAGGATTTCACGTCGCTTTTCGTGTTCCGCTGAAGGTTCGCGCGTCACGCCCAGAAAGTCTTCACCGTTCCACCACCGCTGCCTACGCATCAAAGAACATTGGATCTTGACAGTTTACAATGGCCCCGAACCTCGGCAAGGTCAAGGTCGTATTGCTTGACATCGGTGAGCCTCCACCTCACCGCAATTCCTGTAGCTCGGAGCAGGCTGGATTCAGTTTCTTCAGAACATGCACTGATTCAAACCCCTCGCTATTACAGAAGGCACTGTATGCCCCATCTCCTTTGTCAAGGATGTTTTGGTACGTTTGTCTCGCCCGCCCGCCGTCGTCCCCAGACCCCGTCGCGTACTGTGTAGTCACCGTGGTGTTGCCGCTCGCGCTCATGGTTCGGAGATGATTTATATATACCGGCAGCGCCGCTACCGTGCGCATAGTTCTACAGAGGCACAGTCCGCTGCCTCCCCTTACTGACACTCTTACCCGTCCTGTAGTTCCCGTATGCTATCAATGCCCTGCCGGCGACACTAGACAAGCAGTGGGATAACCCTGACTTTGCTACCTACCGAAATGCTTTTCCAGCAGATTGCGTATCTGACCGTTCCGTCTTCGAGGCTCACTTTCGTGACCTCGTTAGCCGCGACGTCAAAGTTTCCTACCTCAAAGCTCTCCAAGGCTATCTTTGGAAAGAAGGCTACAGGTCGGGCGAAATCAAGGCACCGCTCTTCGAGGATGTTGCCGGAAGTCTTTCAACTTGGAAGGAAGCCGGGTTGCGCCTCGTCATCTATTCGTCTGGCTCCGTGCCGGCACAGAAACTTTTCTTTGCTCATACGGACGCTCAGCCATCGGACCTGACTCCTCTTATCTCTGGCTGGTTTGACACTACTAACGCCGGCCTTAAAACGGAGTCCAGCAGCTACATCACTATCTTGTCCAACTTCCAGGACACCAAGGCTGATGAGTGGCTTTTCCTCAGCGACAACCCTTTTGAGGTCACCGCTGCCATTGCTGCCGGGATGCAGAGCATTCCCGTCGTCCGCCCAGGCAACGCACCTCTGCCGGTTGACCTGAACCCAGCCTTGCACCCGATCAAGGATTTCAACGAACTGGAGAGTCTCGGATCAAAACAGTGACGAGCAAATCACCACATGGTGCTCATACGGACGTTCCTGTAGACACAGTAGCTCTCTACCGGAAGGGCCGGTATGGAATGCCTCGAATACAGTCTGCATCCGGTCAATGTTGCGTTCAGATTTCCCGTCTTCGTCGATTCTGCGATCTGCATTTCTAACTCCTTCCTTCTGCCCCACCTCACGCACGTGGGGGCAATTCTGGACTATCCTTCACTCGTTTTTCAGTACTGGTAATATGGAATCGTAAATGCAGCCGTAACCGCGCCACTTAGACCCCAGCTGAGACATGTCGATCCATCTTTACCTTGAAGTAAGGTAAAGTAAACGCTAGCACAGTGGTTTGCTTCGAGATTATGATGGGCAGCCACGAGGCAGGATGAGCTATGTATCTATTTGAATGTCCTGCTTGTCCATTCCCCAGCAGGTGATAATTTTTGGTTATTCTACCACAAAGTTATTTTGCAGCGGTTAGACTTGCAAACCAGTAGTTATTCGACGCAAAATGACAGCTGACAAGCTTGTAACTGTGAGTTGGCGGTCACATTATCGGTGCAATTTGAAGTCAGACGGGAGTGCGCGAGAAGCCGAATTGCCGAGCTCCAACGGCAAGGGGAAGTCCTCAAACGGTTATTGGAGGGCAACGCCATCTCCCAGAACAGGTCCAAGTTAGCCCACTGGAGAGCGTGGTGCTTCCATGTATACCTGCCCAAACATGATAACGCAGATGATCGCCTGTCGATCTCTACCTGGCACCCTATCAAACGCCCTACCAATGCTTCCACTACCTCAAACCAAAGCGTGTGCTTGCCAGATACCGCACAGAAAGGATAGTCAGAAGTAAAAGTAAAGCCCGCATCTACTCTGTGCGAGAGAAACGACGCGTGAATGAAGGTAAGGAATTCGACAGCCTATTTGAATCGGGTGAGAGGCCGCATCATCTGCCCTGCCAACTAAATATGACGGCAAGTATAAGCTACTGCAGCAGATGATTTCATGGTGCCTTCAGTGTAATGGTGAAGTTATTTCGATCTATGCCTGAATTGACCTCCCTCTTGGTAAAGGGCGGCATGGGTTGGTGTGGAGAGCTTGCTTTTTTCCAGAAAGAGTAGGCTAGCTTATTCGTGACTTTGCCTTCGAGTTGGACATATCCCAACAATGTCATCAACTCAACCAGTCGATCTTGAGAGAAGTAACGCGAATTGGAAATACAACTTCTTGGGAGAACAAGAAATAGTGAAGGGAAGATATTGCTCGTACCCTGCGAGAAGTTGTCATCAGGCTGTCGAAGAAATGAGAGCGTCCGGAGAAGCATCTGCCCGCGCAGAGAGTGGTCAGGAACGTAATTCAACACCAGACTAAGCGAGATGATGTCGAACCGGTGGGTGTCGTCCTTGGGGAGTGGCCGCTCCATGAAATCCTGCTGGAGAATGCCCGATTGTTGACTGTTGAGGTCGATGCGTTCCATCTCAAAATAGCCACTCTTGGAGCAGGCATTGTCGGTGCTGAGTGCGCCAACTTCAAGCATGCGTAACCGGCGATATTCGCCATCATCGCCGTCATCTTTGGCTTTGGTTCGGGTGCTGTCTGGCTGGAACTTTCTTGATCTTAACCAGTCCAAGAGCACCTTGGAGCTGTCTCCGCCGCGGTCTAACCTCTGACCCTGAAGGCTGGCTCGCTGATACTCCTCAATTCCACCAAGAGCAGAGATTTTTGCTGTCAAGGCTGCTGCTTCCTTCTCGTCGTTTCTGGCCAAAGCCTGCTGCCGCTTCTTTTGTAGCATGTGATGCGTGTTTATAAGTGCCCTGGTTTCTTTTCGAGATATCGACTTTGCTTTCTTCAATGTGGGAGGTCGACCACTTGATAAGAGTCTGGGTGTTGTTTTATTTCTCCCCATGATGGACGGACGCTAAATCTCAAAGTGAAGCAATACAATTGGGAAAATTTTGCAAAATTGGTGTTTGAAGCCTCAGCAAATTTCTGGCATATGGTTGACCTTGATCACTTCTTTTTAGTCACATCGAGTGCGGTGAGGAAAGTCAAGGCCATGGTCTAGTTTGATATTCATGGATGGATGTTGTGCTTGAAGCAACTGTCACGGAATATGTATTACATAAGCACATATGGCACTCAAGGGTCCATGTTTGCAGTTCGGGACATCAATATTCCGCGCAAAACCCAAACTGGTAAGCTCATGCACGGACCATAATAAGCGGGGATCCGATGAAAAAAAAGGGTGCCCTAATGCAAACCACAGAATGAAACTTCGAGTCCACTGGGTCAAAAAACATTTTGGGATTCCTTTTTTTCGACCTCTGAACGACATCCGACGACAACCAGCCAGCTAACCGACCAGCCAGCCAACGTCCCAGCATTCACAATGGCCCCTAAGGACTCGAAGAAAGGTACTTGACTATTTGAACAACACCAATCCGCACAGCCCAAAATGCTTTCAACTCGATAAATCTGTCGTCAACGGCAACGGGGCCATCTCCCCGAGCATCATGCTGCAGCAGATTTTGCGAGTTCTTTGATAATAAAGAGCGATTGCTGATGCGACATCTCATATAGGCGGTGCCTCCAAGGCGCCTAAGGGCTCCAAGAAAGCCAACGCTGCTGCCAAGGCTGCCCTGAAGGGTGTAAGTACAAACCCATTCCATGATGGAAGGAGACGGACGAGTTGGCTCTTGCCTTCTCGACTGATCAATTTCTCAACCTATCTGCGAGGTTTCGAGTCGGAAGAATGGCACAGGCTAAACACATCTACAGGCCAACTCCCACAAGAAGACCAAGGTCCGCTACACGACCTCCTTCCACCGTCCCAAGACCCTCGTCGTCTCCCGCGCCCCCAAGTACCCGCGCAAGTCCATCCCCCACGAGCCCCGCCTCGATGAGCACAAGATTGTCATCCACCCTCTCAACACTGAGAGCGCCATGAAGAAGATCGAGGAGAACAACACCCTCGTCTTCATCGTCGACGTCAAGTCCAACAAGGCCCAGATCAAGCAGGCCCTCAAGAAGCTCTACGACATTGACACCGTCAAGATCAACACCCTGATCCGGTAAGGCAACCTCGAACCACTTTGGTGTGGATTCCCAAAAGAAGATGGTGGATAGAAGTGCTGACAAGTACATATTAGCCCTGACGGCTCCAAGAAGGCCTACGCTCGCCTCACCCCTGACGTCGATGCCCTCGACATCGCCGCCACTAAGCTGGCTCTCGTTTAAGCATTAAAAAGACGGGAATGGATATGAAAATAAAAATCAATTCGGGTTCATTGACTGCAAAGGCATTGGCATGGGCGTCTCAAGGTTGTTGATTAGAATCCCTAGGGTGGCATCCCCGGGGCACCAATCGATCCCCCCGGTACTCAATCAAGCTGGGGTACCAAGACCGTGTTTAGTCTCAAATATGCACTCAAACGCGGAAACCTCGCTTTTGCTTCGTGACATGTCCTGTAATTCTGACGTGCTTGTATAGTTGTTACAAACAGTGACATAACGTAGTTTTACATAGCTAGTACACAGGAGGACCGCTGTATAAACCGTCCTCCACCATAATCCAACAACTCTGCAACCTGACTACTCGTTTGCTGCTAAGAACCCCCGATCCAAACGAACAAAATAAGGAAATTTCTACCCGGAGCGCATGTTGTTCAGGTGCTTCATGGTCAGAAAATTCACATCCAGGAAGCGGTCCACGCAGTTTGCCAGGCACGACTCCTCGCCCTTGTCCAATTTCAAGTTGCGGATCGAGCCGCTGACACACTTCTTCCAGCAAATTTCCGTAAGGGCGTGGGTTTCTATCAGAAAACATATATTAGCTCCCCATTAACCAGAGTTTGCTGCCCATTGTTGTTCCCTCTTCTTTTCACGACGCCAGGGGACTAACGTGTCTGAATCTGGGATCTCTGCTGCTCGTTGGCGAGGAACTGACGAAGCTCTGCCTTATCTTGATCGTTGAGCTTGTCGAGATCTGAGTTCGCGAGGGCTTGCTTTGAGGAGTCCATTGCTTCTGTGACTATGCGTTGTAATCGTTACGAAATGTAGGCAGGTTAAGAGAAGATCGCAATTGGAATTTCGAGCGTTTTGCGACCAGTGTTTAGGTCGTGATCGTTGGACTCGATGATATGTTCGTGAGAGAATGGGTTCTCAAGGCGGAAATCGTCGAAGTGATGGTGGTTAGCTTCTGCTTGCTCAAGTCTTTTCCAGCTTTTTCCATGTCTCCACTCTTAATTGGTAGCTGAGCCCGCTCGTGCGCTTCCTCGCCCCACCAAGCCAACTGGGCAGTCTGCACACTGAACAGTCTAAGACTTGTTGGTGTCAAGACAGGATTGAGATAAGAATTCTTACGACCTCAACCCACCTTTGGCAAAGTTGAAACACTATGGCTACAAGAGCAATCAATTTTTGAGCATCCCTTCAATCGAAGTAAATTTTTAAATATGTTTACTTCTTTTTAAAAAAAATAAAAAAAAACGCAGCACTAAAACCCATAATCACACAGGTCATCACGGCGGATTGTATAGCCAAAATACCATTACTATCTACATAGTCCATTTAGAGTTGGCTCTACCCTACTCCAGTAATGCATGCTCCAAAAGGTTGGCATGGCATTTCACTGCGAGGCTCTCGAGCCTGGAATACAACAATCAGATGTACTTGTACCTGCGGGCCAAAGCCAAGCTCACAATACAGAAAAAGATTAAGCTGCTCAGAATAGTGAAGAATGGGATGAGACTTCCATTGTCCGCGAACGGAACCGTAACGTTCATTCCGAATAAACCGCTGACAAGGTTCAGCGGTACAAGAATCGAGGCCAGGAAGGTGATCTTGCTCAGTACCAGGTTTGTGTGTGTGCCTTGGGAGATGCTGTTTATGGAAAGCTGTGCCAAGTAGTTACTGTGCGAGCGTGAGAGGATCTTCTCAAAGTGGCCCAGATTGGTCACCATAGTAACAACGTGGTCTTGAATGTCACCAAGATAGAGGCCGATGTCCATGCGAGGAGTGACCTTGTAGTTCTCGTTGCAGCGCTTGGTAAAACCTCGAAGAACATCAGCCTTGCCACCAAGAAGGCGCATCAGGGCCATGGTGTTCTTGCGCACGCGGCCAATAGACCGAAGAAACGCGTTGGAGTCATCCTCTCGAGCGACGAAAACGCCATCCTCGATAGCGTCTGCCTCCAGCTCGATCTCACGAATCACTGGTGCAAAGCAATCCACAATGTCATCGCTATTAACCGGCATTAGCAAAGGCAATCACAGTTGAGGAAACAAAGCCACTTACATGAGAGCGTAGCAGACCCAATCGCTACTGAGTGCAACATAATCCTTCAGCAAAGCAATACGCTTCCGTACATGCGACGCATGCGCATTGGGTTCAAAGCTGAAGCTAAGAGTTCCTTCACGGAAGACAACGACATAAATGTTGAAGGGCTCGTACTCAACGCCGTCATCTTCCTCGACTGCGTGGAAAGATCGAAAGCTTGCAAAGTAGTACGAGGGGAAAAGCTCAATCTTCTCACGTGCTTCCTGAGTAGTGACATCCTCGATGGTAAGCGGATGAACACCGAACGCCTTGCAGATAGCCGTGACCTCCTCCTTCGTGGGGTTGTTGACGTTCAGCCACCAAACACCATCCGATTCATCTGCGGGCAGTGCAAAGAGACCACGAAGATCCTCGCCAGGCAGGACAAGGTCACCAAGTTCTGCAGCGTGGATTGTTGACTCCCAGGCTGAAGAGAAGAAACTGAAGCGGTTGGGATCCACAGGTTGTTGTGATGGCGCAGGCTTGGTCTTGGGCTCCTCGATAGCCGGCTCCTTCTCGGGGGGTTCCTGTCCTGTCGAGGTGTCCGAGGGCATGTCGAGAATGTCTCCATCAACAGTGTGTAGCTGCAGCTGAGGCTGTGCCAATTCGGACGTCTGAGGTCTGAGGTCCGGGAATGCACGGAGAGAGTCCCGACGGCTGACAGTTCTTGAAGCCCGATCTGACTGAATAAAGTTCTCAAGATAGTCAAAATCGATGTATAGCTGGTCTTTGCGTTGGCCATCCTGAAGCGGAAAACAAACGTCTTCCTCGGCAGACTGGTTGGTAGCCAGACTCGCACCGTCGTCCACAGTATGAGGGCGGCTGCGGTGACTGCGACGACTGCTGATGGAGACAGCCCGATGAAGCTCCTCCTCGCCGTTCCTTTCAGCCTTGGATTCTGAAATGGACATGCCGCGCTCGCGTCGGCGAGCCTCGGCAAAGGCCTTGACCGAGTTCGGCGGCGATACCGACCGCTGGTCGGTTATAGTTTCAACAGTCGGTCGGCGAACACGGCGCGCAGTGGGCGACATATCTCCCCCCTCTTCATCCATGACTGCCTCCTCAAAGTCCCTAACCCGAATGCTAGACGACGGTTCGCCCAGAGCCGACTCCGGGCCTAGCAATCGAGCTCCATAGAGCGTGTCAAACGTGCCTCGACGGGGGCGCTCCGGATGAGGAGTCACCGCCACCTGGTGACGATGGTCATCGAGCTCAGGGATAGGCGTCTTGAAGCTGCGCTCAGAACTGGTTTCCTCGTGGTCCGACATGGTGCCAGTTGCTGACAAGAACGTTTGCGGTACTTCAAATAATAGAGACCGATTGAACGGCCAGGTATTCAATAGAAAACACCGTTAGGGAGAACAGTGAGATATAAAACTCAGTTCTCTTCAAGTGCCTCCACAAACCCTCCAATCAGATGGCGATACCCATAACTAATACGTTGTGAACGTACGATGTAGACCGGAGTCGATTGCACCCCGCGCAGCCGCGGCGCGCTGTGCGCTGAGCAAATAGTAGACTTCCAGGGCAGGCAGCGTCGAAGTCGACTCCGAGAGCTGCAGGTTTGTGCTGGATATGCCAGCAATCAGGCGCTGCGGTGATATCGAGAGTGATACCCCAAAATGATGTATTTCGGCAGAAAACAAAAACCCAGTTAAGGAGGCTTTTTGTTCACTCCGCTATAGACCCAGAATCCAGGACCTTGGAGTGAACGGGAGGGGGTTGTATCGTCAGCTGCGAGTGAAGCCAACTTGGTGGTGTTGATTGAACAAGAAGTGTAAGGTTGGGTCTTACGACCTATGGAAGTATAAACTGAGAGCAAAGAATCAAGCAAACGTCAATCCGATAGAAGCCAGAGTACCAAAGCGCCCTGACGGCGGTAAAAGAAACAAAAGACTGGTTGGTCCAAAGGTTCGGAGGGATATGATGGACCTCAAGACCCACGAGGCGTAGCTGGTTGTTGTTGTCGGGAGACGTAAACCCTAGGATGTAGGATGCGGGATCTGCCGTCGCCCGGAAGCAGGAGGTCGTTCGTCAGAGTTTTGGGGGACGTGGTTTGGTCTAATGACGGCTGCTAGTTTCTGCAAAGCAAAAAATAAGAAAGTCGCCAAGTCAGCACGAAGTAGTCGTTGCGGTTTGAGCGTGTCCTGAAATGGTCTGTCAAGATTTTTAGTGCTGGAGGTGAAAGAGAGAGACGAGGCAATAAATGGGAGGAGAGGATTCCTGGTTGTCATAAAAATTCCGAGCCAGGGAGGCGCCCGGGAGCCGAAAGGGACTTTTATTTTTATTTAATTTTTATTTAATTTTCCTTTTTGCCTTCAGATCATCTGGTCCAACTCAGTCATTGTTGTCTGTCATCCGGTACGTACCAGGTGGGCTGGGCTGAGGACAGTGTAAATGCGGACAGTTCGCTTGCATTATTCTAACTATACACTGGGCTGTGTTGAATGGGTTATGAGAGAGCCAAGGGTCGAGACTGGCGTCCGTGCTTGCATGTGCCTTGGAACTGGCATACCTGTTTACAAGAAGCTCCGGCACTTACCTAAACCAGCTCTGTTGATCACCTCAGAACATCAGACATCATAATCGGACACACATCTACGGCCCGACACATTGCACTTGTTACTTGGCGAAAAGGCTTGCGACGCGTACCTATCGACCGGACCTTTCCGTTGCCACAAGACGAACAGCTAACGAGATCCGCACCGTCCTTACATCAACTCAGTTCCCAACCCGTGATTGTAGTCACAATGGCCGATCAAGTCCTCGACCAGGTTCGCGATCTTGCTGAAGGCCAGATTGTGAGTATCCCACACAACTGAGCTCGCCTTTTCCAGGACCATATACCCTCACAACGCAATGCGGCCTGACGTACTGACAGCGGCTGTTCTACAGGATTTCCAAGGCCAAAAACTAGCCGACCTTCTGGCTACCCTTGTCCTCTCAGCATCCGGAGTAAGTTCCTGAAGTCTGCAAAATGATCCTGTGTGCTTACTTCATCGTCAATCACCAGGCCCTCGCCTTCATCATTGGCTATCTTCTCCAAGATATAAAACTGGCCGTTTACATTGGTCTTGCCGGAACCGCTTTCACGTTCCTCCTCGTTGTACCTCCATGGCCCTTCTACAAGCAGCACCCTGTGAAGTGGCTGGAACCCGGGTCTGGGACAAGCAATGTGGCTACAATAGAAAAGTCGGGATAGGGATAGTGAAGCTTATTATGCCAAGAGCTCAGCATTCAGTATGTCCTATGGTACCGCGGTCTGCTCCTGTGCCCATATGCTAGGTTCAAACTGCCCTGTCGCATGAACCAGCTTCGTGCAAACACCCTCCATCCATCCGGAGTGCTATTTCGCTGGATCAAGTCGCTTGTGCACAGTTGCACTGTGCCAGGTCTTGTTTAGGGTCTTGTTCGTCCATGTCTTCCACTCCTTCAACGGCCGTATTTCTGGAATTCCCAGTCGCGATTGTCCAATGGGCACACTTGTCGGGCCTTGAGCCAACGCGAAATACAGTGGAAGTGGAAGGCGTGCTAAAAGTAAAAAAAAAAGTAAACAGTTTAGTATGATGTAGATATGTGCTTGGGAAAGAACATACGTTGCAAATTCCCCAAGCGACGGTGCACTCTTCGCTGGTGGCAGACGCCTGGTTCGCTTGACATTCGATGCCTAGGTATTGTCAGTATGCATAAGATGAATATGCGAGCTTGAAATGTTGGAGTCTGGCTTACAGAGGTCCATGATGTGGTTTCTGCAGATGGCACAGTTGTCAACGACAATGTCCCACGCCCACAGGGCAACGGCGTTCCACTAGAGGCACTTTTGTAAGCTCGCACAAGACTAGCAAAGGATAGCGTGCTCACCTTCTTGACCTCGAAGCGTTTCTTGCCGTCGGCTGCTTTGGTCTCTACTTCAGTTGTCTTTTTGGCGATGGTGCCGGGAGCGTCCGTCATATCCACGTCGGCCATGATAGCAGTTGGATCGAGCGGCGGGGTTCGGAGGACGTGGGAAATAAAACTGCGCTGCGATACAGGGAATCAGAGAGTTGGGGAGTTCAATAGTAACCTGTCGATGTGAGATTTGTAGGATATGGACGTCGGCAAGAAGAAGAATTCTCCGTGTGATCTGTTTGATTGTAGGCAGGAAGTCAGCCTTGATCTAGGTCAAAGAGGTGGCGGAACTGGGGTTTGTCTTGGGTACCTAAGCCTTGACGTTCCGGGTTGGTGGGTGCCAGGCTAGCAGGTAGGTGTTGCAGACAGGAAAGAACTGGCTGAGACAGAAAACTGTGTGGCTAAAATACAGCCTAGAGACTTACCCTTCTTTTATGGCTCCAGCCCGAAGTTTGGTTCCTCTTTACACACCTGACGTCGACGGTGATGTAGGCAGAACACAGACGGATGGAGGCGAGGCTGCTGTTGGTGCACCACTACTGATGGAAGGTAACTCAGTTACGTGGAGGGGGGTGCTTATTGGTACGAGGCGGGCATAGGGCCATAATTGGATTAGGTCGTTGCTTATAGCCTGCTGTGGAGCAGGCAGGAACGGTACGGGCAGCCGAATTGTATAGGCTTGAAATCGGAATTAGCGGGGCAACAGATGCTGGCAACAGGGCAACTAAATCAACGGGAGCGCAAGGGATGTGAGATCACACTCGCGGCACACATACACTCTATGCATGCAGGCCTGCCCTTGGTGCTTGCCATTCAGCTTGGTGATTTTCTCGATTCAGTCCAGCAAGTATCTACCCCAGATGTTGGGCAGGGAGATATAGGAACGCCATGGTGGAATAATTACAAATCGGAGTGCAGATGCCTTGGAAGCATTTGAGCTTCACCCGTACCTTATTTGCGGCTTGAGTGGTTTCCCTTCGGCGCAGCTCAGATTGCGCGCGACCTTCTGATCGCAGGTACCTTCGTCTGTTGCACATTCTATCTAGCTTTTGCAGACGATCCACACGTTCCCGCTGGATTATTTTCCTTACATTAGGCATATCGCATTGGTGCCTATTTCCTGATGGATGCTCTTTACTCAAAGCTGAACGTCGACACTTCCAACACAATGTGTAACGGTAATTCAAGGTTGAATTCTGCATTCTTTTGGGACTTGATGTTTCTTCCCCTCAGAGCAATGACGCAGTGCTTCAGAATCCTTAGAGGAAGCGATTCTGGCCACGGATATGTTGCTCCCACCTGGAGGCAAGGATGGCGAAGGAGAGACAACAAAGTGGAAATACAGTAACAGAATGCATGCCGATTGGTGCAAAGCTGTCACAGCGGGCCTTATCAGATAAGAGGGCAGTGACGCTCCTTGAGGGAGGGAGGATGGAAGGGGCAATGCTGGGAAAGGGGAGGGTTGGGATGGCATGCCACTGCCTGGCCTTGCTTGACGTGCCCAACCTTGGCACCACCCCAAACAGGGTTACTTAAGCCCCTCTCCCCTCTTTCGTCGCACGCTACTGTATCGTCTCCCCGACTCCGTCGCCTCAGCGTCACCCTACTTGACTCTTCAGTCCATTACTGTTTGCGCGGCACCATGAGCAGAGACTACTCACTCGCTTTTCCTGCATCAGACACCAACTTCCATACTTCGCTTTCCCCGAATCCGCCTCCTCAAACAGATCATCCCCCCGGCGCTTGAAATTTTCGACATAGGGATACGCAATCCCAATTGGCACACCGAAAAACAAGTATACCTATATACAACAATCTTGGCGTGTCGACATTCGCAGCCTTGCAATCAGCCCCGACCGATCCTGCCCTGTCTTATCATACCATACCTACCGTTTCTTAGGTACTTCGTTCTGGCGAAACGATCCTATTATTCTTAATCAGTGGATCATACCTGGCCTTCGACCATTTGACCGGCCCGAGGCGAACCCGCAATATCTGACTGGTACACCATTCTGCTGTTGCCCAGACACCAATATGCAAGAGACGACAAACCAAACAAAGCCTACACCCACCCGTCGCCGACATGGCCGAAATGGCGGCGGTAAAGCTGCAGGGCAGAAGATGTATGCCTCCGAAAACGACATGGCGAACGTTCCGAACCTGGGCTACGAACAGTTCGGTCATCCTCATACTCCGCAGAAGTCATACTCAGGCTCTCCTGACCCACAGTCGGTCATGAGTAACCAGAACAGCTCCAAGCAGCGCTCTCGCAACAAGCCTCGAGTCAAAAACTCCAACCCCATAGCCTCCCCGGACAACGGTCGGCATGACCGCCGCTCGACTCCCCAAAGCATCCCCGCGAACAATAAGCCTAGCTCATCTACCGCATTCGCTGGCGCAACCTTTCATGCCTCTCCTGCCCCGTCCGCCTTGCCCATGCCCAGCTTTTATTCCAAGGCAGTCCCCGAATCCCCTGGAGGCCGAGGTACCAGACAAGAAGTTCAACAACAACCATCACCTCCAGCAACGGATTATGAAGCTCCAACACCTCGCCATTCGTCAAATGCACCTGTGGCCCGCGAGTCGCCGCTTGATGCCATGTTCAGAGCTGACAGAGCTGAGAAGGAAAAGGCACGGTGGGTGAGCTCTCTCCACTCATCGGCACGGCCGCATGGTTCAGTTTCACCACCCGTTCCTTCGTCCAATGACAACAATAGCCCCTTCGTCGGGAAACCTCACAACACTCATCCGGGGCATCGCATGCCCATCCATCGATCATCCAGTGGCATTTCCTCGGCAGAACTTGACGGCTTCTCTGGTAAGCCTCTCGGCCCAGCCTTTTCTACTCCTTATCAAGACCGCATTCGAGCTGCTCGCGCCGTTCCCAGCCTGGCATCAGCGAACCCGATGGGATCGCAGGACTCCCCATCTGAAGACCGTTCCGAGGCTTTAAAGAAGTACTTGTTCGGGGGCAAGGGCTCGGCACCATCCCCTCAGTCTACACCTTCGAGGTCTTCAGCCCCGTACACCGACAACGGCGCCATTGGAAACAAGCCTCATGGTGAAGAAGGTCGGTCTTCTGATCTGCGTGCTATGGAAGATAATCTTCGTCGCATTCTTAAACTTGATTCTCCACTAGCGGCTGCCAAGTCGAGCGAGCGGCCATTATACTCATAATCAGCCAACTCACTCGCAATGGGTCGTCAGTTCGCTGCAACGCCTGATACACCAGCTTACTGAGTGCCTGGTTCAGTTTGATCGTATTGCAAGGCAAATGTAACCGCCGACACGGGTAAACTAGCATGGATTAGGAGTTTACATCGTTTCTAGCTGATGATTTGATTTTGTTGTTGGGTGTCTAGGGGTGTAGGATGCGGCGGGGGGGCAAATGCTTTTCATGCCGACGTCAGGAGTCCAACTTGATACCCGGAAGCGACATTGATATTTTTCTTCAGTTAGGGCAATCTCAAATTCCTTTCCAAATAGTTTAGCGTCTCTTACTCACACCCACGTCCATGTGCTTTGGCTTATGTTGTTCCTATGTTGTTTCCCGCTCAATATTCTGCTCCCATATCCTCTGCTCCTCCAAATTTGATTTGAGCTGCTAAAGATGCGAATACTTGGGTAGGTCACTTTATCAACGTCGCCAAATTGACTATTGTATGGCTTGCTAACCGTGAAAACAGACTGCAGCAATGTCATCCATGTAATCCAGCTTTCGGACGTTCTGCCTCCTTCTAGCTACCCTCGCAGCACGTTCAGGGCAAGTAGGTCCAGGGCCCGTGGTGAGGGCCGACAATACATTCATGCTACTTTCCCCCGAGTATTCTCGGCCTGGGCATAGGGTGAATCGATGTTCGAGAAGCCCTCCTTTTCACTTTGGCAGGAATGGTTGTTGGTTGTGTACCGGGCCTGAGTCTCGTCGATTTTCCTCTGCAGATGACTCGGTAGCTGGTAATGCCAGGTATAGTAGTTTGGCAAGACTTTACGGGCTGCGTAATTTCTCAGTGTTCATACTGGCGTCATGCATAATAAGGTGCTTCGAAGGGGGCCTTTCCTTGAACCAACACCATTTAATCATGTTTGAATCCTAGCTTGGGCCTATCACCAGCATTCAATTTTCAACTATTTTTATCCATATACGAAATGCCTCCTATCGGCGTTTTTACCATGATGCCGTCGACATGTTTTCCGGCTCTAAGGTCTGTCAAACTTTGCCAATATTGCCTTCGGCTTGAAACCGTCATGATCACCTGAAAATATACAGAACTAGTAATCTGTGGACTTAAATCAACGAGCAACTGTCCTGAAGAATATCTGGTTCTGTCCAGAACGCCAGTCCTAGTATATGATAACGTTATATGCGCTTTACTTGGAAGCCCTCACAACCGCTGGTTGTGTATTGCGGAAAGTAAAGCAGCGTAAGCTACCGCTCGATATCGGAGTGATGGTGCAAGTTTTTATTCCTTCTTTTTTCGCTTTCCTTTTGTTGAAAAGTAATGTCAGCCAGGCAATTAAATTTCTTGTCTATTATGTCAATAAAAATAACCAGAAGCTGGTCGCACGATGCTGGAGGCGGATTATACTACATTCGTACTTAACATACATACATGTTATACTGAAATAGGCGTCTAAATTTCCAAGAAGTGCCCGCCTAGAAAACTCTGTTGGGAGTACAAGCTCTAACAACAACGCCTGTGGCCTTAGGCTAGCATTCGCACGTTAAGTATAGCCGAGAAGACATGCTTGAAGATCCAAGTGGGTGGTCATCTATAGCAAGGTCTCAGCGAGTAGTTGTGGCCTTATATCTCTTCATTGCACAATAGAGCCCCTAATCTGCCGCTTTTTAGGCTTTGGTACTCCTGCATACTACCAAAAGCAACATATTAACCATGTAATCGAGACTCGAATTTGAATGGAAAACCTTTTAGTGAGAGTTAGTGTGATAGAAACAACTCCTATTGCTCCAACCCGTTCTCGCCTAGAACTGCGTGTTGGCTTGAAGTTGCTTCTTTCAAATGCCTTCTTATTTTATAAGAATCGCCGATAATCAGAGAGAAAGCTTAGTGTAGCTTAATTTGTATTTCATGCATACGTAGTGTGGATTAATTGTTATTGGAGACTGCAAAACGGATCGCTTCATATTTGTATCGGAGTCAATCGAACAACATCATGCCCTTCCGAAAGCCAAACCCCACATCCTATTCACCTATATCTGAGCTTCCTGCCGCAATTGAAACATCTTGTCTTTCTCGAGAGGGAGAAAGGGGGAGAGGGGTGATTGATTGGTGATTCGGATGAGAATGTTTTCGCGGAGGATATAAGTCGTTAATAGCCTCAACCATTTTAACGGTAGCGTTTTGCGAGAAAGCCTCGAAGACCAAGTCACGAGTTCATGTGTAACATGGGTGATTATAAAAAAATACATAGTAGTGGATCTGGCATTGCAGTTGAATCAAAGAACAAGGTCAGCATCAACTAGTTGATTTGCATGGTGTTGAGCCAGTCACCTATGCATCTAAGCAGAGATGCATATATTGATGATTGCGAAAGGCGGTCACGCGATGTCACGTGACAGCGCGACAAGCAAGAGCACCCTCTGCGTGTTGTCTATGTGATGGACGTTACACAATGTCTGTTGTTGCCTTTTGTATCACTGTTTGTATGCCAGACAGCTCTCTTATATTTAGAACTAAGTCTAGAACTCACCAAAGATAATTTCAGTACCTGCCAATTCCATACAGAGTACTTCTACCGCCAACGAAGCAATCATATCGCAGCCAAGTGCGACTATGGCGTCGAGTAACGATCGCTTGCGTTCTGTATCATCTGGCGCGGAAGATGATCCAGATCTGGCACTGGCAATTGCATTATCTCTGCAGACAGACACCAATCCTGCAAACGGGGAGTTAGAGGCTGCGTCGACGTCAACAAGACCTTTGAGCCAGACATCCAAGCCAACCCCTGGCGCCTCGTTTGGTGCTTTAATCCTTGACAGACAGAAAATGGAGGAGGAGCGTCTTGCGAGAGCAAAGAAGCGCTCAGCATCTCAAGCCGGGCTTTATGAGCAGACTGAAAAGTCAAAGACGCAACGCGTTAGAGCTCTTGACGGCCACGAAAGCAACACCACCGAATCTATGCAGCCCAATATATCCGAGGAAGCAGCAAGTACTCCCGTGCTTCCCTTTCCAAAGGGGGTGTTTAAGCGGACTTGGGCCTTGGGCTATCCAAGAACAGGTGACGATATCAAGGTCGAGGAGGTATTGCAAAAAGAGAAACTACAATTAGCCGTTCTCTCATCTTTCCAATGGGATGAGGAATGGCTTCTCTCTAAAATTGATTGTACACGCACCAAGATGATTCTGGTAGCCTATGCAGCAAATGACGCCGAGGTATGGGTATCGAATGCGATCAAACTACAGTTCATTTCCATTAGCCCCAGTGACAGCACTTTGCTAACTTCCAATTCAACAGAAACAAGCAATCCGATCAAATGTGCCAACCGGGCGTATAAGATTCTGCTTTCCGCCAATGCATGGCGGGTATATGCATTCCAAGTTGCAGATCTTAAAGTATGAAGGGTAAGGATGCATCATTCTTTGATCTGGCTACAGGTACTGACTGTATACCAGTTATCTCCGAATTGTGATCCCGTCTGGGAATTTAGTCCCGTATGACTGGGGTGAGACGGGTGTTCTAGAAAATGTTTGCCAAATTTCTCCATTTAACAACTACCGTGCAAATCGACTAACACCTGTAGATGGTCTTTATCATTGATTTACCCCGGCTTGAGAAAATGAAGCAAACCACACTACCAACAGGGACGCTGTTTGGAAACGAGCTACGTCGATTCCTGCGAGCTCTTGGCCTTGAGGAAAAACTCGTCCAGAGTCTTGACAATTACGACTTTTCTGAGACCTTCCGTTATGGATTTGTCCATTCCATGTGAGCTGCGCAATTACAATTCGCACACCTTGGCATCAGCGTTGACAACTGACCTCAATTTGCAGTTCCGGGAGCCATACTAATGAATCTTGGCGGCACACAGGCCAGTCTACCTGTCCACCCCTTGAACGCGAGGACTTCATGTTCGTGGCGAGTCAAACAAAATCTGATGCTTCTAATTAGGCTACTGCGGACTAGGAAGCACTGTTCGCAGCCTGGGGTTGGCAACCGAGAGTGCCGTGGAGGTAGACTACGTGGTACGTACGCGGTCTGTTGGCTGAGCAATTTGCCCAGCTTTTGGCGGGCGGCTTCCAAGGGGGCCTTGCTAAACAATTTGTCATCAGGCCTCTTCTCTGGGTTCGCTGAATCATGGTTATTTGATAGCCATCTACAATGCCTGTCAAGGTAAGTGTGGCTGTACCCAAAGTTGTGCCTGAAGTGTGATCAGCCTACTGATGCATCATGATGGTCCTTTACAGGTGATTCAGGCATGAAAGAGTACGAATCCAGGCAGCATAAACCGACAAAAAGCAACGCCAGACAGGCAAGCCTGGTGAGTTTTAAAACGGCCAACATTGAGCCGGTCGATCTACAGCGTTATTTTCGTATCTATTTCCCGACTGAAAAGACAGTTTTGAGAAGCCGGGGCGGTAAATCTGTGAGTTATGCCGCGGCCGGGATCGCCGGAGCGCCGGTCGATCCTGTTGTTTAAACGTCCTTGTGTTGGCAAATCGCTAATTTCATGTTATTACATACACAGGCTGCTGGCACTATTTGCATTCAAGAGAAGTGGTGGAAATCATCGACCTTCCCCCGAGAATTACTGCGAGATTGTGAGAGCGCCCGAACTGGTCTTTTGCTGCATAGCAAAGCCATATTTGTCCGGGAGCGAGCCCACGACGGAGCAGTCTGGGCCTACGTTGGAAGTGCAAACCTGTCAGAGAGCGCATGGTAAGTCGTCAGGAACATTCGTGATTGGCAGTGGTGACGGTAGCGGCCCACGCCGTAGTGGTAAGGGCAGGCGGGAGGGGTAGAGGAAGAACCGGTGTCTGAGGAGAGACGTGACGAAACGACGTGGATCGACCATAAGGCTGACCGAAATTGGGTTTTAGGGGCCGGTTGGTGAAGGACCGGGACACGGGAACAGCCAAGCTCAACTGTCGCAATTGGGAATGCGGTGTGTTGGTTGCAGTGGGCAAGGACGCGGGCATCGCGGCCACTTCGACACGGGGGCCAGCCGAACAAGCCGCACAGGCGCGGGCGCGGGCGCAGAAGCAGATGCAAAAGGGGTGTGACGTGGAGGAGAGCAAGGAAAAGCAAGCAAGTAAGGCGGAGTCGCAGTTTCTGCAGCAGCAGCAAGATGACGAGGACGAATCAGCAAGTCTTGCTGGGGCATTTGGAGCAACAATGCCCATCCCTATGAAAGTGCCGGCGGGGAGCTACACGTCAGGTGAATCGGCAGCCAGCCGGCCTTGGTTTTTCATGAAGGCCGATTGATCAGGGATACAGACGGGAGAAGGATGGGGAGACAAGAGGGAGGGGTATGATTTGTTTGTGACCCCCCCTCGCATTGGCCCGACCAAGATAGCAGCAAAACGTACGAGCGGGCGGGAGAGAGAGCGATTGGCGAAAGAATGAGCGAAAGAGGGACATGGATCTTCACGGATGACATGGCGTCGTCTCAACATGGAGCATGCCCCGGTTCGGCCGGGCTAATTAGCCCTCCGATGGCAGTACCAATCCAGCCGTACCCAGTGAAAATAAGGAAAAAGGGCTGTACGCCGTTGTTTAGCGTATGTCAATGAAGTGATCTGTCTGCAGTTGTATTATCATCGCCCCCAGGTACCATGGGCCAGTGAATATCGGTATGTCGGTGGGAATCGTATGGAGCATGGTATGCATGCATTGGCAACCGTTGGCGGGCTATGAAAATTGACACCAATGTCGAGGTACCCGCTAGCCAAGTAAGTATATTATCAGGTTGCAAGTCTGTACGGCACTCGGCACTACATGGACTAGCCGGAAGACGAGACGCACATTTGAGTATTCCACGATACCGAAGGTGTGGTGGCCCACATGCCGGGCGAATCCGGTGGACCGGGTATGGGTAGCACTGATCAGGGTATACTGGGTGACTACGCCGCAGTGAACCAAGGTCTCTTCAAAATGGCAGTGGAGGGAGAAGGGGGTCCAGCCAGGGTAGGTCAATATGGGTGCAAATAGATGTGCGTAGGGGTGGCGGACGGGATGATGGGAATGTGACCGTTGATTGCCCAAAGGGCGGAGGCTCCCTTGTTCCGGCTGGAACAGCCACTGGGTAGAAGTCGATTGCAAGTCCACCGCGGCTAGATCTAACAACGTTGAGCTAATTTATGGCGATGATGGCACGGTAAGGGTTTGCCCGTGGGTTCCAGCGATGAAGACGGTAATTGCTGGTCCGCCACGCAGTGATGTGCGACGCGTGAAACAGGCAAATGGGTTTGCTGGGGAGGGGGGACGATTCAACCGTTTATCCCCCTGGTCTGTGGCTCGCCAGCTGCCGAACAGCAGAGAACATAGACGTAAGCAGACTGGACCAGGTGGGCAGTTGCTCGGACGTAACAATGCCCTGAAAGACCTTCACGGACGCTAATCTTTTTTTTTGCTGTTTCTCTCGTTTTGCCCTGTCTTGTCCAGGGCGCTGTCTGGTGGCCAGGCGGTGGTGGTTCTGGGCTGTGGTCCTGAAGCTGTTTGGGTATGCGGTGTAGTGCAGATACACTACAACCGCTTGGAAGCTTGGCAAGTCGGGGTCCTAGTCCAGTTGGGCTGCTAGCGCGAACTCCAGATTGTGAGATCGCAGGTTTGATTCTTTTTCCGTGGGTTTTTCTTCATGGGCAGGGCCCTCCCCAGTGGCTGGACGCAGACCCCCTGAGGACATGACCCACAAGCGTATCCACTACAGGTCAGAATGGCAAATGGGCGGCGGAGCAGTGGAATGAGATACATTGTACAATGCATGGGGGATCCTGATCGGCACTGAGGGGCCCAACCAGGGCCCCTCTGGTCTAGGTTCGTCTAGCGTAGGTAGTCGAGGAGGAGATGGATGCTTCGCTGCCCACCCACTCTGGCGACAAGGAAAGAAGGGCCCATCCTCATAAAGCGGCTCAAAGAAACTGTGGCCAGTTTATCGGGCCTTCGACAACCATGTAAGGAGAATCTTGCTCGAAGGGGCCGCGATGAGTAACATCATTGTTTTTAGGGCTTGCACTCACCACTCGGTTGCTGGATCTGCAGCGGTGTTTCTGTCGGCAAAATGGATACTAACGTTCTGGAAGCGGGATAGGTAGGCACACCGACCACCTTTTTCTCTGCCCTGCATTTTTCTTTATTTTTTATCACGCCGCCAATTCTGATGGGTCTCATGTGGGGTGACACAGATCCTTACCGTCTTCGGCTTGCTAGGTTGAGGCTGTGATGCACTGCGGGCGGGTTGAGAGGTGGGGCAACGGCACTCTTTTGGATTCCAACGGCGAGCTGATTGGATGATTTCACTGGCTGGCGCGACAGGACGATCGGTTGGGTATGGACACATAAAGGATGTAGTTTGATGTGAGTGGGCAAAGAGAGAGTATGAGCATATGAGATGAGCCAGCCAACTTGATTCGATTCGAGTTGAATCGAGTAGAGTGGGATTTGAAGCGCTGCGCAGCTCAATGTACATACATGCTAAGAGGCGGGAGCCAACACTTGCGCGGGCCTGCCAGGGCCGCACCTTCGTAGTTTCTGCGCCTCTGCACGGCGTCATGATGGTTGACGTTTAGCGTACCTTTCCAAAACACAGATTGGAGTTTCCTGCATGTACACTAGAAGCGCAAGGTACACGATGGAGCCGTAGCGGCTAGCGCGACCGCCTGTTGCGACTCTGCCGTACGCGATTTTAGCGCCACCGCCTGAGCTGTCTGGAAACCTGAGGCCAAACGATACACCAACTTCATCGTACTTTACCCTTCCACCTTCCAGAGGGAGAGAAGATGTGATGGTGGGTACGGATAAGGTGCGGCAGAGTGGGAAAAAGAAAATTGAAAAATAATAGACAAGTACGTACATTTTACGCTCTTGGCCGATGGTCCGTCCATATTGAGAGGGTGGGGCCAGGCCTGCAGACCTGTCCGCTCGGGCAGACAACTATTAAAGACAAAGAACGGAGCCGGGGACTTTTGTCGGATATCTAATTACATGCACCCCGCCAATTGCTACACGGCAATTTCTGCGCAACAATATCCCCGGCAAGAACCATGTTCATGCTGCTAATACTGGAGTAGCAAGGAAAGTGTCACTGACAGATTATCAGATGGGGAGAAGGATGAGTACGTATTATGGGGAAGAGCTGTGCTGGGATTGACATTGGACTTTGCCAGCCTGCCAGGTGGCTGTAATAACCACCGGCGCCGGCTTCGGGCCCAAGGGAGTGGTCGAGCTCTGCTTCCTGACCAGGGGGGTTTCAACATCACTCAAAGAAAACGTATGCAATCTAAAGATAGTACATCACGTGCGCAACCATGTCGGGTAAGCGTCCTGAGTCTGCAAAGGAGAGGAATGAATGTGAGGCTGTTGTAGCCGTCATTAATGGCCGGGTCGCCAATGTTACCCTATTTGTCCATCAGCGTCCCCGACAGAAGTGGCCCAATGCCCTGATGTCAAGTAGACAGGTAAGGGGGGTCCGCAAGTCAATCAAGCTAGGCTTAAGCATCGACGATAGTGAGCCATCAAGTGGCGCCTTCTCCAATACGCCGTAGTTACACTAAGCATCATCGTACCATTTCCACATATGTAGCGGCCCCAGCTGCCCCAAGCGCCCCAAGTGCCTCAATTGGCAGGCGAACAAGCGACATGGCCAAATGTGGCTTGGCCCTTGGCATATCTCTTCGTCGCCATGGGCGCCGTCATCGCCTCTTGTTGCAATCAAGCATTGGGTTTTGCTTCGCCGCGTCAATATTGCCAAGGTCGCTTGCGCGGCACCGCACGGCATCGTTTTGTTGGACGAGCCAAGCATTTTCAATCCCGGAACGACGGGGTCGGAGCGCAATACGTGGCCGCGGGGTGCAAGATGTGATGGAGCCTATGGCTTGGCCGTGGTCATTCGGCGCCGGCGGCTGTACCGGCAGGAGCCATCCGGCATGCCGGCGGGCAGATACTACAGTCCGTCCGGGAGACGTGGAGGCGGCAGGAGCTGGAAAAGAGGGTAGCGTGTACAAGGTAGCGGACGGGCCAAACAAGCAAAGGAGGGCCTACCAGTTTGTTGCTTCTTCACAGAGGTAACTAACTGACAGTGGTGTATGCGCGACGATGGGATTTGGGCTGCTTGTTGTCCCACAACCGTTGCTGCCGCCCGCTACCTTCGCCGCCATTGCGGTGGTGTGCCAAGCTCTGACCAGTGCTTGGCGATTGATTTTACTACCACCACTACTACTGCCACTACAGCAACAACAACATCAATTATTTACTACTACTACTACTACTATTACCATCACTACTACGTAGTATAGCGCTGCGGGAGCGGCGGCGATGATTGCTGCTGCTGCCTACTCTTGCGGGCGGGAGCTGGGATCAAGGGACTTCTCACAATGTGCAGGTGATCAGTCTCTCAGGGAAATGACATGGGATCCCATCGGGTGACTGCAGACTTGGTCAGCGGGGGGCACCCTCATCGCCAGGATTCTTATTCCCTCCTCTGATGTGTGATTGTCGTTGGGCTGTTCCTTGGTTGAACCCCGGCTTTCGTGACATGCTCTGGGGCTTGGCCCGAGCTGGCTTACGGCGACGGCATTATCGAGACGGGAAGGTTGGAGAAAAAGAGGACGAGAAACAGGGGAATGCACAAGCAGGGGATGCTTCTGGCCAAGAGCTGACGAACGCGGAGAACAAGGCGCGGCTATGTTACGCGCTATTCATCGATCGATATGGAACGTTGCGATAATTCCAGCGAGGGCATTTGAGGCGCAACACTGAGGTAACTCGCGATCTGCACGTCTGTCTGGGTAGCGGCTAGCAGGAATCTGACATGTTGGGGTCATGCGCCGACGCACCGTACCGCACCGCTCGGCAGCGTGGCGGCGCTCCGGGCAGATGTTCATACATCTCTGGGGGCCGGCGGCACAGGGTGGGCCGTGACAGGCTCTTGGGACACTGGAGACACCTGCGAAAAGAATGGGGCGCAACAGAGGAAATTCCAAAAAGCTGTGAGGGAAGGAGAATAGGGTCGTTTGCCAATGCAAGTGAAGTGGGGCCGACCCGTTGCCGGGTCACACGGGGCGGTTCTTGTCTGGGAGGGTGGTGGCACAGAGCCCAGGGAAGTGAGGTGAGAAGAAGACACTAAGTGTGGCCGGTGCGCGCTTTCCCTACCTACGTCTCTAATGACTTGCTCGCTGGGAGAGAGGGCAAACTGAAGCAGCAGCACACCTCCTTCCCCTCCTCCTACTCCTCCCAACTCCTCCCCCCTCTTTCCCGTTCAACGGGAACCCAATGAGAGCACGGCCGTGCGCCGGATCTGGCTCCTTCTCTGCGCCGCACTTACACTTGTGCGCTGCAGACACATTTGGCTCTAAAGATACTCCCGTCAGCAGGTGCGACATTGGAAGGCTTAACATGACAACACTGCATGCTAGCATACAAATGCACTCCCGCACTGATGCCGGCGGTTCTTGTTGCTCCTTACCCTACCTACCGTTTTGAATACCGCAGTCACGAACCGGTATGGTATTTAGTACCGATAGTCCCATACGGTTGCTTCCCCGGTTTTCTCCTTATGGTCTCGGCCAACGATAATGAGGGTGCTTAGAGCTCGCCTCGGTTCACTTGCGCCTAGCCCTTTTCTTCATCACACCACGTACTACGTAGTAGTATGGTTGACATAGTAAGGGGATGGGGAAGAAAAGTGGGCGGACAGGCAGTGACAACGTGGTCAGTCGAGTCAAGTCGGTTGCAGATGGGATGGGTTGCACCGCAGGAATCATCGGAAACATCAACATACCCATTCATCGTGACAGGACCTGGCCAAGAGTTCTCGGGGAACGATGCGATGCACGAGGCAAGACGCCGCGGCGGGGATAGCGCTCCACTGGCAAGGCCACGAGACGCCTGCTCAACGGGGAGCGGGGAGCGGGGAGCCAGCGAGCGGGCGCAGTGTCAACTCAACCAAGGTGGGCAACATGAGGCTGGTTGAAGTGAAATAGACATGCAGGGGGGGAGGGGTTGGAGGCACGGGGGCGTCGGAGACCAGGGGACATGGGGTTTCTCGCTCTCGTTAATTTTGCCGTCCGTCTGGTCGCTCGTTTTGCTCCAAGTTCATCAATGGTGGGTGTAAAAATAATGAAGCAAGCATCGATCGACCGCTACTGATCATCAATGCCCGTCTCGTTCTCTCAATCTGCCCCATCATCTAGACCCGAAAGTCCCTTCAACCCCATTGTGCCCCATTCTTGGTCCCTGTCTCTCAGCTAAAGCCCCTCGCTTGTCAGTCTGTCTTGCTCTCTCAAGCCCGTGACGAGTGTCAGATTTCGCAAATGTCAATATTGGACGGAACGTTTGAACGTGTAATCCCTTTCGGTTCAGTAAGCGGATCCATGATGCTTGGGCCACTCAAAGCGACCTGAGCCATTTGTCTTTCTTCTTTCATTCATTGCCCTTGTTGCGATGCGATCGCATCGCGGAGCCCCGCGGAGTGCGGGAACTCCGCGTCCGTCTTGGGTCATGGCTGTTTCTCCCATTACTCACTTTAGTTTCTCATTGATGGACATGTTCTGTTCGCATTGATAGCCGTCTGTTCGTTAAAGGGTCTCACCACGAGGCCGGCCGAGGACGGACGACAAGGCGGATTACCAAACAATTGTGCTCGGGCCTTTTGGGTCTCACCAGGCATCTTGACACCACCACAAACCACAAAATACGAATAGACATGAAAATAAAATAAAGACAAAAATCAGGCCATCCTTCCGCAGGGTGGACAAAGCTACACGCCTTGCCTCACACACTAGTCAACTTTTGTATGATATGCGCGAGACGCCCGCACCTGGGAACACATTTAGTGAGTTGGGTATGGGGAGAGTAAAGGCACCATGACATGAAAATTAAAATAGCATCTCCACGGGTCGCGAATGAGTGGTGAATTTCATCGGCGCGTGCAACAGCCAATTTGGGAACAATGCTTACTGTCGTCCCTTGTGCACATTGGCCAGCCAGAGCCAAGGTGCCGGCCTCATCAACTTGCACCATGTAGCGTCGTGGCCATGGCATTGAATGCCAATACCAGCTTACCGGTTTGGTGCATATGCAGTTACTCAGAGTCATCTTACCCAATGAATCGGCAATGGGAGAGGGGTACGGGGGAGTTGAAGATGGTGCCCGAAAAAACCGAGACTGCGCTCAGAAGCCGGTGCCATCATCAGTAGTGAAATGCAGGGCAGTGCCGTCTCGGCAGTCCAGGCACGCTTCCGGTAGGTTGGGACTTAAGGCGATTGGTGGTCTGCTACCCCTTGCTCTCTCGCTTGCTTAATTGCTAGAGCTGGCTACAATGTCATGTGGTATCGCCGATGGCTGATGATGGCCCATGGACTATGTTCACGAAAACTAGAGTTCGGCCGGCCGAGAGGCAACAATATGCAGGCAATGGAACTCCTGGTGATCGAGCTGACCCGGTTCAATAATTGATCGTGGTATTTGCGGACAACGAGTCTGTGCAGGCCACGGACAGTAGGGTTCCTTGTGTATGCCAGGTTGCTGGTTCTGCTCGTTGTCTTGGATGCCCGCCATTAAGATCGATGGAGGGAGGGGAGCAACGAAGTGGCCGAGAAGACCTGGGCCGGTCCTGGCTGCGTCCATGGGAGACAGGGTACCGGGTTAATTAGCCAGACCACTGACTCTGGCTCCCGCTCCCGCTCTCGCGCTGACATTGTTGTCTGCTGTGTAAATTTGCCCCCTTTTTGCCTTTCGAGAAAACTGGGGCACCAAGTGAGGGAAGAAACGGGGAAAGGCGACGTTTGCTGCCTGGGCGTGTGAGACCATCAAGTCAAGGATCGACATGATGGAGAAATTCGATTTTGGGTCGTCGATGCATGTGCGATCATCGTGCCTCATTTGACCTCATGGCAGGATCATGAGTATCGTCACATACTCTCCTTTGTTTTGCCACTTCTTGCATTTTCGATTTGGGAATATCCTTCTCCTTCTCTCTCCCTCAGTTGGGATGAGACAAAGTGAGAATTGGGGGTGTTGGGAGGGAACAGCTTTGTTAATGCAACCAGCGCGCAGGAACATGACCATGAATGCCGACGTCCTAGTTGGTTTTAATTCGAGTCTGCCGATTTCCCCCTTTACACGTGCTTTTGGACGAGGTCTAAGGTGAAGGGAATGACGGTTTATTGTTGGTGTCAAGTTTCAGATCTGCCAACATCAAACAAGGCGCCGCCTGTCGATAATGATGCCCCTCGTGATAGGATGTGACCAAGACACCAAGAGGCTTAGACACAACTGAGGCCCAAAGCTATGCCCGAAAGCCCTCCAATGAGCTAGGCATTAAGGCATCAAAGCGACCATTACCTAATGTAGCGATCCCACCCCTCTTCTTTCCCCAAGAGGAATTTTTGGAGGGGGAAAGAGGTGGAGAAGACCACATTTGTTAAAGAAAAAAACAAAAAAAAAAAAACAAAGGAGAGACTTCAATGGCAAGCACCTATACGTAGTCACTGCTCGTGGCATTTGTACACTAGATACTCTTGTCCAGATATCCGTGCCAACAAACACCGGTCATTGTGGAACTAGTTAGCCAACCACCAACAGTTCCCAGTTCTCAGTTCCCGAAACTTCAAACCCGAGGATGCGCCTTAACCTTTTCTGACAGGTATTCGCGCCCGCTCCATTGTCTGTGCACCCGCATCTCAACAATGATAACGAAGCAACTCCGACAACGGCCTTTGCATACCTGGATGCCCAATTTTTCAGCACCAAAAGCCTGGATGAAGACTCTGCTGCTACGTGATGTATGGGCAAACCTTGGGGTATCTTCGCCAGCAAATCTGAGCAAGGAACGGGGGTTGTGTTAGCTTGAGAATCGCAAATTTGTCCCTCAACGTGGCCCTGCTCACCCGTTTGCAAACTTCATGTGAGAGTAAAAACTGGTGTTCGTTTCCGCATCGATGTATCCCTGTACAGCATCTGTTGATTCTTGTATACGTATACGCATCCACGCATCTCGTCAAGGCATCCCTCCTGGCTGACACACATGAACACATGTGCGCACACACCATTATGGCGCATCACTGCCACAGGCATTGCTGTAGCCTTGGCGCGTTGGCTTCGACCTTCCTCGGATTTTTTTTTTTTTTTTTTTTTGCACCCAGGTCCAGGTTCTTTTCTCGCAGTGAAATGCCCAGGTCCTTGCATGGCTTGCACGCCAGGCCTCTGTACCTAGAAATGGCAAGTCCAAGGAGAAAGCTCAGGGCCTCCAATAATGTGCTGGTTGAAATTGCACCTGCAATGTCGCATGCCGTGCACTATTTGTTCGTGGCTGGAAGGTATTGGTTCACAATTGAAAAATATTGCAAAGCGGATGCCTAATTACACTGAGCTCGCTCGCTTGCCATGGATGCCTTGGCCAATTTTGAGCTCGCTCGTACTTGAGTGGGAGAAAGGTCTATTGCCGTTTGACAGTATTTCTCCCGTCTGTTACTGCTGCGTTTTCTGCCACCCGAGTAATGATTTTCCTTTTCATCAGATGAGTTTAGTCAATTTTTGAGATGCAATAAAATTTCGGCCATACTCAGACTGTCGTGGATAGTCTTGCCGCAACTCTGAGGAGATGTTTGGATGCCATTGGAAAAAGGGGGGGATGTGCTCTTCTTCCAAACAGATATGTAAGCATGACCCTGGAGCGCCCAAGTTTCGTGCCAAGCGAACGTGTTGGCCAACCTAAGTTTCTAGGCATGCTCCCTAGGCACACAGGAGAGGTTCAAGGCACATGCGCTTTTCTCTCCAGGCTCTGCCATGTTGGGCCATGCCATTGACTTTTCGGCGACCGTGGGCATTGGCCGTTGTGCAGAACGGTCGCCGTTGCACTGAGTTGTGTCTGCTGTACGAACATACAACTTAGCAGATGCACAAATTTACTCATTACATGCCGGCAATACCCAGCGATGCATGTACACCTATCTCTGCACACCCTAACCGCATCTTGCCATACCTGGTACCTGGTCGCGCCGCACCATCCTGTTCTATATGTCGCCCTACATTGCCGTTAAGGTTAATTCCGCTGGATGAATTGCCGGGTTTTTCTTCGAGCTAAATTCAGAGTAGCTGGTGAAGCGAGAACTTGCAGCACATCCCATCATCTCGTCATATTTCAGATGGTTCGGCTGTGTGAGCAAAAGCTCAGGTTTCCTTACGATGGCGATGCGACGATTCAAGAGTCACAGGCATCCAGGCACCAAAACCCATTGGCGTTTACCTTTGGTATGCATACACCCAAGTCAACCTGACCTTTATCAATCACAATTGCAGGTCACCAAGAGGTACGAGTTGTAATGATGTTCGTGTGTTGCAAGAGTCGTCGGTTCCATTATGCACCCTTTGCTGGGTGTGTTGATCGCTGACAGCTATGAAGTTCTCCACCCCACCTAACATGCCTCTGAGACAAGAAAGCCAATGGCTGCAGGCATCATGCTATGTGTGCCCATATGCATGTCATGTTGATGTCTCTATCCTCTGGGAGAGAGCGACGACGACTGAACTAGAAGGGGAAAAAAACTACTAGGCCGCAGTTGCCGAGCGGCAACAGGGACACGACCATGGAAAAGGAGACCCTGACCAGCAGAGTGAGCAGTGAGGGGCACGCGATTTGGAAGAAAGGTAACATAAACAGGAAAAAAAAAAAAAGAGCACTTAATTACTACGTAGTCGAAGAGAAACATTCAGTGGATGGTGAATGCCAAGTTGATGGGCCCAGACCCACGCCTCATATCCCACTCCCAGTTGCGACCACAAAACATTATGCTCAAGAGACCTCTCAGAATCGACTCCAATGAGCCCCCACCCCCTCCCCCAAGCGACTATAAACACACCCTCCGGTTCTTTTATCTTCCTTTCCTCTCCCGTCCTCTGCCCCCCCTGCCGTCTATCAGATCCCTCCACCCTTCCGTCCAGTCCATCCATTCTTTGGACTTGCGGCTATCCAATTGGCACAAAAACCCACCCATGCGTTGATCATTTTTCTCCTCTTGGGGACCTGAGCCTCCCACATTGCAGGGGGGAGGCCTTCTGGTATTGCATGTTGGCTGGCCAGGGCCCCTGAAGTTCCCAGCGCTCAAGCTACTCGCTTGAGCTTCTGTCAGTCTCGTACATACCAGAGGTGATCTCACCCTTGTACCTTGTCTGCCCAATATCTTCAAGTTCAAGCTTCATGGCGTCCGACCGCCTCTTTTTTTTTTCTTTCGTTTTTTTTTTTCCTTCTCTTTCTCTCAATCTATCTCATCTTCCTTTAGCCTGCACTGTCGTGTCTGCGGGTCCAGTATTTGTCCAACTTACATGGATTAAACAGAGAGCCAGTCCATTTTCTGTAGCAATTCGCAAGTCTCGTTTCCATACTACATGTACACACAACTGAATACGCCTCAGATGCCAGCTACATCCCCGGCTAACCGTATGCGGATACTCCGTCCCTACATGGGCCGAAGTTTTGTCTCGCACCGTACCTCCATGTTTCTCCATCACGTCCCTCGCTCTTGGGCCCTTGATCCTTGTGTCCTTTGAGGTGTCTTGGCAATTCGGTCTCCCTTTTTGTCTGTGCCTGTACGTGGGCTCTCTGCCACATCCCCCCTTTACCCATGTTCCTATCTCAATGGCAAAATGGTTACCAAATGCCCTATTAGAACCTTGGCTTCGGAGTACTCCAGCCCAAGCGTCCAAATCCGGGGAGCTGACTTCAGTGAGTATGAGATACAAAGCAGCGGCCAAAACTCACTTCATAGCACTCATCAGCCAGCATAAACACCCCATCATTTCAGATCACAGCCTATGCACACGCGCTTATATCGAGTTCGATTTTCGTACCCCATGCCACCTCGCAACATCCTCGTCGATCCTCGTTAATTTTGAGGACTTAGGCCCTTGTCAGGCACGAATCAATACCCGCGCGGGGTTCTCAAGGCGGAGAACGAAACCGACAAGCCACGGCCACTTTTTGACAGCACCAATGCCTCCCCCCTTTTTCTTCCATGTGTCGTTTCGTCCCTGTATGTGCTAGTAAGTGCCCAGGCCTCTCTCCCTGTCTTCTCACTGGTGCCACTGAATTGCAGTCCGTTTTGGGACCGCGAGAACGAGCCACAAGCACCGACCCCCTACAAGGAGTACGAGCACTCGGATCGAATTATCTGACGGTACCTATGTCAGCGGCTACCATTGCATACTGTTGTAGGTATTGAATGATAAGACGACGCAACGGCACGCTGCCGACCATCTCTCGACACAGCGTCCCAGGCTGCTGCTAAAATCAGCAACGGCCGACATTGGTACGGAGAGGTACGAATTGCCTGGCTCACGGATATTTCCTCTCAGCGAACACGGAAAAGACGCCAATAGTCCACAGGAGATTGTGGACGTATCATCACCGTGAGCATTCAAGGTTACTTGGGTGATGTCACCCTCCTCTCCCCCTCCCCCCACCTCACTCCTGGCAACAATACCAACGACGCCAGGCCTGCAGTTGGACATCCATCCATCTATACCTGCTTCATTAGAAAAGGGATCATATTTGACACGACGCGGAAGAAACAGAGCAACAGATTTTATGCACGGGGATGGCATAGTATAGGAATAATCGAATCGGAGGAACGAGAAATCTGGACTGGCCAACGTTTCGTCACTTAAAATCAATAAATAAGAAGAACAAAAAAGAAGTATTCGAGTAAAGAAGATCCATCACCACCAAATGCTGCGCTCTTCACTTCACACAGGCCAGAGGAAACAGATTGTCAATGGCTATGGCTATTGCCAAGGTGCTATGTCATCAGAGGGGCACTGCAAGCGCCTTGTTGCAGGTACCTTTGTCGTGCCCTTGCTTACTTAAACCAGACCGATGGGGGTAGCCTTGGTTGGCAGCAGTTCTGTGCAGTTCAGCCCAGTCCAGTTCCGCGCCGTCTAGTCTTAGTTTCAGTCGGCCCATGCTAACAGGGCCAGACGAAACCAGTAAGTTAATCCACCTTGGCTTTCATGAGCTTGGGGAGACGTCCGAAGTGGAGGATGTTGCATTCCTGACCGACGTTTCTCGGCCGGGTTCAAAGTGCCTTTCGGCGAATTCGAGGCAACCAGTTCCCTCGTGTACGCGTTGACGTCGTTGTTGAAGGAGACGAGCGAAGATGAGTAAGGGCTGAGCCGCTCTGGGTCAACTGATACCCTGGGCTACTGTACACCACGACCATACTGGACGCGGCCATATCTGCAGGCCGTACTGTGAATTGCCGCGTCATTGACATAGACCCCCACTTGCTCCTTTCTATTTCTCCGCTCTCTCGACTTTGCATTTTGGCTGAGCTTGTCTACTCCCAGTCCACATCTTGCTGGCCCCATGGCGAGCTGCATATTATTGCCGTCAGATCTCGACCTTCCCTGTCCACCTATGGAGTGAGTACATGGTGTTCCATGCCGTATGCAATGGCGCTGCTACAGATGTGGCGTGGTTGTTACCGGCAGCCCTACATTACACCAAACTACCTTGCCTTGCCTTGTCCCCACCAGCCTCACATTATGGTCCGGATACATTAAGTTGAGTTGAGTTTAGTTTTTTTCCCCTTCTTTGCCCCATCCAACATAGCCGTCGGGCGCTGCCTCCTCTCCGACGGACGGACATGTCGGCTTCCCATTCCTTGTTGTGCACAAGGTGGCCTGTGTACAGAGTATTGAGGGGTGCCACTATGTACCGCCAACTCGCATGCAAAGATGTTCCCTGTCTCAGGTCCTCCATGGTCTCCAGATCCATCTTCACCTTGTCTTCCCCGAGTCTGCCTGTGCCACGTCCCCTCCAAATCCCACGTCTGCAGTGGAACCGGGACTCTATGTCTGAGAAACTCATCTCACTTCTACTCCATTGTGCCTTCGGCTCTCCTCCTCCGCCGGTGCCGACTCCTCTTTGCTCTGCCATACCCATCGTCGGCCCCTCCATTCTAACCGTCCCATACCACATCCCGTCGCATCAAATCACTTGGACTGCTCGTTCCCTGTCTCCGTCCATCAACGCCTACTTACCCACCCGTAAAGCCATACATCCCCGACCCGGGGAACCCAGCGACAGCACGAGCACGACCTTGGCGCTATAACCCTCTTGTGATGTGCCTCTAACCCTCACTCCGCATCACCTCACCTCACTTCAACTCACCTCATGCAGCTTGGCACGGCTTGGCCTTTCAAGGGCGTAGAATGCAGAGATGCAGACGCTGCGAAGCGGAGAGACAACACATGGGCGGACTGAGAAGGGAAACAGATCTTTGGTGGTCCCTCCACCACAGCACGGCTCCCTCTTTAACCATATCGCGTTGTCGGGGGAGCTCCCCGTGGCATGACACGGATCATGGGGCACGGAATACTAGGTCGGCTGGCTCCGTGGCAGATTCCTATCCGTGTAGGTACATTGACGTTTAGCAATCAAGGATGGAGGCACGACAGAAGAAGGAGTCGTCTTTGTGCCTGCAAGGTAAGGTCGGTACAACGTGGTATGGTACTTATCCGCAAGAGGTTGGCTTTCTTACCTCAGCATGCTGTGTGATTTGCTCTGGCAAGTATTCCACATGCTCCCTCGTTCCTGGCCTCTGGGACAACGTTCCACGTCTTGGGGACTCGGCCCCTCATTTCCTCTTGGCTCCACCTGGACGAGACGGAAGATTGGGGTTCCTTGCGGCACTGCACCCTGTGCCTGCATTGCTGTGCAGCATCAGCAACAGCAGCGGCGGCGGCAGCAGCATCTGGGTCTGCATCCAGTATCAGCAACAACGGCTGGACCATCGGTACCATCACCCAAGTTTAGTGTTTCCGTCCCACACACCCTTATTCCATCGTGAGACCTCTTTTCCCCTCCCCTCCCCCCTCCTCCTGTAGTAAATGCAGCAAAAATAAATGACAATAATAAAAAGAGAGAAGGAGGGGGGGGGGGGGGGGACCGGGAAAGCGAAAACGAAAATCATCAACAGCATGGGCAACAAAGACAAGCACAACCAACCATCACCGCAACAGCCTTCTACCACAGAATGGCATGGTTCATCTGTCACGTAACCATAACAAGATGCAATGAAATAAATAAACAAGGCAAGGCAATTGCAACAAAAGACAAGTAAGCACCGGCCAGCAGTTGTCATTTCATGATTCTACCTTTCCATACCTTAACCTTGCCTGACCTTTTCCTGGATCTCCCGCCTTGCATTCCCTTGCCATTGTCGCCGTGCCTACCCATCTGCCTTCCTTTCTGAGGCTCTAGCAAAGAAGCATCTCCCTCCGAGGTAAGTAATGGTCAGGCAGAAGCAGAGGCAGTCAGTGCTAGCTCAATTCGTAGCCGCCAAACTGCATAGTACTGATCTCTCGTCTTGACGTTCCTTGCTTCAACGTAGCAGATGGTACCGTCGCTGGCACCGGCTGGCTTTCTCGACGGACAAACATATACGTAGTTAGACAGCCCAGCCAAGCAAGACAGGACGCACCTCAGGCGCGAAGTGCCAGTCAGCACCCCCAATTCGGCTCAAGCCAAGCCCAAGTTTCCCTTGCCTTCTCTCCCCTCCATGTTCTTTCTCCTCGTCGTTGTCATCGTCAGGTCCCTGTCCCCATACTACTACGTATGTGCATGTTCCCCGTTCATTCCAAGTACCGTCCGTACCATACAGACACATAATGGATACTTCCCTTGCTCAGAACAAGCAGAACGGAACACAGAGCTAAGGCAAGGAAAGGAAAGGTGCAGGTCCCCAGCATGTCTCGTCCTCACCTTGCTCCTCTCCTCTCTCTTTCTCCCCGTTCCCGTTCCCACTTCTCTGTCTCTCTCTTGCCCGCCCGCTTTCTGATCGCCGAGCGTTTCCCCCGACGTCTTTCTGGCCCTTGTCCTCTTCCCCGTCCATCCATTCATCCACCCATCCAATTCATTCACACACACGCCTCTTTCAAACTTTCACCTATTCTCTTGCTCCCATACCCTCGCACACCTCCTCTTTTCCTTACCTCCCCCCCTCCTACTTGGCCATGCCATTATCCTTACCTTCTTCATCCTTACTCTCACCCCACTCCACCCTTCACTCCCCACACCCAGCTGCCACCACAACCACACACGCACCCACTTCTCTTTCACCCCCCCCCCCCCCCCCCCCCCCCCCCCCCCCCCCCTTCTTTCCCCGCCCTCTACTTCGCTCTCTCAAATTCCTACTCCTTTTCTTCCCATCATCACTCTCCTCTGCTTCTTCTCAAACCACCCCTCCCCCCTTGCAATCTGCAACTTGCTTGCCGGCGACGAGACGTCCTGTTATGGGTTGTGTGTCTTTGTATTCCACCGCCGCCGCCTCCGCCTCGCCCTGCTCCCCACGTTAACCTGCTCTACCTTCTCTGGCTCTACCACAACTACCACTCCTCCACCTGGTGCGACTGCTAAATTGATGCTTGTTGCTGTTCCTCTTCCTGCCGCTGTCGCCGCTTGGCCCTGTCCGCCCTGTCTTCTTGGCTCTCTGACGTACATGGTAGAGCTTCATTAGCTACCCTTGCTCGGGTTCAAACAGCTTCCTGCTCTTCTCGACCGCGGCACCTTGCCTGGCCGTGGCCGTGGCCCTACACGTCGGCATCCCGCCTTGAGTCCGATCTGCCTTGTACTTGACAAGGCCTGTTCATTGCCCTTGTTCAATCCTCACCCTCCTCGCTCGACCTCCCAAGGTAGCCTGGGTCCGTTTCCTCTTGCAAATTCATCCAGTGTTCCGATCTTCACGGACAAATATCAGTTCTGCCGTCGGGCACCGACATGATATAAGTCCACCGGCTCCGCGACCACCAGCCAACCTGATCTGTCATCCCCAGCTCCCGAAGCTAAGCTAACGGACTGGACTGGGAGCTCGAGGCCCAACCGCTCGGTTCAGAGTCAAAAACCTCCGAGGCCCTCCTCTACTTTGTCCTACTTTCCCGAACCTTTTTTTTTTTCTAAAATCTAGGGTCCGCTAGATCAACCACCACCACCACCACCAACAACAAATTCTTACCACTGCCGCCGCCCTTATTACCACAAGCCGCAGCACGAGTTATCTCCAGCGCTCATACGCGCACTCGGCCTCCTCCACTTCCCTCCCCCTTTTATCACTCACTCCCATCTCTTACTACTCTTTTGGCTCTGAAGCATACACCTACATCTCTGTCCACCCTCGCGGCCCATCTTCACCTGTTGTTGCCCAATATCATCCACCACGGTCACGGTTGATACTCCCACGCCAACCACACCAAACATAAAATTAGTCTGCCTCAACGAGAAGCCAAAGTCACCACCTATAGTCGGACCAGAAAGCCAGCACTCCTTTTTTTCCCGGCCGTGCTGCGCTTGACAAACCTTAAAACACTGGATCTTTCCATCCGTCTCTGGTTCCTGGCCCACACACGCCACAGGCCTTATACATCCATAGTCACTGCGAGCCGCCGCTGTGTCTACCAAGCCTACCTCTCGCCCGCTACCTGTCCTGCCTTGCTACTTCAATACTCACCGCCAACACTCAACGCTGTCTCCGCTTCCGTACTACGCCCAGCCAAAGCTTATCTTCAGTCACGACCCAAGGCGCCTCGTAGTCGCGCCATCTCACGCTCAAGTCTCGTTCACCCACAAAAAAAAAAAAGATTAAAAAAAAAAACACCCCAGAAAATCCAAACTCCCTTGACCCCAGCCGGACGGTCACCCACCCCAGCTCTCTCGGCGAACTAGGTGTTGATCCATCAAGGAAAGAGGCGCACGGGGGGAGGTGGTACCGCAACCTGGATGCGACAACAAGCGCAGACCGAACCAAGGACCGACTCTTGCCATTATTAGCTCCACACACCACATCGTATTCACCTTACCCATCAAGTGCCTCCCATACATATCTCTTCTCTTCCATCCCCCCCTTCTTCCGCAAGTACTTCTGTCGAACCTTACTTAGACTTGACATCTCTCAAGACATCTCTTGATCATTCTAGTCTGGACACGGTTATTATTATCATTTGTCGACCTACCCGGAAGCTTCAAGACCTTACTCCTACGCGCTGAATTCAACCATTACCACGCGTCAGAAGCGACAACTGCACTTCACTGATACTTCCTCGCACATCGCGTACTTCGTCAGTAAGTGGCGCAACTCTACTACACTCAATCTTGACAACTGAAAAAAGTGAACTTACACATGAAATAGACTCGACGCAAACGGAGGCCAAATGGCAAACTCCAACGTCCCGCTAAACCCTACCTTCGTGGGTCACGTCGCGTCTACTCTGGATGCTCTGGTCCTCTTCGAAGCTTGTCTCAGCGGTGCCCTACTACACGTTCCCAGACGGCCGCATGACCGGGAAAGACAGGACCTGATCAAAAGTGGAAATGTCTTCATCTACGAGGAACACTCTTCGGGTATCAAGCGCTGGACTGATGGCGTTGCCTGGAGTCCAAGTCGCATTCTGGGAAATTTCTTGATTTACCGAGAGCTTGACAGGCCATTCCCACCCGGCGAGAAGAAGCGCGCCATGAAACGAAACAAGAAGACGACTGGTGTTACCAAGCCGAGTGATGTTACATCACGGCAGGGAAGTGTCAACGGTGCCGGCGCCAACATGGGAGGCATGGGCGATGGGTCTGCCACCAGCAAGGACGCCGAGAGGGCCCTTATAGGCTCCCTGGTCGACTCCTACCCATTCAAGGAAAATGGCCTCGTCAAGAAAACCATCAGTGTCACCTACCAGGGCGTTCCGCACCACCTAGTCTCCTACTACAACGTGGAGGATGTCACCGAAGGCAAGCTTCTGACACCTTCAAAAGACCACCAATTATCAACTATAATCCCAAGAGGCGAGCTTATCATGTCGCAAAACTTCAGAGCTCCAATTGACGAGGTGGAGATGGACGACCAACGAGGACCCCATGGCGGCCTCTTCGCCCACAGCTACCCAGTGAATGGCCACCAACAGGCTATGTCACGCGCCATGTCAGTGCCTTCTCTCCATCACATGGGCGGTATAGGTGGCCCCCATTTTGGGCAACCGTCCTATATGCCCTCATACATGAGCACCGTGCCTGGCTCCGTCAGCAGTGTTGGCTATGGGCAGCCGCAGCACCATGGCTACAGTTATGACAGTCTCGGACGCGCGAGTAGATATGCCTCGAGTGCCAGTCTAGCACCCGACTTATCTCGAAACTTGGCTTTAGAGCCCCAGCATCATCCCCGGCGCCATTCAGCGGCGTACGAGCCCACATCCGGTGCCGACATGAGCCTCGCCGGCAGCCTACCTGCAGTTCCGGATCCCACAAGGTCGATGGGAGGCAATTATATGACGTCGATGCTCTACTCGCAGCAGCGAGTTCCTGATATGTCACCCCACGAGGCATTCCCGACACAATCTCCACGAAACGTCCATACCGATTCTGGCCTAGGCGGCGACAGGACTGCACAGGGAATTCCATTCGATGGGCTCACCCGAGATTGGAATACCACGTTTGACCAGTTGGAAGACGATCAGGGTCAATACATGTCTCAGGGAAATTCGACATGGCCCAGCGGGAGCAACACTATGAGTAGGACCTGAAGAAAAGCCGACACCAGGGCTAGCAGGTTCCCCATCAGCCAGGTTTCTGGTCTGAGAAGAAAGTTCAAAAGAGGAGAGTAAGACAGGTCCTCGCACGAACCATTCGCCGTTGAGCGGGAGGAGAAAAATGCTGGCGCGGGTGACGCCCTCGAAACACCGAGGTACCCAGGACTCCCTGCGCCACGATGTGTGACGCAAAACATAGCAGAGGCGAGCACAGTTGATTTGAAGTTCGTTACAAGCGACCAGCCTGTGTTGAGAAGCCTGGACGCATTTGCGCTGTGAGCTTGAAGGTATTGACGGGAGAAGATGTTTTGGGTTTGCTACAAAAGCGCACGAATGAAGGCACGCGTGGCCTCGTACAGGACGAGGTCCGTGGCGTACAATAGCAGTACGCACAAAGGCAAAAACAGTTTTGCAGTCTTTAACGTATGCGCGCATCTGCCTCAATACGACTTAAAACCTGTCTTCTCGACAGGCTTGTTCACACAAGCAATAGTGCAGAGAACACTGAGCCGTAGCTGTAGTTATATGGCCATAGAACATATTGTTATGCAAATTTAAACCAGTATGCAGGTAGTCGATATGCCCCGCTCTACTCGTTCTTGTGACCAATCACCAAGCTTTGGTTTGGGAACCCTGCCACATGATTTCAGACGTCAGGTCTGGCAGAAGCTTCCGTACCTTTGCCTCTGGCGCAACCGGATCGCAGCCGGTGAGTGGTATACAATAGGGCTTGGAAAGCGAATATGCTGCCCTTCAGGCTCGGTGGCCGGAAGGCTCTGGCGTACTGTGGTCGGCTACCCAATTGCAACAGCCGCTTACCACTCTCACTATCGTCAGCAGCGTGCCGGCAACCGCTCAGGTTTCCTGGCGCTCTTCCTACTATCCCGCCCCAGCAACAATTCAACCCTGGGCGAGTCGCACTCTACACGTCCCAAAGTGACGGGAAGCCTCGAAGGTACGTGTCGCATCTCAATCTTGGCCACAGCATCTAGAAAGGGAGAGTCGAGTGATCGGGGGAAGGTGAACAACTGAACTAACTCATGACATCTCGCAGCTCAATTCCAACCAAGCTCGCCGCCAAAATCCCCGCCTTACCGAAGAGCCTCCACGAAGACATCTATACAATCCCTAACCTCCTGACCCTATCGCGTCTTGTTGCCGCTCCTTTCGTCGGTTACTTTATCCTTCACGATCAGCATGCTTGGGCTTTAGGTCTGTTCGCCTACGCGGGCATCACTGACTTGCTCGACGGCTGGATCGCCCGCCGGTGGAACCTGCAGACTGTCGTGGGCACTGTGATCGACCCCATGGCGGACAAGACACTCATGACCATCTTGACAGTTTGCCTCGCTGTTCAGGGCTCTCTCCCAGGTTAGTTTGCTCAAACTGTTTCCGAACGACGCGCTCGGCCGAATATGGGGACGGGGAGACGACTGCAAAAGACGAGGAAGGAAGGATAGAGCCGAACCTGACGAGGGAAAGAAGCCCGACGAGGTCAATCGCTGACATGCTTATAATATACAAACAGTCTGGCTAGCCACGATCATCCTCGGCCGCGATGTTGGACTCGCCCTCTCTGCCATATACTACCGCTGGATCTCTCTGCCACCCCCCAAAACCTTTATGCGGTACTGGGACTTCACTCTGCCCTCGGCTGAAGTCCGTCCGACCACAATCAGCAAGTATAACACGTTTCTCCAGCTGGCCCTCGTCGGCCTGACGACAGCTGCCCCTGTTCTTAGCTACGACCTCACTACGCCCCTGACAATCATGCAGTAAGTTGGCCCAGGTTACGTTTCCTTGGCATGCAATCAATGCTGACTTGGGAACGAGATACGTGGTGGCCGCAACCACAGTGTGGAGTGGAGCCAGCTACATTTATAGCAAAGACGCAGTTAAGATCCTGACCACGCCCAAAAGCCCACCGACCAAGAGTTGATCACCCCTCCAAGTCGTACTCAGCATGAACTTGCCCGATTCAGCCTGTATCGCTTTGCTCGGCAAGTATACCAAACTAGTCGGGAGATGCTGCTGAGCATGTAACTTTAGGCACCGCTTAAGCGGTCTTTTCGATCATGTACTTCACATACATCACAAGATGGCGTTATGGTGGTGGCGCATACAACAAAACGAAAAAAAAAGTATATGTACATTAGATTTACACGCAGGGGGAAGGATTTTATAACCTTGAGACCCTTTGCAGATGTTGTACAAAAACGTATCTCCTAGATTACCCACTTCGTCGTGCACCTCTTGGGGCACGTAACTGTAGTTGCGAGGGAGTACCATTGCCACCGTTCAATCCTTCTGGTTGATGACCCAAGCTCAAACGGTGGCATCAGGTTCGCTGGGTACTGAGATCTCAGTACATAACCAAAGCTGACATCATCCCAGCTATGGCGGTCCGCTTCTTCACCAATGGACAGTCGAATCAGTACAGAGTACCCGACTGGACAGAAACGCTGTTTGGGATAGACTTCAGAATGGCAATGAACGCAGCAAGGGCAGGCGCTGCTACTTTCGCGACAACCAGTGGACAACCGGTGTTGGCCTCAACCTTCCGCCAAGCTTTTCAAATCCTGGCTTGGCCGCTTGGATCATGCCCTTTTATCATCCTCTGTCTGATTCTTCAGTCGCCAATATTCCGTTTTCTCCGCCAGGCTTGCCACACGTTTGTTGCGTTTCTGTTGCTTGACGTAGCTGAGTAGTCGGAGACAACCCGAGGGGGTGATGCCTTCAAGCCTCCTCGCCTGGGCCAATGTCTCTGGCCTGGTCGTTTTGAGTACATTCTTCTCGGCCATGGCCAATCCTGGGACGTCGTCATAATCAATGGAGAGCGGCAGAAGAACCTTATCGTCTCGGGCGAAAACCTGGCGCTCGGCAAGTTGTCTCTGGATGAAAGGAGTATACATGGCTTCAATATGTACTCGAGACTTGATGTGTTCCGGGAAGCCACTGATTCCAGGTATCGCGGAGGCGACCTGTTCCATGGTCACGTTACGCAGGCGGAGCATGTCAGTCGCGTCGCGGCGCTCTGACAGTTTCCGGAACGGGAAGCCAAGGTTGATCCACTCATGGGAGGCCTTGGTCGTAGAAGTGAGCAACGCCATCAACTCATCCATCTGTTGTTTCTCATCAGAAAAAGAACTCCATCGTTTGTCTGATACAACTCCCCAGTCTCGCCCATGTTTCGTCATTCTTAAATCTGCGTTGTCAGCTCTTGACGTCAACCTGTACTCGCTTCTCGTCGTGAACATTCTGTACGGCTCTGTGACGCCTTTGGTGATGAGATCGTCAATCATGACACCAATGTAGCCGTCCGCTCTGGAGATGGGCGCTGGTGCGAGACCAAGGGCGGCTCGACCGGCGTTGATGCCTGCAACCACTCCCTGGCCTGCTGCTTCTTCATAACCGGTAGTGCCGTTTATCTGACCTGCCAGGTACAAGCCGCTGATGTTTTTTGTTTCTAGGGTAGCCTTCAAGCTCCGGGGATCGATATAGTCGTACTCAACGCCGTAACCTGGCTGCGTCATGACCGAACGCTCTAGGCCTCGTATTGAACGGAGGATTTGTTCTTGCGCTGAGGGAGGAACAGTCATGGACAAGCCGTTGGGATAGATAACATCACTGTCGAAACCTTCGGGTTCGAGCCATACAATATGTCTCTCCTTGTCGGCAAACCGCGTGATTTTGGCCTCCAATGACGGGCAATACCTAGGTCCCCTAATCGTTTCCCGAATGTGGATGGTTTTGTCTAGGTTGTCTCGAACAATCGCATGTGTCCCCTCGTTCGTGTGTGTGACATAACAGAGCATCTGATCTTGTACGGCAACTCGGTGGTTCAGGAAGCTGAATGGCATCGGCGGTTCATCACCAGGCTCCTCTTGTAGAATGCCATAGTCGATGCTGTTCTTCGCGATTCTCGGCGGGGTGCCTGTCTTGAGCCTCCCCAAACTGAAACCAGCATCCTTAAGTGACTTGCTCAAGCCGTACGAGGCGTCCTCGCCTATGCGTCCTGCCGGGTAACTCTCCATGCCGATATGTATTTCGCCACTCAAAAATGTGCCGGTGGTTATGATTACTTGGGTAGTTGGAAGGACTTCGCCAGACTCAAGACGAACCCCGGTGATTTTGCTTTGGGTAGGATTTGTGGTGCCGTCGCTGGCCGTTGTGACAATGTCAGAGACACTACCAAGCACAATTGAGAGGTTTGGATATGCTCCCAGCTCCTCCCTCATGTGCTTCTGATAAAGTTTTCGATCGATTTGCGCCCGAGGACCCTGTGAGCGAGCTTCAGTCAGCTACAGAGCTACGCCTATATCAAGTAAGGTGACACTACTTGCCCATACTGCTGGTCCCTTGGTCCGGTTCAAAACCTTGAACTGGATTCCGGCCTTGTCGATGATTCTGCCGGCCAAACCATCGAGAGCGTCGATCTCACGAAGTATGATGCCTTTCCCAATGCCACCGAAAGAAGGATTGCAAGAACAAGTGCCGAGATTTTCGATTTTGGGAGTAACGAGAGCAGTTCGCGCTCCGGCTCTGGCTGCGGCCGCGCACGCTTCAGCGCCCGCATGGCCACCACCTACAACGACGACATCGAACGGCCTGCGGTGCTAGTCAGCGATAGCAAACTCAGCTATGGGGGTAAGATTCGTCTACAAACCTCGACCCTTCTGCAACGGCCGCAAATGTCCGCCTGCCACGAGACCCATACGAACCGCCTCGTCGCAGGCCTCTAACACAATTGCTGCGCGACCTTAGCTTGAGAGCAGCAGCAAGAGATCGCATGGTTCATTCACATAGAGCTGCAATAAATGCAGAATCGGATTAAAAACACCTAGGAGTGTCTTTGAAAAATAAAAATAAAAAAAGGAGAAAAACTGTAACAGCGTCTCGTGGCAATTCGCAAAACAGAGTACGACAAAGATCCAAAGTGCCTGTCAGAGTGCCTCGGGATTTTTTTTTTTTTTTTCCGCTTCACGCACCTGTTCAAGACACACAGTGTGGTACAGTGTTATCTCTTTTATCGGCGGCCGTGGGAAATAAGTACCAACTGTGTTGGATTATTCAGCAGTTGTGGTCAATGATTCAACCAAACTCCCAAGAGTGAATTCGATTTTATTAAGCAGGAGCTGCCTCAGCAGTATGCATCGTGTCAGCTTTAATATTTCTGAGACCTTTACAGCTTGGTCTCAAGTAAATTAAGCTTTGATAAAGAAGCAACGTCATTTAGAGGCGTAACACATGCTTGCTCTCTGCTATCTTCTAACACCTTAAGTCATTGGTCACTGTAGCAGCTGATGCCCTACCTCCGTGTGCCTGATTTCTGTGAGTCGGGCCATGATGATACCGCGTCTTCTACCTCCTCGAGATATGTTGCCGCATTGTGAATGGTTGTGCCGCCGAGGACCAAACGAACGCCAGGTGAGCTGGCATTGATTGTGGCAACCATCTTGGCCTCCTCATATGTAGCACCGCCTACCATAAATACAATTATGTCCTGTGGTTTATCCCGAGTGGTTCCGCCCCCTTCGACAAAGGGATACTGCTGTTCTTTCAATCTACCCCGAATTAAGTTTTGCAGGGTGCTCTCTAGGAGGGGACTATGTTGCGTGTAAACGTTCTCAACACCCTTAAGCCCCTTGAAGCGGTTTCCAGCCCCTCCGAAGATACCGGCAGAGTCGAAAATGTCTGTGATCCCTGTTTGAGCTTGGGATTGTTGAAGAGATGACTGATACGCCACCAGTTTGGTAACGAGGTCTGCTCGACGCACGGAGACTCCGCCAGCAGCCACCAGAAGGTCTATAAGCATTGGGAGAGAGTTGGAAGGGTTTCGCTCATATCGCAGTGCATACAGAGCAACCAGGGCCACCTTGCTGTCGCTTGTCACTTTTGGGGACTGAATGAGTTTTTGGATGTTCTGTGAATGAATATAGCATTAGTCATGTTCTCACCATATGACACAGTTCATGGGTACATGTTGTTCTTACCTTGACGTCCGCTGCATGATTGTCGTTACATGCCAAGCTCTGTTCAAGTTCGCTGACTTCGAGAAGGTTTTCTGCCCCGACCCGCCTGCTCAATTCCGAGACTAGTGTGACATGCTTGCTCACGTTTCCAGAGAGCTTGCGGAATTCTGGATACTCTTCAATGAACCGCTTCATATCCGATATCGACTCAATGTTGGCGTTGTTCTGAGTTTTGGACTGGTACTGCTCTACATAGTCCTTGATATTCCCGCCTAGGTCACCGAAATTGAGATACATGTTCTTCTTGAAAAAAGGGTCTTGATCCTGGGATAAAACGATCTCCTTGAGCTCCGGGCGGATATCAGGAACATCGCTCAAATCTACCCTGCCATTGTTGATGCCAAGAAGATGATGCACCATAGCCTGATAGGTCCATTGCGTGAGGAGAGGCGTCACCGGATCCTCACGTCGATCGAGGATCAGAAGAATAGGTGGTGTGTCTACTTTTCTGAAGTCAAACAACTGCTCTTCCTGGGTGATGCGGTATCGAACTTCCGTCGCCAACTTCTTCGTGAGCGGGCTATTTTTGGCGTATCTGATAAGAGGCTTCTTCTTAAGTGCCAGCAGAACGGCAATGAGTCCGTCAGCACTTCTCTGGAGGGCATCAGTGTTCCAAATGTCCGGGCCGCTGCCCCAGATGCGCTGGTGAGGCGGGCTGAGGCCCAGTGAAAACAAGTCAGGATTTATGACTATGAAATCCGCAAAGTGCTCCTGTACAAGTTTGACTACCTCATGGTCATCTGCTTCGGCAAGTCTCTCGAGTGATGACTTTTTGACCACATTGGTGAAGTACAAGTTGTATTCGCCGTACTTGGGCTCTCGTAGTTCATCGATAAGAAGTTGGATCGACTCCGGCGACGGTCGCACGAGACACAAACATCGCAGATGACGCATCTTCTCCCTGTTTGGGTTGTCGATTCGATCAATGAGGTAGACTTCATGGTTGAGCAAGGCGGATTGTGTAATGGCTGTAGACACAATGGACACCGTCTCACGATCAAGCAACAGAACTTTCATCTTCGCCGACTGTGCTGCCGATAGAGGATCAGACAAAGATATCATGCGCGAGACATAGCCGGCCACTGCTTGTGCAACATCCATCTTGGCTGACGAGGAAGAAGGCTAGTTGATCGAGTCGTGAGCGTGACTGCCTTGATTCCGTGAGCGTCTACCGTGGACGATTGTTAACTATTACGTACGATGCGAACAAACAAGATTCCGAAAGTACCAAAAAATAGAGGCCAACGCATCAAATGTGGTGATGCGGTGGAAGAAAGAAGGCTGGCTAGGGTGCGTTTGCCAGGTAGGTTGTTGGTTGACATCTACAGCTTCGTGGCGCATGTCTTTGCTGTTTACTACTAAAGCTAAGCTCGGGTACACCAGAAAGCAAGCTTGTTTCCTTGTACAGTGTGTAAAGACAGTGTGTGGCGCTATTTGGATGTGCCCCAAACTGCTGTGGACCCACCTTGAGACAGTGTCTAATTATGGTACAGCAACTGATCCACGCAGTGACGTCCAGGGCTCCACGGTGTAACCCCCCCCTGAACAGGCTCCTCTGGTTGGTCCACCAGCTCTGCATGCAAATAAAACCATTGAGCAACATCATCAAACGTCAGCCTGAAGCACCACCACGACACTGCTGAAGGGGCTTGGAATTTGTTACAACAACTAGACACAGCAAGCACAGAGCTATGAGGCGGCCTGCGGTTCGATTGACTGGGATTTACCATTTCTGAACACGCCAGTAACCTACTTTCAGTCACTGAACTGTCTAGGATATGGCGAGCCTCTCTACGGACACCTGTCCGGCAACGGTCGAACCTACGTGAGTCAATAAAGTAATTGATATTGTCAATAAATAAGGCAAATTTGAATAAGACAGATCTAATTGTATTTTATCCAGGCTCTCATTCACCCAGGGCTTGATTCTCGGCCAGCTATCTGTGGTCTTGGTTCTTGCCGCTTTCATCAAATTCTTCATCTTCGGTGACCCCCCCTCGCCCGAAGTGACGGCCTCGCTAAGAGCGACGGAACGTCGGTCAAGGACGCTCGCCCATAAGCGCTCACTTTTGAGCCTCCGGACAGCCAACGCCCGGCAAGGCCAGCAGACACTAAATCGCAAAAAGTCCAGCGTTCTCCGCAATCCTCCTAACCTGACCATCGGTTCCATTTTGAGCAAAACCTACTACAACGTAGATAGCCATCAGCCAGAGAGCTTGGATTGGTTCAACGTGCTGGTGGCACAAACTATTGCTCAGCTCCGCAGCGATGCTCAGCATGATGATGCAATTCTCAGTTCACTCACCAAGGCTCTCAACGGAACCTCCCGGCCTGATTTTGTGGACGAAATCCGCGTCACAGAGCTAAGTTTAGGAGAGGACTTCCCCATATTCAGCAACTGTCGCATTATTCCGGTTGACGAGGATGGATTAAGCCTAGGAAATGGCAAAACACTGAATGCCAGCGCCGCTACTAGGGAAGGGGCGAAGCTGCAAGCCAGAATGGATGTCGACCTCAGCGACATGCTAACACTCGCAATAGAGACGAAGCTCCTCCTAAACTACCCCAAGAAGCTCAGTGCGATACTACCGGTTGCGCTCTCTGTCTCAGTGGTCAGGTTCAGCGGTACTCTATCTATTTCCTTTATTCCGAGCAATCCATCACAGTCAACTCCTACTTTGATGACATTTAACTTTTTGGATGACTACCGTCTTGACCTCTCCATCCGAAGTCTTCTAGGCAGTCGATCCAGACTTCAAGATGTACCCAAAATTGCCCAGCTAATCGAGGCCCGCCTGCATCGTTGGTTCGATGAGCGGTGCGTGGAACCTCGGTTCCAGGAAATCGCTTTGCCAAGTTTCTGGCCACGGAAAAAGAATACCAGAGGACCAGAGGACGGACTGGCGGAGAACAATGCTTCAGTGGGAAGGGCGAAGGGCAAGGAAATTGACCAAGGTTTGCGGGCAGAAGCCCGGAGGGAGGTTGAGGCCGAAGGAGGGACTCGGACAGGGAGAGAGCAGGATTCGCTGCGCCGCCGCAGACTACGGAGCGAAGAAGACTTTGCGATGCCCGGCTCTCTGCCTGGATTAGACGTGGGCATGAAAACATAAGTTATTGCGGCTGTCCAACTAAGGATATCTCAAAACAAACCCGGTACTAAAGTCGCGGAGGTTTCTGTCAAGGGCAGGAGGCCTTTCCACCAAGATATGGCCCCCAAAAACAAAAGTACATAGTAGAGAATGGTCCACTTTCGGCCATCAGCCTGCGAGTAGTGTCCATGAGCGTGCCAATAGGGCTCAACAGATCCCCAGAAACGTGGGAGGCCCATAGAATTGCAGAACGCATGTACCAGCACAATTGAAAGCAAGCTGCCTGACCGCAGGAATAAAAACGTGGCGTAGCTGCCAAACATGGACGTGTAAGTGAACTGGAGTAACGAGCGAGCAAGGGCGGCGATGAGAGGCACTCTAGGGTGAGTCAGGCGGAACTCGTAGAAATGGTGAACATGTGCGAGACCAAAAATGAGCGGAGACAGAAATATAGTCTGGGTCAGTGACATGCGAGCGCACAAAAGGAGTGGGACTGAGGCGGATCGGAAGAGCATCTCCTCAGTCAGAGGCCCCTGTAGTCCAAGTTAATATATATGATGGGAATTGTTTAGCTTTGAGAACTGGGGTGACAAACCATGACAATGTTCCGCCAGGTTGTCCATTGCGTCCATACATGGACCAAAGGCTTCAAAGTTTTCCAATCTTCCCAAAGGCCATCCATGAGAAGGGCTTCGTAGAGCGGACCAGCGAAGAGAGTAGCAGTAAGCAATAGGCAAGTGCTAGATTCGATGAATCCAATAGGCCAGTAGCCCATTGCATGGAGGGGACTGATGGGCAAGGCACCATCAGGGAGCCGAGCTAGAACGATGTACGTCAAGGAGGAGCATATTACGGTAGAGAAGAGCACCGAAGTGATGCGGGCGCGGATGACGCGCTGATCGTCCCTCGACAGGGTGGGTGAGGGACGGCTTGACGGTGAGACGTAAAGAGGCAGTACATAAATGACCGTGTACAGGATCTGACGGTAATGTCAACGGACGGAACTAGAGAGGTAAGATGCAGAGGCGAGCCCACGATATGGTGCACATACCAGCAATGCGGTTACGGTGGACGACTGCAAGGAGGCGATATTCGTGTCCGAGGGGCCAGCACTAGGGCCGAAGCCGAAGCTGCTGGTGGGTGGCATTGAAGTAATCGGCTTCTGCCCTCAGGGATGTAGGTAAGACTAGACAGAGAAAGCAGAAGATGTAATGAAAGCGGAACATAGACAGATTGGAGAGGTTCGAAGGTTGCTGGCTATCTTGAATAGCATGAGACAAATCTGAGGCTGATATTGCTGCAAACAAGTGCGACAAAGGCTGCGACTGGAATCTCGCGGGCTTGTATTTCCGGCTTGGATGAGTTCATAACCATCGGCTGTATAAACCGATGTTGATTATTGTCCACGCGCACAGTCATTAAAGCAAGACCTTAGCGATTACATAATACGCGACATGGGCCGAGGCCAGGTCAGGTGGAGCTGTGCCATGCAACGGTGCAAGCAAAACGAAGACAATCTCGCTGGCTCTACATGTCGCATGCAGTTCAAAATCGAGCCCACGTAAAGGTTTGCTGTCGGCTTGTGTGTCATCAGCGAATCGCCTTAGGGATAGCGCGTTCATCAAAATAACAAAAAGTAACAAGCGTTCCTCCTAAAGCATAGTCCCAAGTTTCCAGCGTTTCTTTTGACGTCGCGTGTCCCAAGCGCCTATGTATCTGCTTGTATGGTGACACAGGCGCCCATCTCAGATAAGCGCCCATCAATTCACTTAGGGCAGTGGATACAGATGTTGAGGTTCATGAGTCCATGACCGCGGAGGGACAGTCCAGTTGTGAAAATGCTGTGAGCCAGTACTTGCTCACGCAGTGAAGCGTACCTCTCTATAGCATCCGTCACGCCTGCTCCGGCTGGCGGCCAAGATTGGCAGGTCTTGGTCCATTTGTGTACTCTGCAAGCGAAGGTCGTTGCGAAGGTCGTTCTACAGTGGCAAGTAAAAATAGTGTAATCCCTGCCGCACCGTATTTTGTCTCAAGCTAAAGCCTCAAGGGCGGGAAACGTGATGTAAGTGGAGGTATTGCCGCCTGGCGTCCAAGGCGTTCAATCTGGTACGCAGAGTAGAAGCACACAAAAAGCACCGCCGCTTCCGAAGTGCATTTTATGCCTGCAATATCCGTAGTATCCTCAAAGGGGCCCACAGCCCGTCCTGCCCTATCATATGTGGGCGGCGTCGGAACAAGTGCAAGTCACCAAAATGCACGCACCAAGGGGCGTCTACCTGCAGGTATTACGCAGGAACAGCTGGCTAGCGCTAATTGTCCCACTCCAGTGAAATGGCCCTGGGTCGCTACTCCGAGGAAGCAGAAGCCAATCAGTGATGCCATCAAAACCCATCTTGCCTCTCGTCAATCAAACGCCTGGCTCCGTCAACAGCGTAGCCCCTTGAACATGCTTCTCAGGCGCTGCTGCAACTAATCTCTCTTGCATCTGTAAACAGTTCAGATGCAGGTGGTCTGTTCTTGTGACTGTCCTGATGGGGACCTTCCTCAACACCTTTTCCGTCGCTTCGTATCGTAGTTCCTTTCGTCTTCTACCTCATTTTGGCTAACTGTTCATTGAGACGGAATCGCCGCTCACAAATGATCCTTGGACCTGCACAGAACAGGGCCGGTTTTTGGTTATTCCCTAAGACCGAATGAAGACTGTACCAGGCAGGTGGGAGAGGAAATGGGGGCTTATGATGAACCAGCCTCCACTGTCTCTGGCAACAGAGGGATGGGGGGGGGGGAGGAAACCAGTACCGTCCAGGCACAGCACGAAGGCTTGGATCTAGCTGGCGGTCAAAGTGAAGCTGGCGAGTGTTTGAGCCTTCCCGTATCATCAGGGCAACGGTCCACTGAGCACTGAGAACAGACGTTGGTATGGGCGCTGTGAATTGGGTCGGCGGCTGTGAGCGAAACATCCTAAAATAGGAAGCTCTGGCGAGGTATGTAGTATGTTTGCAGAGGAGAAAAAGGGTGAGGGACAATTACGGTTTGGCGTACCAGGAGATTGAGCCTAAGGTTATTCACATTCAGTATCGAGCAACTGACCACCTTTCGCAGTACTACACATACTTGCAAGTTTTATTCCATCCCCAAGTGGCTGCCGTTGGTGAGATGCGGAGCCTCTTCCCGTATGGCCATCATTCGTTGCACCCAAGGGCGCAGGCTATTGTGGTTCCTGAATAGGGCGCACTAGTGTATGTACACTTGACAACGTTTGGATGATAAACGTTTTGCGGGGACACCATAGAGGAACCCACTTTCAACAATATGGAGTGCTTGAACTTCGATTATTGGTAGCCAGAAGTTACGTGAGTAAGCGAACGAATGAGGAGTGGCTGCAGCGAACCTGGGTTCATGGACCGACCCTCTGGGCGCCGAATTTTCATTGCAGGCCCGCCAAATCCTCGGACCAGCGTCATTTCACAGCACAGGCACGACAGGTAAACCCTTCTAATGTTCAATGTTCGGCCACCAAAGAGGTGACTGCCAACGCGGCCGGCCCCACTAGTAATATGTACTTTCGTACATGGGTTGAGGTGCCCGCCCTGCTTCCGTCTCATTATGCTGTCTTGGTGACTAGGGTACCGCCAGGCTTACGGAAGATTGATCTTCTGTTACTCTTTCTGATAGCTAACCCAATATACCGGACGGCTGAACAATGACCGGGGCCAATTTATGGGGTAATGAAGATGTGGAATTACCTTGGGGAGAGCTTGTTTCTGTTGGACAGGAAAAAAAAGAAAATCACTGGTTGAAGCCGCAACTCGGTCTTACGACGGACGCGCCCAAGAAACGGGAGCTTCACGAGCCGCCAGCAAATGGCAACAGCATCGGGCAGTTCAGCGTTGGTACTCAAAGGAACCTTGTTTCCTATTGTCGTGTGCTCCTTTAGCGTCGAAGGCCACGAAGGGCGAGCAAGACGTGCAGGCGCTTCTTCCAGGTTACGGATACCTAGCTACACATTCCTTCCTTAGTGTCGCTAGCGGATGCCGATGGCCGGGACTCCCAGACTTGTTCACGGCCTGTCCTGGGCTCTTTTTCACTTTGAATTCGGACCTGGGCCACATGGATAATTGGGCTTGGACGCGGGACCATCCATGGATTGTTTTTGTTGTTTTTTCTCTCTGTCTCCCGACCGCGGTGATGCGCTGAGAATTGCTTCAGACTCACTTGCCTTGGGGTTCATCATCTCTCGAAGAGGGGTGCTTCCCAACCTGTCAAATACAACTGGGTCCATTGCCGATGCTACTCTGTGTCGTTCCCATTTCCTTCTTCCTCTCCTGCTCCCTCGAATTTATTCCCTTTACCACGAGATTTTATAGGATGGGTTTGTGAGACAGCAGCATTTGACGACACCAAAGGCGATTTCCACATAGTTCTATTGAACGAACGGACGGTTCGTCCCTGTCGTTCTCCCTACGAGGATTTCTTGTGTCTCCTTCTTCTGCTACTTTGCACCTGTAACACAGAAAGCATCGCCGCGCCGCACCGCCTCCCCCTCGCTGCTTCCAATCCAGTGTCGTCAACTCGCTGCTGTCCCTGGTTTGGGTGTGGTCTGGCTCACCAGGCCCCTTGTTATTTGCAACCCCATCTGCACCAACCCCTTGCTGCTCATTATTGCTGCTGCAATTGCTTCCGGATAAGCCTACCAGAGATAGGCAAGGTCGGGGTTGTCTGGCCAGTTACACCACTCCGTTGCATCTTACCCCCGCTGGATTGCATCTCGACCGCCTTTTCCAAAGACAATCTCAGAAGTACACACAGCCACAGGCACATTTGGGCACTGATGCAGGGAACGCACAGCACACACGCAGTGTGCTGAAAAACTTCATCACCAGCTTTGGTCAGAGGCCTTGTCTTCACTAGGAGTCTCGGACCTGCAGGGGCCAGAAGCCAGGCATCGTCTCCAGCCGCCGGAGGAGATATTCATCAATCAGCCAGTCAGTCAATCAGTCAGTCAGGGGTTGGTCGATTTGGAAACGAAAGAAATCGCGATCATTTCAGAGCGACTAGATTGCCTTCTGTACAGAGCCGTTGCCTCTGAACGGATACATATCCTCTCTTGTTGGACTTTCCTACATACCCTGCTCGCTTCGCTCCTTGGCTCGCTTCTACCTTTGACTGCGGGCCTGCTCACACACCAAGAAGGTACGTATGCTTCGCTACTACGGGACCAGAACAGTACTTGCTGCTGGTACTGGAGCTTGCTCCATTTACCTAGCACTCCGTGCCCGCTTTAGCTTCCCATCTCTCGGCGGCCTTTTTTTTTCTCCCTCTTCTTTTCACTTCCTTTCCCTTTCCTCTCTTCCCATCTAAGCTGTCGCTTGCCTCGTCCAACTTGACGACAAGTTTTCTTCTTTTGTTTCGTTCTCTATGTTTTTTTACATCGGGTGTATTTGCCTCGTAATAATATTTCCACACTCATTTCCCTAGCCCTGCACATTTACCAGCCTTTGGAGCTCTGATCTAAAATCTACATTGTTTTAGCATCTCACATTTCGGCTCACCTTAGTCACTCACTCCTTTCGCTCTCGTCCATCGGTGCTCCACATTACGGAACCACCAACCTCACACTCACTCGCGCCTACCGACTTGTACAACCGACGTCGCCTTAATCAAACAGCGAGCTACACTTCCCAAAAGCTCGCACTTACGTCAATCAACTCTCCTTGTACCCACACCCGAAGCATCTCATAGCTCTTTGGTTCACTATTTCCAAAGGTTGCAAATCGACATTGTCCATGCCCGCCAGGTTGGGCCCAATCAAGCAGCCTTTACGCTACCACAGACTACAATTCTGTTGCTTTGACAGCCTTCCTACAAACTTGCGCAACCTTTCGTCAGATTGCCCGTTAATTCGCGTCTGGCGCTTTCCAGCGCCAAAGTCGACGGCAAAGCACAGACCGGCCCGGCGCCTTTTTCAGCCTACCGAAGCCGAGCGGCTCCCGGCGAGTCAGCAACCTGAGTAGCTTCTCGCCGCGCTTTGCTCCGGCCTCCCTTTCCGGCCTTGGCTTCCCCCGTTCAATCTTCGAAGCGCCGGCACTTCATGGCACGGGGCTCCCGTGTCGACCGATCCAGTCCTCCAAGACCCAAGAACCCGCCATCAAGGCTACGCAGCATCCGCATCACCGTTCAATAACCCCCGTGCCTGCATCGCGTGGCTAAGAATGTCCGGGTCCGGGAGCCCCTCACGGGGAAGCCCCTCCCGGTCCCAACGAAGGCCGCTGCACGAGCGATCCAAGTCACAGTCGAACTCCCTCGCCATTCGGGTCGTTCCCTACAGCCCTCCTCGGCCAAGTCACAAGAATCGCGACTCCACCGCTTCGGCCTCTTCCTCACGCACTCCGACATCTACCACAGCACTGCTCTCGCCCAACCCCTCCGAGCTTGGCCAGACGATTTCATCAAGAGCCGATGATCGTTCTGGCTCAGCCAGTCGCGCTAGTGATAACTATTCCCACAGGCGTTCCTACTCCTCCAGCACCTTAACATCAATATTGTCGCCTGCCTCGTCGACTTTCCCATTGGTTTCCGCCAAGGACCGTGGTGTTTCAGGCTCGAAACTGCGATCCGACACCTGGGCCGCTGGCCAGTCCTCCCCTTCCCTCCCTGTCCCAACTACTCCACCTTGCCCGACTGATAATTCCCGCTTCAATGCACGATCCTGGTCCTCTCAAAACCCCCACGATGAGGATGAACCTGTGACACCCACAGCGAAGCGCCCCTTGTCTCGCCGCCGCAATCTTGTCACCATCAACGCAGACGGCAAGACTTTTTCTCTCCTCCCCCAAGGTCAGCGTAACAGAGAGTCTGGTGGCCAACAAGCCCACAGGGCCCCTACCTTGTCACTCTCTACCACTGCCTCACGGGAGCGGCTTTCGTCCGATGCGTTCAGCGAAAATCGTCCCAGCTCTACAGTGACTTCTCTTCCGGACCGAAGCTTTTCGGCAGCTACGCTAACCCCGGCATCCTCGACCACGCAATTAGCTGGAGATCATATTACCGGCACAGCCGTCTCCAATTCATCTCCCTGGAATTATCGAATGGTCGGCGGTCTGCGCAAGGTTCCCAATACACCCGATCTTAAGCAAAAGCAAAAATCGTCTCTCCTTTACCCTGAACCTGATCCAATCACGTCCCATTCGTCATCGCCGTCTGATTCTCGACTCGCGCCGCTGCCCGAGGCCTCAGCCGCTGAACCATCTTCATTTTCGGGCACTCATGACCTGCAAAGCAAAACGTCCTTTCAGTCATCTGTCACCGCCTCTACGTCGTCAGAGAAAACGAATTACAAGATTTACAGCTCCAGTTCCCCTCCAAGGGCTGACACAGAAAGTGTATTGCCCCCACCTTCCATTTCCTCGGAGACGACGAACTACAAAGTCTTTGGTTCTAGTTCACCCCCTGCCATCCCTGAAAGAGATAGTTCACTACCACCGCCCTCGTCCAGTCACTCCAATTACGAAATTCTTGGTCGATCATCTCCTCCAGACACGTCCTCTGCCGAGCGCACCCCCCCGAAAACCGCAGACAGCAATCAAAACTACGTCGTACACGGCGAGCCTTCCCCAGCACCCTCTTCGATAAGCGCTACCCGCCGGGAAAGACTCCGCCCTGAATATTCACAAGAAAGCCTGCTTGTAGCACCGCTCAAGCCCCAAAAAAGGAAGAAGAGATCACGCGAGAGGTTTGGGTATTACAAGTCCCGCTCAAGAGACTCTCTGCGACGCGCTGCTTCGGTCAAGTCAATAGCCAGCTCTCTCAGCTTTGAAGCTGCCCAGAATATCATTGCTGCACCTGCTGCATTTTATCGATCACGCACTCTGGCTGGCTCGGCTGGAAAGCAGCCAGAGGCAAAAGCTGAGCCAACCACATCCGCACCTCCCGCATCCCACATGAAAACCCACCCGCACCAATGGAGCTCTCAGCTGTCCACAGTCATGTCGGAGAGTGAAGGAGGAAGCGATCCTCCATCTCGTTCCGTGTCCCCCTGGTCTGCTCCAGGTAGACGGAGTAGTGGACCCATCAGTAGTCACAGCAGGCAGATGCTCAGCATTTCGTCTTCACTTGCCGCTAATGAAGAAGGCTCACTATCACACTCGCGGTCATTCACAGACTCACTGGAACGACCCCAAGCAGTTCATAGCCGGGGTGGCACTCTTCGTCTTGTGAGCGACCAGGACGAACATGGCGACGGGTTGACGGAACTCCACCATCTACACCAACGACCGTCTCGAACCCGCCTTTCAGGTTTTTTCTCAAACACATCCTCTGAACGCAACCTACACTCTTCGAGTAGTTCGCGAGCCAACAGCTTCAACTCTTCATCGATTCCTGCTTGGGCCAAGTCAGTTTCGTATTCTCCTGGTCACATACTAGGATCTTGCTAATCTCTCTTTCCTAGATTCTACTATGGAAGTGGCGAAAGAAGATTTCTTGCGAGTTCGTCCGACTCGATGATGTCCGACCCAAACGAAAGCCGACCGCCTAGCTCATTCCAAAGCCGCTCGCCCAGCGCCGAACATCTTCCTTTGAGTATCTATAGCCCACGCCGACGACCCAGGGAGGTTAACCCCCTGGCTCCTGGGCCGGTGTCAGATGTCGGATCAATGGAAATCAGCCATGCGCCACCCCAAGATAATTTCCGAGGTGGATTGCGAAAGAAAACATCTAGTATCTGGTCCCCGCATTTGAGACGTGATCAAAGGGCTGGTCGTTACAGCATGTGGGAGCCTCCCTCCATGACATGGTCAGCAGAGAACACCCTTCTTGGAAAGCGAAACGTGCAGGTTGTGCTATTTGCCCTCGGGTTCATCTTCCCTTTTGGTAAGACAGCTCCACCCTTGAGATCTGCTTGACCGTGGCTGACCTACAATTTACAGCATGGATGATTGCTGCCTTCCTTCCCTTACCCCCTGACCCTCACGCTGAGATGGAGGAACGCGACCATAGATCGAGCCTTTTGGACGAAGAAAGAGATCTGCCTCGTCGTGTTGCAGCGATTGACGAGACACTGTTTCAAAGCGCTAGATGGTGGCGTGCTCTTAATCGCTACATGTCCGTTATTGGTCTTCTTGTTGTTGGCGCCATTGCCGCGCTCGTCATCGTTGGCGTCAAACAAGGATGGGGGCAAATTGCCTAGTGACAGGCGCCTGTTGCATTCACAAGCTTTGGCTCAATTATTGCCCTCCGCAGCACGCCGAGGCAACATACGCAACGCAAGCAGTTGTGTTATTTTCACCGAATCACCAGCACAATAGATTTACGAATGGGCATATGTGCCCCGCGACGGCTCCTTTTACGACTCTACGACATTTGAATTCTATGCACCACGTACACACGAAATATTCTTATCGGTCATTGGTATTGCCATCACGCCGTGCAAACTCATGGTTTGACGGGTGATGCTCATCTTGTCTTTATTCCCCCATCTTTGTTTGTCTCTTGGCGGTTAGACGACACTGCCTCTGCCTCTCCTAACCATGTATAAACTGCTGTATTTCTATATCTGGCTGTGCTTTGCATTCTCTTGATGACATTAGACTTTGATTTCTGTTGGGCAATCTGATCTATATCGCCCTAAGGCCCTTCTGGAGGGCTATTCCAGTCGAGGTTGGGAGGTCGGAGTCGGTATTATGGGGAGTGGGAACAAATACATATACACCTGACCCGTCTTTTTTGTCTCGGGACATAGACATGCAATATGTAATTGCTTAGTTCTAAAACTAAATAGCACAATGTGTAATGATTTGAGGCCGACGGTCCACTTTGACAACGGTTTAAATTCCTTGAAAAGATAGCTTGCGAGCTTCTTAGTTACTGACTGTATACTGGACTTCGGGTGACTCTAAAACCATAAGGTGGAATCGGTGATTTACCTCCACCATATGAGGTTTTGTACTGAGCACAAAGTGCGGACTCAGGTAGCCTTCTTTTGCCTGGCCTCGACTTCGGCTTTAATCTCCTCCATAGCCTCGTCGACCTCTCGCTGAAGGTCAGCAGAGACACCTAGTACTGGTTCCCGGCCGGATAGGCTGTCTTGACTCAAGGTACGCGTAAGCTTAGCACCGAGCTTCCCCTGGCGTTCCTCCAACTTCCTCCTCAACACCTGCTTGGCAGGAGAGGCGAAGAAAACCATTGACGCGGCCGTGCCTACAATGGTGTAAAAGTAAACGCGGCGCCACACAAGAATCGACCCAGACAACTCCAAAACAAGAAAAGGGGCCACAGTGAATGACATGGCCAACTGAGTAACCACCCATGACAAGCAATCGTAGTAGATTTTGTTCGACGTCGGCGAACCGCTGCTGGGATCGATGAAGAATGCACGGAAGTATCGACGGTAGTCTGTGTTACATTAGCCCAGTGTTTTGCCACTAAGAGCTTCTAGAAAAACTCACTCTTGGCCACGGTCTGAAGGAAGCTAGCCAGAATGAAGCTGAGATAATAGCCAGGATAGAAGCCGTGCCATAGAGCGCTGGTGCCGAAAGTGGTTAGGCTTGCGCGGAAACCAGGCTTTCTGCCAATAGGGGTCACTCTGAGGTAAACGTAATTTCTCAGCCAGTTGTTGGTATTCATGTTCCAGTTGCCCAAGTAGGCGCGGGTGTTTTGAGCTGTCTCAACACCCCATGGGTTAATGTTTTGCAATCTGTTCCACGATACCTTACCGGTGACAGGATCAACACCATTGTAGCCTAAGCCGGCCAAAATACAAGCGCCCTCTGTTAAGGACCAAACGCCGTAATACTTCAGCCGAGCACCGAAGCCAGCCATGTGAAGAATCCAAACTCTACGAAAGAAGCCGTGGTCCATGAAGGAGGGGCTGGTCAAATAGGTGATGGGATAATAGCTTGAAAGAATCATAAAAAGACCAATCCAGCCCAGGCCACTGGCAGCTTTCCAGGCTGCGGGAGTTCCGCTGCGGGGGATCTTCCTCTTCTTGCGTACAGGAGGTTTTTTGGAGGGGTCGACCTGAGCGGGAAGGTCGAACATCGTCGTGTCTATCCATTTGCGATACTCGGTATAATCGAATGCGGGACCGGCAAAGAGAGCGGGAAAGAAGAGAACATAGCCAGCATAATCCAAGAGGCCCGGAAGTTCAACCAACCTCCTCTCCTTTTGGAGATCAGATAGTTGGTCCTCTGGGAGTTGCCCGTCTGCTACGTTCCAACAAAAGGCGCTCAGTTTCATGAGGAGCACCATTTGTGCCCCAGTGATGTCGACGGATGAAGGGCTGTCGGCAATTTGACGAGCGATATGGTTGACTGACATGTGACCCATGACGAAGGCGAAACCAATCCATGGCATGAACGGACTAGCGCGTAGATATTTCGCGATGCAGTACACGCCAACGGAGCTGATTGCGAGGGTGCGTACACCGTCCCATAGATCGAAGAGCCCGACCAAGTAAAAGGCGGAAGTGCTGAGTTGTTGGGATGACTAGTTAGCCCGATACTCAGGGCACAAGCAAGGTGCGCGAGAATAGGCAGTTGTCATACCATATTATGAACAAATTCTTTTGATCTGGTCTGGCATCAGGGACTCTCTTCAGCAGGCCAGCCAGCGGATATGATATGAGGAACGAGAAAATAAGCTTGACTGTAGAAAGTAGGCGTCAGCAGAGATGCTTGGTCGAGGCGGGCCAGTCCGCATTCGTTTGTATGTTGCGGCTTGCGGCTTGGGAGACTGACGTTCGTCTGGAGATGCGCCGAGGCGCGACGAGAGAAGTTCGAAGGCTGCGGTGCGTTATATGTTAGCATACATATACAATCTAAATCGCTTCGACTGCTGAAACAATCAGGCCGCAGGTAACTGCTCAAAAGGGACAACGACGTACGTCTATTGATAAAGGGCAACATATTTACTGTCCTGCACACGGTTGAGGAGCAATACCATCAATAGCGATAAAGAGATGTAACAAGCAAAGGTGGGTTCTTCTCAACCCATTCCTTCAAAGAGGTAGGCGTGAGAAATGACGGCTGTCGGAAATACAGGAGAGTATTGTAGTTTGCTTAGAAAGGCGGGTTATCCTCCCAGATGTGACGATGACCGCCGGTCAGGGTAGGTCATGTGGTGACGATTGGGATAACAGAATATAGCCTTGGTCCAGTAAGCTAAGGGCTGTGCTGGTAAGGAAGCAGAGAAAAACGCGGATCATCCCTACCTGGAAAGAATCTTGGGGGAACTAGAGTCAGATGCTACCGTGGGTTTTCTTTTGGTTATAATGTGTCGTCGACAGCTGCGAGAACATGGGCCATGTCATGGCAGACGTAGCTTGTTTTTTTTTTTTTTTGGTGGGGTCCCGCAGAGAGCTCTGCTGTAGGCCTTCTACGGCTAGCCATCATCCCCCATTTGTCCCTCCCTTCCATCCAGCAATTCCACCCCACGTGTTCCAAATACTAGCTTCACAGGACAGGGAGACACTCACTCAGTCAGGTCGTCCAAAATGAGAATTGTTGGCATGCCAGGTGACTGACGAGGAGTACGAAAAGGAACAGCCATGCCTGTTTCTTGCTAAATTAGGTTCGATCAATCGGTACTACGTCACTGTATATGGGCAAGCAGAACATAGCGTCAGTGTGCACACATGTACATTGGCGGTAAAGCCCCTAAATAATTGCCACATATACCTTAAAACACGTTCGCAGCTGGTTTGTCAATCTTATCTTATCGAATGTCAGTTGTGCCCAAAGCCAAGGTTGCCGAAACATACTTCGATGGGATTAACCCCGCCGTCCCAACCAATCTCACCGCTTCGTCTTGTTGAGTCTCGTTGCATGCGTTAAAGTCATGATATTAAAACATAGCTACCCTGGTCGCCCAACACTGCTCCCTTAAGCCAAATGAAATGCTGCGTGATATCTGAACGCCCATGTTCACTTATGCCATGTTACACATTTTCTCTTCCTATATGCCCGGAGACCGAGGAGACATTACTGTACAGCATTGGCCGTCCTTTACTGAACAGTACGGAAAAAGAAAAAGAAAAAAAAAAAGAAAAAACTGGTCTCGACGGGGAAGACGGGCGATATCTTGAATATTGAGACGCCGTCGGTACCTATCTGGCTACTAATAGGCTCAGTGCTATGCTCTTTCAGAAAAAGCTCACCAGCCGGTATTTGTTCCCTCCGTTACTAGACGCAGCCTCTACGAGTTGGCGTCTCTGTTACTCTGGGAGCTTGCACTCATAGGCTGTGTAGTCGGCAATGACATCTTAGCCGCCGCGCTCTGCCGGATTCTCGCCCAAGCATAGACGATACCGCTAATGAACCCGAGGATGATAGCAGACACACTGCCTACCGTAACTGGCGCGTCGAAGAAGACAAGGCCACTGATGGCAATAGGAAGTTTGTTAAGAGCACCAACCACTGAGTATGTAGTCGAAGACGTCACTCGAATACACCAAGCGGAGCAATACGAGATAAAGATGGCGCATAATCCGGAGTAGATCATGCCAATAAAGAGGCTGTTTCGGGTCTCGACGGGAAAGTTCTTCGCAATGTTGGTCGAGGACCAGTCCTCCGCCAAAAGTGTACAGACGATGAGAACAGGGATGGTCAATAAGTTGTTATAGAACATAGCTGTAACAATGGTTGATTAGTGGATCAGTTGTCAAACCACGGGGGAGACCGGTTTAGTCCAAAGATCACTCACTGTCCCAATCCTTGAAGTTCATCTTCTTAATGACCTTGCGCATGCCGAGCACGTACGCCGCTGTGCAACATACGTTCATTCCCATCCAAGCGTATCCAGCATTTAGGGTTGAAACGGCGGCAGAGGCTTCGGCGGTATGTGACCCACCTCCCAGGGCATGCTGAATGTCGGCCCAAGCGGCAACAACAGAGCTAAGAACCATCAAGCCGAACGAGAGTAATGAGAGAGGGCTAACACTGCCACCAAACCACAAGACTTCACCGTAGGCGATAACGATGATAGTCAAGTTCTTGAAAATGGTATAAACAGGTACGGAGAGAAACTGCAGCGCCTTTGTGCCCGTATAGATCATGCCGACAAGGAGAAGCGAGATGGGAAACCCTACAGAAGAGTCAGCTTTTACAGCGTTGCAGCATTGGCGCGAGGTAAAACCAACACTTCTTTGCCTTGTCGGAATCGAAAGGGGCTAGGTTCGTAATCATTCCCAAGTTCTTGCAAGCGAGAATGGCGAGAATACAAACGATTGCCTGCCAGGTGAAGGTTAGAGGCGGCATTCCCAGGACGAATGGGACAGATTTTACGACGCACCTGGACGGCAAGATAGAGGAAGTTCAAGTTCCAGAATTGACCAGAGACAACGTACTTGTTGACAACCGTCATACTAATAGAAGAGAAGCAGTAGGCCAAAATGGAAGCGCCAGGGCTGTTGTCGATCTTGCTAATGGGCGAAACCACGTTGGACCGGGGCCTGACAGGTGGACGCTGGGACAAGAAGCCATCCTTTTCCCCGCCGAACGAGTCGGATCCGCGAAGCTCATAGTCCTCATTCTTCTTGTCCGACATGATTTATTGTGATGGAAAGGAGTGAGGGAGGAGAAACGTGTTTGTTTAACAGGGCGGGAGACAGACCCTAGTTGCCTGGGGAGGATTTTCGCGATGGGAACCAGCTGCTTCAGCGGCACTGCCTCAAGGTTAAGAGTACAAGTGCGCCGGGCTGAATGGGACTGCTGAGCAAGATAACGACCCGTGGGCAGATGATGCGTCCTCGTAGAGGCAAGGGCTGGAGATGGAGAGGTGTCGTATTGTTGATTTCGTCGGCAGGCCGTTTCTTGAACAAATAGTTAACAACAGAAGGGGGAATTCCGGTTGCTGAGTCGATAGTTGAAAGGGATTAAAGTAAAGGGGGCACCGATATTCACGGGTGAGGATGGATGGGAACGCAGGGGAACACGCGTGCACCTATCAATGGTCGTGGATTTTCATGCCGCAAATTACGGGTAAGCTGGGTACAGAGTCCAGAAGATTTTAGTTAAGTGGGGAACATTATGGCATATCAGGTCCAGAAGCAAGGGACCCAGTGCTGTCTGTGGCTTGTGGATAACAGCATGCTGCCACACCTAAAGTGACAGGTATAGACGTATAGACTTAACCCAAGTTTGATCGTACCTTCTTCGTCTACTGGTGCTTTTGGTTCTCTATTCCTCGACCAGTAAGTAGTCTGATAGATGAGAAAGCTGTATCCAAATAACTCACAACGGAAACCTAGCACAGACTTGCTGCACTTGGTAGTATGTAATGTACCGTGTTTCCCAGTGTTGCGAGGGTGCCGCCGGTACCGGCAGGTGATGTAACAACGGCCGTGCTAACCCAGCCTCACTCCCGTGACATAGCAGCGTCTAATGCTGAGGCAAAGTAGATCGCGATTCCCAGGGGTTTCCGAGCACAGCTTCGCTTCGCAGTCCAGTTTGGAAATCCTGTTAAAGCCGCCAAAGAAGCCACGACCTGAGGCAACCGTAACTGGTAAAGACCTCTCCTCAACGAGTGTTCATCGGCAACCAGTCGCTGCATGCAATGGACGTATCAAGTGAACACAGCACAGGCCAGTCGACATCAGAGGGAGCAATCGAGACGAAGCTGCAGCTACCAGCAAGCTGTGATCCACCGCAAACAGATGGTCCCAGAAAACAGTTAGTATGGGTGGTAAGCCAACTGGTCCCTCCCAAAAAGCTTTATGATCGCCGACCAGTATTGACCGATGTATTGCTTTCCGGCGCCTTACAGGTATTTGGCGGAACAGGGCACATGGGTAGGTCCCTTGTGAAATGCGCCCTCTCCCGCGGGGATCTTGTCACCTCTGTCGGCCGAGTCTTTGAGACAAGTCCCGAAGAAATGGTCGCGCGAGACAGCGATAGCCATTTAGGGCTTCTTTGCGATGTGCGAGCCAGGGATTCAGTTGCACGAGTTGTTGATCGGACGTTGGAACGCTTCCAGCGAGTCGATGTCATCGCCAACTGCTCTGGCTACGGCGTCATTGGCGCCTGTGAAGACCAAGACGAGCATGAGATCCGTAATCAGTTCGAAACAAACCTCATGGGCACCCTTAACATTATCCAAGCTAGCCTCCCTTACTTTCGCCAACAAAATGGAGGCCGTTATCTTATCTTCAGTTCAACATCTGGAGCGCTTGGTGTTCCTGGTCTAGGTCCATATTGTGCCACCAAGTATGCTGTTGAGGGACTCATAGAAGCCATGCTGTACGAGACAAATTCATTCAACGTCAAAGCAACTTTAGTCGAGCCGGGATTCGTGCGTAGGGATGAGCCAGATACGTTAACGACCCCTTTGCCGACATGGGGCCACTTCCTCATTAAACCTGCGAGCGAGGCCTACGCGCAAGCAACCGCACCTGCGCTCCACGCCAAACGAATGGTCCAATGGCTTGGAGATCGACAGCCAACAAGTGCCGTAAAGTGCGCCGAACTTGTCTGGCAGCTGGCCCACTGTTCTTTTCCTCCATTGAGGTTGCTTCTAGGAAGCTACGCCATTGAGAGTATTCGCGATAGACTTCGGTCAGTTACTGAAGAGCTCGAGGACTGGAAACACTTGAACTTCCCCATCGCACCCGAAGCTGGAAATGACATAGACACTAGGGATGGCAAAGTAGACCAGGACGAGACGATGAACTATTCGGGCCAAGATACACAAGGTCAGTCAAAGGCATGAGGTGATTAAGTAGACTCGCAAACATTCAACAAGATGCAAAAACTAAGCTCCTTCTTCTTCAACTGTGAAAATTCACTTGTCTGCACAAATTGAGGACGTCATTAGACCATTTTGAGGCATCCTAGCTAGATTCGTCCAACACTTGATCTCTACACACGCTAGCTGCACCTCAGTCAATTATCATCAATGTCCGACAAGGAGTCGCAAGCAGATATCTTGATGTCTAGACCCACCCCGACATTCGCGAATGGATGATATTACTAGGTGATTAGCGACAGCAACGTTTGGTCTCTAGCTGACCAAGTAGAGTCTGGCCGGAGTCTATTCCACAACCCCTTGGGTTCGAAATCTGCAGACTCAACGGCCGGGGCCTAGGTGCCTGACTGTGCGGTAAGATTCTGGTATCTCAACAGGCAGTCCATAGGTATGTTGATACATCTACAATGAGCCATTGACCCGAGACGTCGAACTAGACAGACACTTCAAGGGCCCAACAGACAAAGCGGAGAATAGACCGTAACGGAACAAACTTCTACGTGCATTTCTGCAACGTTGCCACAGGACATTACAGCTCTTCCATCATATGCTTGCAGTTGAGGATACCATATTGCTCATGTCTCTTGATGACAGTGGCATACAATACAGCCAGCACTGATCTACGGAGCGCCCTTGATATCACATGCCTATGCAGAAACCCCATCCAGGAGGTATTGTTGCACGTATTCTTTCCTATGAGAGTTCGCATCAAGGTCGGAGGATCTGTTGAGAGGTGTCCACTTGGGTTCGTCCTTGAAAAGTCTCATTGCCTTAATGTACTACAAAATTCTTCAGTAACCTGCACTGAAGGTAAATTTGTTTCGCCACTCACATTGGACTCATCAGTTGTGAATCGATGATAGATACCGGCGGGCAAGATGATGAGATCGTCCTATCGGTGGTCAGCCAAACTTCAAGGCACCTTGCCATGAGAACTTCGCAACGACTGCTCTACCTTTTCTACCCGAATGCGAACCCATTCGTCATTCGCGCTTCTCACATCAAAGTAGCCAGTGCCATCGCGAACGTAACGTATTTCCTCGTCTTCGTGCAAGTGCTCATGAAAGAACGATTTGACCTTTTCTTCATATATGTCGCCCATCTTCTCCGGTGAAACAACAATCTCATCCCTGTTCTTGTATCCACGATTGGACGCCAGTTGGTTGACGCCATCCATGTCAGGGATTTGGTAGTAATAAACACCGAGAGTCTCCAGCTGGTCGACGGTGACTTCTTTGCCAGAATCGTGCGCCAAACGCTGGTCACCCTGGGGCAAGTCCATAGTCAGCTCCGGGGTTTTTGACAAGACAATGGTAAATTTATGCTGCTAGTAGAACATATTTCGAATCTCTCGGTTACTTACAGCTAGATTATCGTACCAGTAAGCCTTCATGATGGCTTAAGTCCGTTTGAATAGTTAAAGGCAAGTATCTGATAAGACAACATGCGAGGTTAGCCTTAGTGAACGTGTTCGGATGAGAAGGACCTATTACTTCTTGTCGGGCACCGTACAGGGCAGTATATAGCGACTGCAAACTACCAAAGCATCATCAGCGCATGATATAAAGGTGGAGATCAGCAACTTTTATTTTTGTTTGCAAATGACGCAATTGGTGGTGCGGGTGGGGTAATCAGCCTTGTGTGGCGGCAAGTGTGGTGCCGTAATGCCCGTTCAGTCTTCAGCGGCTAACTTGTCATGGGTCCATCGGAAGAATTCCGACTTTCAGTCCCGGCTCTGGATCTGACAGCTGATCAGTCCTAAACAGTACGCAGTCCATTGTCGTACGTTTGTCCCAACACCTTCTGGCGCATGGATCTTAACATTGTTTGCTTTGACCATGAACAGGCCAACATGAGTGTACAGCTACAATAGAGGTCTGTAACAGAGTGCTAGAGACACACTACCTCATCCAAGCAATGCGACCCGCACCAGATGATTCGACTGCTCTGGCGCAAATGAAGGACTCAATACGTTTCCAATCAAGTTATCTATCCCGTACTTCGTGGCCTACCGATCCAGAATATACTATCAATAAACGTAACTGTGCCTATGCCGATAGCCATGATGCGAAGTGATGATCCAGCAATTTAACGCCATAGCCATGCCAATGCTGCAAACTTGCCCTATCCTAGAACTCCCATACAAGATTTCCAGCATTCCTCACCGCACTTCAGCGGCAAGCTCAGGGCCCCCCGCAACGACAATGTCGTTGTTGATGCCATCCGCCGTCTCATCCGGAGGGGGCCTTTCGAACAGTCGTCTCCACCAGCCAGGGGGGTCAAATGGTCGCGAACCATTATGCAAGGGCGGGTAAACGTCGGAGAAGAAGTACCAAATATGGCCTATAACGACGCCCATGATCTCATCCTTGGGTATAGACCCATGAAGGATTAAACTGAATGCCATAAGAACCCACGGTAGGTAGGGAGCAGTGAAGACTAGCAGGCCTAGAAAGCTCAATCGTGTGTCCGGATTCCGTCGTGACCAGATATAGACCAGTGTAGATGAGAGGGGGTGTCCTAGAAAAGGCATTGAGACTAGCGGCGAGAGTAGCAGTAGACTAGTCATAGCATATATGAGTAGCCAGGAGAAGTGAGCTGGGGAGCGTCCTGAGGATTCCTCCAGAAGCCGGGCATAGCGTTGGAGGAAATAAACGTGGAAGAGAAGGTCGAGGGAGAAAGGGCCAAAGTAGAGGAAGGTTGTTAGAAGGCGCCAGTACTAGACCGAAGGCAGGGAGTGGTTAGCCACTTAAGTCTTGTAATATGTAACAACTCAAAACGCAAGACGGCCAAGGCGAAGAGAAGAAAAGGGCGACCCATCAGGAGCAATGACTAGTAGATACGCTGCAATTGCAGTCTGCTGAGGAGTGGCATGAAGGAGAAGACGAACCTGAGACTTGACAAAGACTGCGCGGAAACTGTAGAATAGCTGAAAGGGTGTTACCATCTGACACTGCACTAAAGCACTGGTCAGTACGGTGGCAGTAGTCCACCATCTCGTACAGATAGGCATCTCCCAAAACCAAGTCTCCAGAGGGAACCGGCCCCCGTCACCCATCATTTGGTCCATACTGTGGGGAACGTTGGTATACTGTGGTACTTCAGAGAAGACTGGGCGGCTGCAGAGAAAATACGCGCATCGCCCGATAACAAGGCTCGGAAGGGTCGAAAGGACTTGGTTGTCGAGAAAAGGAACAGCGAGCGAGATTGTCGTTTACAACCTTAAAGAAAAAGAAAAGAAAAGAAAAAAGACAAGTCGGAAGGGGTTGTCTCAATATTGGCCTTGTGTACGTGAGCAATCGTAGCTGGAGAGGGCTAAATGATATGCTCAAGTAGGTGTCGTTGGAGAGGTAGGTGGTTGGAAGAGAAGTCTGGCAAAAGACAAAGGTCGAAGCTGTTGATAAGAGATAATGGAGGAGAGTAAGGTGGCCTTTGAGAGCTCTTTCCAGTCCCTGTTAGCAATGGCTCCTTCCGCTACCAATCCAGAATGGACAAAATAATAGAATGGGTACTGCCGATGACGGTGCAGCGGGGCAAGGGATGCCAGCAAGCAGTTTTGATAAACATTTGTTGGTCGAAGCTCAGCCATTTAATGCCCCTGGTGATGAAGCACTCAGAGCTGGTACTCCAATGACATTAGGTAAGAGGACACCTCACATCACCTGAATTAGTCTGAGCGGCTTCAAGCGTATTGCCACATGTGGCTGTCAGCCACGCCAAGCCCCTTCCCTTAACACAGTATCCGGCGAACTTATTTTACTCCGCTTAATTGAGACGCGTAACTGAACGCGAGAACGCGTTGTCCCATACGCCCATGCCACATACGAAGAAAAATCGCGGGGCTGGCAGTCGATTAATTAATTATAGGCGCGCTCCCTCATGCAAAAGTCCCTGTTTGAGCATCTCGTCGCTTTTGTCTTGTCCTAATGGTACCTTCACAGGAAATAAACCTGCATTGCCCCAAAGATTACTTATCATTCAATTTCTCTGCTCTGTTGCAGCTGGACACCAATTCACCTTTCGCGACTTCTTCCACGCTTGGTAACTGTCGTCGTCTTATACTAAATCGCAGACGTCAACGCTCCTCCTCACTCTTTGGATCCTACGCCTGCTGAGTGGTCTCGCATGCACAACGAAGCGCTGGCCTAACCCAACATCTGCACACCACGCGTCCGCAAACATCAGCCTGAAGCCATGCCCCCAAAGAAATCAAGGCAGTCAGACGCTGCCCGGCGAAAATCGCGGCAAAGTGATATTCAGCGTATGGCTCATATTTGCCTAAAATGTCTTGCTTTGACTTTGTCCATTACCCTAACTCTCGGTAGCCGGTGATCCAATTCCTAGCCGTGGAAGACGACGTTATCGACCGGGAACAGTAGCCCTGCGAGAGATCCGAAAATACCAAAGCGGTACCCAACTGCTCTTACGCCAGCTTCCTTTTTCTCGTCTCGTAAGTAGCTTACCCTCTTCTGAAACCATTTCTTCATTCTGACCCGTCTTTCAGGTTCGTGAAATCGCCGAGTCCGTGAGGCCCCGAGGCGAGGCTATGCGTTGGCAATCGCAAGCAATTCAAGCACTCCAAGAAGCCGCCGAAGCTTTCCTAGTACACCTGTTCGAAGACACAAACCTATGTGCCATCCATGCCAAGAGAGTTACCATCATGCAAAAAGATATACAGCTTGCTAGGCGAATCCGCGGTGTGTGGGGAGGATTGGGTTAGTTTGTCGCTGGCCACAGACTGACAAGGGGAGATTCTGGGTGCGTTTGTTCGCCGGTTTATATCGTGTCTGCTTGATGGGCGTGGTTCATTTTCTTTCCTTCCCTTATATTACGGTTGTAAAAATACCCCATGGCACTTTATCGTGGATATTGGTAGATGATGTGGTGCTATATTTGGAGCAAAGGCGTTTTGGAGTTAGAATTTAAAAAATAATATAGATTAGCGAACGCGTCAAATGCAGTGAGCATTCAACGCAATTGCCTCCACTTTGCCGTAATACGTTGTAGATGTACAGTTACATAATGCCTTCGGCTGCTGCTTAGCTCTGCAATTAAGTTTGGCAGCAGGAAGGCAACTATTCATACCAGACGTGTATATTTATTCCGTGCGCTCATGACTACAGGTAGTGCTTTAGTAATACTGCACGTCACTTGCAAGGCAAGACACTGCTGCCACCTGTAAATGTATCCCTTCTGACTTACATAAGCCAGTCGAATTAGCCACGAGACATACCTTGCGTCACCAAAGAATGCGTTAACCAGCAAAACAATTTATACGCCCTTGTTCACGTCCACATTTATCTCCTCCTCCCTGTCTCGCCAGTTCTCATAAGCCTCATCAGCGCACCACGACCACCATAACCTGCCGTGTTTTATCAATGAGCCGTCTTCTATCCGCAGGATTGGCCGGCCGGCGCCTGGCTTTGCCTGTCGGCACTGGCGTGTGTGTTGCGTATTCTTTGCAGTGCCGACGTGCGCCTATCTTCTTTGACACGTATCAAGCTCCCACCAATTCAACAGTATCTCGTGTGCGCAGCCGTTCGCATAGGGGCTTGAGCTCCGAGGCTATGAGGCAGCTATCAAGCGGCAGTCTATCTGGTATGGTCTCCCCTTCCTTGTCACGATGCCGGTAGATTATGCCATTAACACCATCGAGGTTTCGGGGCTGGTCTTCTTGTGGGGTTTTTGTCTCACACACTAGTTTTGCTCACTGGACTCTCCATGCTCACTTTTTATGTAACTACCCCGAGGCCCAAGTATTGGAATTACATACTAATTCAGGATCACAGCTTGCGCAGAGGTGCGGCGTAGACCTACCTCGGTTGCTGGGATTAAAGGAACGGTTAAACAAGGCTGGGCTGAGCAAGCCATTTCGCAATGCTATATTCCGACTATCTTTTGCGGCTACCTTCACTCTTGCCGCCTTCGTCAGATTCTAAGGATTACAACGGCTGTGTCTCCCGCGTCAGCCATGCCAGTGTCAAGGGATCCTCTTTGAAGAAATCCTTAGTTTTGTGGAGGATCTCGGCGTTATGGGAGTTAAGCCATTGCTTTTCCTCCGAAGTCAGAAGACTGGGTTCAATGAGGTTCTGGCAGTACGGAACCATGGTGACGTGTTCGAATCCTAGGTAGGGTTTGTCTCCGAAAGAATATTTCGTCTTCACTTCGGTAACCATGGCCACGTTTTCGATCCGAATACCGTACGACCCGTCTTCGTAGAATCCAGGCTCGATTGACACAACATTGCCTGGCGCAAGGGCAACCTCAGCAAACTGCACCCGAGTGCCTATGCCAATTGGACCTTCATGCACGTTAAGGTAAGAGCCTACGCCATGTCCAGTACCATGGCGGTAATCTAGACCCTCCCTCTGAGAAAAAATGTCAGCAAAGAGCCGTTACGGAAGTGATTGTAAGCACTGACCCATAAGTGTTGACGGGCCAAGCAGTCAAGTGCGAAGCCCGTAGTTCCCTTGGGGAATACAGCAGTGTCCAGCGCGATGTTGCCCTTGAGTACTAGCGTGTATGCGAGCTTCTCGGCTTCCGTAGGCTGTCCAAAGTGCAACGTTCTTGTTGTGTCCGTTGTACCGTCGAGATATTGTGCACCAGAGTCACAGAGGTAGATGGCGGTTGGATCGATAATGGAGCAAGCACCACGCTCTGGCTTGTAGTGAATAACAGCAGCACTAGAAAGAGTCAGTATGTGTGGAAATATGATGCCCCTAATAAAAGCAGAGTCACGAGGGTTGGATTTGTAGGCCTTGGCAGGGGTGTTACTCACTTTGCACCTGTGGAAGAGATGGTGTCAAAGGAAAGACCGACATAGTCCTTATGCTTCGAACGGAGTTGCTCAAGCTTATCTGCAGCTTGAACTTCGTCCAGTCTAGCTTTCTTAGCTACCAGTTGATCTTCCAGCCAGGCAAAGTACTCAATTAACGCGGCACCATCTCGGATGTGGCAAGACCTCATGCCTGCCATCTCAGTCTTGTTCTTGACAGCTTTCGAGTCTCCAATGGGGCTACGAACCTCATCGACCTGTCCGTCCCCACCGAGAGAACGTTTCAGGGCCCAAGACGCCTTTGTTGAAATGATAAATCTTTTCAGGGCAGAATTCGAGGCGGCATCACCAACTTTATCCGCAGATGAGCGTAAGACACTTATAGAATCATAGATGCTCTCATATGGTTTAGTTGTGATGTCGTTGTCTGAGAGGTATGCTCGAGTTTCTTCTCCTAGCTTAGACTCGTCAACATAGAGGGTGGCAGAATCAGGCGTGATAATGGCGTAAGAGAAGAAGACAGGATTATAGGGAATGTCGCTGCCGCGTAGGTTGAAAAGCCAGGCGATTTCATCCAGCATAGATACGACAAAGGCATGGGAATTCTTCTTGTCCAACTCATGTCTCAAGTCTTTGAGTTTGGCTTTAACGTCTTTGCCACTGAACTTCTCAGGTAGGACGACAACAGGGCTCTTGGGTCTTTCAGGACGGTCTCCAGCCCACACCAGGTCGACCAGATTCTCGTCCAGGGCTACCAAGTCCGAACCACCAGATCTCTTGATCTTTTCGGCAAGCTTTTTAGCAATAGAACCCGTGATGAGTTCTGGGTCGACTCCGACTACTTTCCCGCCAGAGGATTGTTCAGCAGACCATTCTTGCCAGGTGGGGACGTCCTGAAGACCCTGTCTCAACAACAGCCAGTTTTGGTCCAATTGCTTAGAGGCTTGGTTGAAGTATCTCCCATCCGTTGCCAGAGCTGCCTTCTCCAATGTCACAATAGCGCACCCTGCAGAGCCGCTGAATCCAGATATAAACTCGCGGCGGCCATCGCAACCAGCAATATACTCAGATGAGTGGGAATCCTCTGAGGGAACGACTGCGGACGCAAATAAGACATCAGCCTTGGTCTGGAAGTACACATGAGGGTGGCAATTAGTGCAGCCAATGCATACCGTAAACGTCGACCTTGCGAGCTTTCATCAACTCCCTAAGTCTTGAAAGGCGGTCGGCGGTATCAACTCGCTCCATATTGAGGGTTGTAGTGTGATACAATACTCGGCAGCCGACGTGACTGAATGAGGCGAGGACAGTACGAGACTTAACAGATGGCAGGATGGACTGGGCCTGAAAGCTTATGAAGAGTGATGAACAGCTGCGGCAGAGGATTTTAGTTACGGGCTGGAGGTTGCTCCAAATCATGAGTTGGGCAAAGAGGAGGGAAAGGTGGGGGGTGAGCGGCTTGAATTATGTTTGGCGGGGGGATGATTTAGGTCGACGGGTAGCTGCGGTGGATTGGTGAGGTGGAAATGCGCACAACTGCTTTGATCCTCTGTAGTACCTTCCACATTTGACCTCTGGAATGCCCCGCACTAGAACTCCAACCGGCTGGCCATCCACATTGTACACAAGACCAGCGCATCACGTGCCTGTGGTACCGCATGCACCTTCCGTTGTACCTGCCCATGTTTTCCCCCTGTGTATGTCATATAGCACATAGGTACTTTAGCGCTGAGGTAGACACCACCTTCAGCGGGACCCTGGTCCCGCTATCCGCATAAATGTGTCTTCGACTTCAGTTTGAACGTCACCTAGTCCCTGGCAGAAGACTTCCGAGTTTGATATGTATCTCTTGTCCCCAACAACAGACTCGATTAGAGCTAAACTTGTCAGGAATTCTAGTCTACCTATCTTACTTCCTTGCGTTCTGTTTTCGGCCCCTTCATGTTGCCCACTGCCTCTTCATCTACTTGTGCTATGTAAAAAGCAAGCTAGAAGAGGTACTCAAATTTGCTGCCCCCCACTCTGCTCCTCCCCCATCGTTCATACCTCCTACATTCAGTGACACACACACACACACACACACACACACACACAGAGAGAGAGAGAGAGAGAGAGAGAGAGAGAGAGAGAGAGAGACGTCGGCTACTTATCTTCGCAGTATATTTGCAACACTTTAACAAATCATTCTTACAACCATATCCGGTAGTCCATTTGTCCCTGAACCCCATTATGAGAAGACCTCTCACAACAGTCTGAGTTCTTGTCTGTCTATACCATTATGGACGGTCAGTTGCCGTCAACTATTCAAGAGGCGGAAGCGGTAAGGAACCATTTCTCACGACTTTGATTTGAACCTCGTACCAGATTAACATTCGAGTTAAGCTTGTTCTGTCCCTCTATGAGCCTGCGCCTCCCGATACCATTTCCCGCATCCAAGAAACATTACATCGTTTACAAAGATCACCGTCCGGCTGGTGGATTGCACGCGACCTTCTGGGCCATGCCGACGATAAAGTCAAGTTTTTTGGTGCTCTTACCCTCATCATCAAATTGAATACTGAAAGGTAAGTATTTGATCTTCTGATACTTCAATATTTAATAACGATCCACCTTCGATAGCTCCTCTTTAACCGATAACGATGCGTCAGAGTTGTTGCAAAATCTCATGGGCTGGTTTGTCAATTCACTAGACGATGGATCTGGTGCTATGGTCATCAGGAAGTTATCTTCAGCCTTGGTCACATTCTTCCTCTCATTCCCTGGCCAGTGGGAGCTTTGCATTCGTCACCTCTGTTGTTCCCTCTCCAAGGGCGCTTCCTTGCCACTGAAAAGCATCGATGCAGCCATTGATTTACCAAGTCTACTTCAAACACTCTCCCCGCGCAAATTTCAGGCAGCTCTTTGGTTTGCAGGAACCTTGGTTGATGAAGCATCCAAAGTGGAAATGAATTCAGCGAAGAAGTATGGTTACCATTTCTGCCCCCACACCACCCCGGGAGGCAGAACCGCTTCGTAATTCCAGCTAACAAACCAATAGCATGGGTCTATATGACACACTGATGCGCAACGCTCCAGACGTGTTAGCGCTGATGTCGCATGGTTTCGATCGTGATGAACCAGTCGACCTCACGAACCAAGGAATCCGCCAAGATTCCATAACTTGCCTTCAGGTAAAAGATACAGCCCTCTTTCCCCCATGCTATAGATTCATCTCCTCGTTTCTGGTATTAGCTAATTGTTTCTGTATAGTCGTGGATCTGGTTCTCTCAGCGAGTATCGTCTCATAACGACGAGCTCGTTGGCTCTCTTCGTGCCTTGATGCAGCCTACAATATCAGCCTTGACGAATGACGATTTGTACGATGTTTCCGTGGAACTCCTTTCTGACATCCTGTCCAACTACTCGGGCTTCTTAACCGAAGACCACTATGAATCCCTATTTTCACTCTTCGAGACCCAATGGTCTCACGATCGATATCAGCGTCTCGTTGAAGGCGACTTCGACTTCGACTCAGTTCAGTTCGGGCAACTGATGATCTCACTTGGTGACTCCAAGGTTCAAAGTTTAATTCACAGTGTAGACGACCGGTCACTACGTTTTCTCGCTCGTCTACGAGGTCTACTGTCCGCACAGGGCTATCCCGTTAGCGAAGACAAAGTATTCGTTCCCGCCTTGGAGTTCTGGTCCACATATGTTGAGACTTTGACGGACTGCATCTACTCAGAAGAGTCCCAGTCAAAGGCTTGGGTAGCCTCGGCTACCTCACAAGTACTGGAAGCTGTTTCAACCGTCTGGCGGCGAGTGGCATATCCGCCGCCCAGTGTCGTTGCTAGCTGGGATTCGGCTGATCGCTCAGGTTTCAGCGATGCAAGAAAAGATGTTGCAGACCTTCTTCAGTCAACTTTTACAGTAACGGGTCCACCATTGTTGTCAACGTTCGCAAATCTAACCATTCAGTCTTTGTCGCCCAACTCATGGTCTGACCTCGAGGCAGCAACATTCTGCCTGGGATCCCTGGCCGACTGTGTCGCTGGTGATGCCAGGTGTGATGATACACTTAGAGCTGTTTTTTCTTCGCCTCTCTTTGAGCTTCTCCAGACGACACAAGAAATAGTGCCTGGCCGTACTCGTCAGACCTGCATATCGCTGATTGAACGCTATGCTGACTATTTTGAGCGAGAAACCCAAAGCCTTCCGGCGGCTCTGAACCTGCTCTTCTCCGTCTTGGGTGACTCTCAACTGGCTGGGCCTGCCGCCCGGTCAATTCAGAGACTTTGCTTCTCATCTCGATCGATCTTGGCATCCGAAACAAGTGCATTCCTTGCTCAGTATCAGACTATCGTCTCACGAAGTCAACTAGACTGCATAGCGAGCGAGCGAATCATTGGGGCAATTTCCGCTGTTATACAAGCTGTTCCCGAGGAGCAAGAAAGACTTGGTCATTTGGAGGTTCTTCTCTCATTTGTTGAGCATGATGCTCGAAAGGCCATGCATATGTTGTCCTTGCCTGACGCCTCACCTGAGTTGCAGGACGGACTTAATGTTCATCGCTGCTCAACCTTAGTCGAGCCATTCGAGCTTCCCTTACACATGGCCTTGAAGGTATTGAGGTGCCTGACCAACATTGGAAAAGGCCTGCAAGCCCCAAGCGATCTACCATTTGATCTGGAGAGCGAGAACGATCACACATCAGTAAATCAAGGCTCGAAACTTGGCCAATTACAGTCCAGGATTATGTCCATGATCGTTGAACTTCAAGCCTTGTTCCCGCAAAGTGGAGAGGTGGCCGAGTGTATCTGCAGCATATTAAAGACTGGGTTTTCAGAAGTAGAACCTGGCCCGTTTGTCTTTCCGTCACAACTTGTCTGCGACTACTTGGCCGAGCAAACTTTTCGTGTGCCTCGGATTGGCTTGTTCGTAAGCACTGCCTGCTCTTTTCTCAGCTCCTTAAGAACGAGGAAACGGGGACATGTGGAGATTATCAGAACGAAGCTGCTCGCGTGGGTTATAGGTCTCCTCCAGCAATTGTCTGGTAAGTAGACGCGCGCTTCGATGTGGACTTATGCTTACCTACAGCTTTCTCAGAACCAGAAAATGATACGGAACTGGCGCAAAATGGCATCGAGTTTACGAATCGCCTGATATCTCGGGAGCCGGCTTCGTTGTTTCAGCCCGAATGTCTTCCCCTGGCCGAATTTTTCTTTATGTATGCGTTGCAAATATTAGACGGGCGTGAACCCCTCCCGAAGGCAGCGGCTGCCGATTTCTGGGCATGTCATTCCTTGACAACTCTTAAAATCTGAATCTTGGCTAATAATGGGACAGGCGACATTTATGGCCTTGAAACACGCCGAAGAGAGAGCGCAGGACACAATAGATCACGCCACTGCCCATTTGGGCCCAATGCTTGCCCAATCTATTGTCCGAAATATTGGCGGAAATGCCTCGAGGAGCGAGCTAGATAGACTCAGTGAGCCACTGAAAAAGATGGTGAGCCACCATACCAAGGCTCGCGCGTGGCTCGAGGCAGCTCTATTCGATGCATCCTTTCCCAGCCGGCAGATCTCCGATGAGGATAAAACAATTTTCCTCAAGAAGATCATCAGGTGAGTTAAGACCCATGCTAAACTGTCTCGAGAGAAACAATGACTTACTTTTCGTGCCCTTGAATGTAGCCTTAGAGGCGCAAGAGGAACGACACAGGTGGTACGGGAGTTCTGGCTGGCAGCAAGAGGATCTAAGTTTGCCTATGCAACTTGATCTAGTATACGGATATAAAGTCTCCCGGAGTTCTGGGTGCTAGCATGGCATCTCGCTATTGCATGGCGTCTAGAATCGACGAGAGGCAACGATGAGGTGCACATGAGGTGACCTCATAATCATGGGAGGCTATAAAACACTATTTTACAACAAGCCATTTCTGGGGATACGGTAGTAGTTTAAAAGGGCCAGACAAAACGGCCTTAATGACAATGTTCCAAATGATTCTAGAGCCCGGTGGCTTCTCTGATGATGCACATGGTTTTTTCGGCACTTTGACGGGCTCTTTTGGCCCCCTGTGCTTCCACGAAGTCGAGATATCTTCCCTCGTCAGCTGAAATAAGGTCCATGTATCGCTCCCGGATTCCAGCAAGTCCTTGAATAACAGAGTTAGAGACTGTTTGTTTGAGATCTTTTAAGGACGCCCGAGAAAGACTCTGGGCAAGCTGGGTTGGACCTCTACCCTGGTCGTCGAAAAGGGATAGAATTTCCAGCAAGTTTGATACCCCCGGTCGGTTTTTGGCATCGTACGAGACATAGTTTGAAGAGTCTGTCAAGGCGCTCATAATCTTCTTGTGGATTTCCCCCGGCGCATCAGTAATAAGGATGCGTGACTTTGGGTCGATGGCGGATTTCGACATTTTCTGAGTCGGCTGTTGCAAGGACATGACCCGACGAGTCGGCGCTGAATATGTCAGTAATCAACGTCAAATCATGGGAGTGTGAGAGCCAGATGAGACATACGTGTGATGGTCTCGGGGGACACGAGATGTGGACCGAAAGTGTGATTGAAATTGGTGACACATTCTCGGGCAAACTCCAGATGCTGCCTTTGATCGTCGCCAACTGGAACATGAGTTGCTCTAATTAAAGTCAATGAACTGGACTATGCATCATCCGCACTATGCTCGAATGCATAGTAAATAAAGTAGCAAGTAAAGAAACGGGGCATTGTGTAAGTGGACGAACCGATGAACAAGTATGTCTGCAGCCTGAAGGACAGGATAGGAAAACAATCCGAGTTTCAATGAAGCCTTGGCACCATCATCAAGAATGGTTGCGTCAGATGATAGTGATAGCTTGCTCTGTGGAAAGAGTGTCATCAGAGAATACCTGAAGAAGGGAAATATTGTGGTGTTAGCTTAACTAACCTTCCACTGTGTCATACGTGACAAGTAGCCCATGGAAGCCGTACAGCTCAAGATCCACATGAGTTCCGAATGAGCCGGGACCTGCAGGAAACGAGTTGAAGTTAGGACATGATCAAGACATTTGACCAGATCATTCAGTAATGGAGGTTCCTCTCATACCGATGATTGATAGAATAGAGTAGAGCGTTCAGTGTCAATACCGGCTGCCAACAAAGCGGCTAACGTCTCCCTCTTCCATCGTCTCAGCTGCTTGGCTTGCTGGGGCAGGGTGATGGCGTGCAGATCGACAACGGAGTATATGAGCTTGTAACGGTCGACTGGCTCGCTCTGAAGTTGCACCCATTGGCGGATGGCACCAGCATAATTACCCAGGTGCGGTATTCCTGTGGGCTGGATCCCCGAAAAGACAACATTTTGCTCTCCTGTCGAGATAGCGCGGCGACCATTGGCCGCTCCGGGTCTAAGCCAGCTGATTACTGGCCTTGCCTGCCGCCACATTAGGGGCTGATATGGAATTTTACAGTCCCAGAAAGCGCCGGGTCGATACGGAACGAGGCACAAGCTGTTCTACATACGTCTACATATATCTAGGCGAATTCATTCAATGAGACGGTTAACGTAATAATATTGCTTTAACGAGGCCTTCCCAAGATGAATCGCAAACCACAATCTAAAAGGGATGCTGGATTTACCGCCAGCGAACATTCCTTCACACAACATCGCATTACGTTCCCTTTGACTTACGCATAGTGATAATAATGGTGGTAATACAAGTAGATATTTCTACTAGGTCTCGCCCTCTCTTGCTAAGATGTACAAAGGGCATATGGGCCCGTTACAAGCTATGAGTACAGTTCGACTGAGCAGCTATCTCGTGCCTTTGCCTCCCTCTTCCTAGCTGCTCATTCCTTATAGGCGCCAGATTTCAGACCCGTGCCCCTATTGAAGTCTTAATCTCTTTTAAGGTCCCTCGGTCTCCGTCGTCGCCGCTTTCTTCTTCAGCGTCTTTTCTCGCTTGTACTGACCCTCTACGAAGCGTCTCTCGCCCTCCGCCCGCTTACCGCTGTCGGTATTGAACCTCGTCTTAGCCAAGAATTCCTCCACCTTGTCGACAGTATCGAGATTACGGTGCTGAGCGAGGTGTTTCCACTTAGACTCTATGGCCTCGGAAGCATTTTCGGCGATAGCCTCCATGGACTTGCCGGCACCTGTCATATCCATATTAGTACAGACCATACAAAAACAAAACGGCGCTATGCAAGTGCTACATACCAAGTTTGTCGAAGTCCCACACATTAGCTTTCATACCAATGCCGTAATATGCGTGCTTCTGAAGGAAAGCTAGCCACAGCTGCACCGTCTCTGGATTGCCGTCGCGGATTTGGATAAGACGCCGTAAGGTAATGCGTTCGAAGTTCTCCTGAGACTTCTTGAAGATAAAACTACTCCGAGGAACTGTCCAGCGTTCTGTGATGCGTGGGAGCGGCACCGGGCCAAAGGCCGGAAGCTTGAGGTAGTATGCAGCACGAAGGGCAAAATCGACGAAGAACTCGAGGTTCCTTATGCTATACGAGCGCAACTGGAGATCACAGGAGGGTATGCCATATTCCGCTTCGCATCGCAAGGGCTGAAGGTAGAGAGCCTGTACACTTCGAGGAAACCGTAATTTATTCGATTGCTTAATTGTTTCTGAAGTCTTCTCGCTAGAGGGAGATGGGTCGTTAGCACGCAAGTGCCACCAAGCGTTGTAGTTGGATGAGGTCAAAACTTTACTTCGAATTGGAATCAGTCAAAAGATTCGCCGTCGTTATAGGGGTTGCAGCAAGCTCCTGGGTAGGTACGCCGGTGGACGATTCGGTGGCAAGGGAACGACGCCATGGCTGTTGCTGGGTGTTGATGGCCTACGAAAAGAATTCAATGTCAGAGAAGAGCGCGAACCTTGCCACCGATTAGTTCAAGACACAACTTTACCTGTGGTGTTAACCGCGCTAAGTAGCGGGTTGACGGTTTTAACAGCGATGTTGCGCGCATGGTCGTCTCTGCATGAGCAACCCAATATTCTGACGTGTATCAAGAGATTCACTCCGACTGAACTCTGTCTGGTAGGGATCACAGGATGCCGTAAAATTCGTGCGGCCCACAAATTATTGTTTTATACGGTGTAATGGACCCACATCATTACAAAAACATCTGGCTGCCTGTAGCACCAGGCGGCCATCGAGTGATTGCCGCCAGTCAAATAACGTGTCACGTCGCCTGTCTTGCAGACCGGGATTCTAATTGTCTTCATCTTCTGTTCACTTTCCTCAGGATACTTGGTCAATCTCATCTTTTGGTGGTCTTATTGCTATATCAAGACTATGGCTAGTGTGTGGTGCCCAACCTGTCAAGGGGTCCCAAAAACCAACCTCTATACGTTGGTATGTACGAATACAACAAATAGAACTACGCGAATGCAATATTTCACTCATACAGAGTTCATGCCAAGCCACAAAGTGCCTGATTATCATGAGATGCCATGCCAATAGGCGAGCAATTTGAGAATCGTGAGGCTGAATTAGTGGCGACCACGGCGACGGCGCTCTACAAGCTTTTTGTAGAAGGCCTTCTTGCCGCTCGCCTTCTTTAGCTGAATTTCCCCGTACTTGGATTTAAACTTGCCGGTAGACTTTTCAGCACTTAGCAGTTCGTCTACGAGAGTCTGCTTTCTTTCCTTGCGTGTTAGGCGAGCACTGTAAAATTCGGTCGGGCCTTCAACAACGCGTCCAACATGAGCATAGCGAGGCACTTTGGCCTTCAGAGACTCTTTTTTGTAATGTCGCTTGGGGTCGATAGCAGTGCCTCTCATGTGCAGGATTTGCAGGTCTCGCTTCAACTGAGGGTCGTTAGGGTCCGTCTTCGGGATACCAAACCAACCAGGACCAGCATTTTCAATAGTCTGGCAAATATGTTAGCCTTACCATCCACGACACAATGCTGAGAACACTGAGTAAAAAGATATGCATCTTCAGAGTAACTATGAAATAAAGAGTATCATTTGGGTGTGGCGTAGCAGCCCAAGACGGGTGCCAATACCACGTCAAGAAATTAAGCAGGGGTTGCTTCTCATCACAAGAGTAAGGGAAAAGGTTAGACAATAGGGGCATTATCGACATACCTTTTCTTCTGTCGGTCTAGGATCGCGAAGTGTGAGACCCTTCTGGTCTTTTACCTTGGGCTGGCCCTTGGGTTCTGAGGTTGGATCAGTGGGCGAGACCGTGATTAGGTTGCAATCCTTTGGGCTCGGCGACTTCTTAGTCGCCAGGCGACCTGCCGCTTCTTTCAGGAGTTCATCAAGACGCTCATCGCACAACTCTAGCATATCTGTGATGTGCGACCAAGCCGTGCGGATTGGAGGATCTGAAGAAAAGAAGATCGGGGAGATGTAGACGTGGTTGTAGAGGTGAAGAGCGGGCTGAATATTTGTAAGAAGATTTTTTTTTTAGCGGCCTACTTCCGATTTGACGAGGGTGGGTCAGGTTGGACTTGGGCTGGGGACGAGTGCTACGTGCTGCCAGCGTCGAAAGCTTCCCTCTGAAGCAACCTTTTGTAATTTACCCAGCCACATGCTTACCTAAGAGAGACAACTCCTCCTATCATTTTTGGCAGCAGGGGATTGGTTAGTGTGAGATCAATTTTCAAGTCTGAAGGACTTGAAGTAGCGAAGTGTCACAACATGATGGTAGCACCAGGCATGATGACCTGAAGTTGGCGACCGTGATGCATAATCTTTCGAACGCGCTTCCAGGTGTGTAACAGGCCAGCGAGAATTGATGCCCAACCCCATGCCAGTAAGCAAGGCTGGCTGGCCAGTTTGGCACCAGTGTGCCGCCACACGGCTGGTGGACCTGTTGATTAAATAGCTTACTGCCAAGGCACCCAAGCTAAGGTACCTGAGACGAAGTATCTCGCTCAGGTTAAGGTATATAGAGACTGTGGCGGAACTGCGGACGTTGGAAAATGCACCATGCACTAACATCTCGTCCTCCACTTCCACCTAGCCACACCCCTCCTCACCCTCCTGACATTACCCAACTACCGAGTTCCACTACTAAAGAGAGGTCTTGATCAACATCGCTGCTCCTGTGCCTGCAGCGACAATAACAACCACAATTACAGTATCGATTCCGCAACTACCATGGACCCTCAAAATCAATCCAGCTCCCACGCTCAACAGGGTCGCCCCCAACCCGTCTACGACACAACCCATGGCGGTCACTACGGTAAGTCCCGAAACAATCTTTCACGATCCAAACGCGTAAACCTCACACGCGCGCGAGAGCCATTTTCATCCGCTCTAGTTCGCACCCTTCTATCTGGTATCGTCACTAACGTCGCCACGTTGTTCTTAGGTGCAAGTGCGGCGGTTCGTATTCCCATCCGTCCATTCATTAAGGGCTACCCGGCCCGCCCACCTTATTACGGTGTCTTTGGCTACAGCTTAGCTTTCAACATCCTGACCAACTCTGACTGTTGCAATAGCTCTCCGCCCAGGGTTTTGCCCCCGCCGAACTGTATACTGGTCCGTGGGCCAATGTGCGTACTCGTTGAACACTTGAAACACCTTTGGTTCCCGGGTTTACTGACGCGTTCCGCCACGGCAGGTTCACCAAGGGTTGACTGGACAGTACAAAGATATCCTGACAACCTACTGGCAACAGACGATCAACCATTTGGAAAGCGATAACCATGACTACAAGTTGCATCAGCTACCCTTGGCACGGATAAAGAAGGTTATGAAGGCAGACCCCGAGGTCAAGATGATCTCAGCCGAAGCTCCTATCCTCTTTGCTAAGGGGTGCGATATTTTTATTACTGAGCTCACTATGCGTGCCTGGATTCACGCCGAGGAGAACAAGCGACGGACATTGCAGCGATCTGATATTGCATCTGCCTTAGCCAAATCGGACATGTTTGACTTTCTCATTGACATAGTTCCACGAGAAGAGGCGTCTTCCCATGCTAAACGGACCGCCGGGCAAGCCGCTCCTGCCGCCCAAGGTGTACCAACCCAGGCCGCTCCACAAATCCCCGGCCAGCACGGGTCTATCCCACAAGCTACCAACCATTCGTCCTCGTCCCATCCTATGACAGCAACTGATTATGGGCTTGCTGGCCATGCCCTTGGTCCTGACCAGGACTACCGCCAGAACCCGAACATGTATTCGGGCCAAGTACAAACTGGCCAACCTGGCCCATACGGCCAACCCCAGCAAACCATTTATGGCGAAATCGATGGGATGTATGCATATGGGACAATGCAGCCCCAGCAAGTGAGTCAGACCGCTTCCCTGGCACCGACAAAAAGTAAACTAACATTGTCAACAGCCCCCTATGTCCTCAGAGGAGTTTGAGTAGTATCCAGTCATTCTGCTTGGAAGATATGCAGATGGTGCCCTTTGCTCTATGTCGTTAGGCACAACAGACAGAGGCATGAGTTCTGTTTTGATTTTGGTCTGGCGTCGCGGCGTTCGAGGCTTTCCGTGGGTAACGAGATCGATGACGTCATGTATCAGATATGTCAGCACTCAACTACCCTTGGCATTTTGATTTGATGAAGGAAAATATCCCTTCATAAAGGCCAGTTCAAGTGACGTTCTAGTAGAGAATACAGTTATTTAGTCTCATCATCCAGGGAGAGTTTCCCCGCAGTCAACATTCCATCAGGTATTCAGATTGTCATCTGGCATTTCAGACATAGCCTCCAGTCATCACTTCATCATGCCAAATCGGGATGAAAAATTGGCAAGCGGGGCGCTGCGGGCAGGGCCTTGTGGGCTGGACGTAATTCTGTGCGAGTGTAAGCCAATGTGTTTCGGGTGAGTCTGTATGGACAAACGACACCTACTTTTCTAGGAGTATCGGGCCATTCATTGCATCGACACGCCCAAATTTCTTGTTTCGGATTGAAATATCAAAGAATTCGTCATGGTTATCAGACTGCATCAAGTTGATGGTTTGCTGGAGTTCATCCAAGTTTTCTCGAAGCATTGCTCCATTCTCAAGGCTGTCGACGAATTCCGTCAAGTACTGGACGTCTTTGGCCAATGCGGCAACAGCATTCGCATTAATATGCCTGACGTCAGGGGAAAGGGGCAACGCCTGAAACATGTATGTGAGTGACTGAGAGAAAGGATAGTGGTTGTATCAAGCGCTGGTCGACTCACCAAGATTTTGTTGGCGGCATGACTGAGGGCATCGAAATAGATAAGCTCCTTAATTTCCCTTGGTAAACCCAGGAGTGTTGAGTTCATAATGTTTGAAAGGTAGCGCGTCATAGTCTGCATATAATTGCTGGGGTCGGGTGAAGTAGTGGTAGCCATCCTGTGCAGTAGTATTAGCATCCATCTGAAAACTAACGATGGGTCTGTCTGCTCATAATGAATGGCAGTACACTTGCCGTACTTACCAGTCGTACTCTGCAGTGTCCACGAGGTCATCGATCTTAGAATTTACCAATTCAAAAATTCGCTTCTCGGCAGTTTTCTTGTTATTCCTAAACTTTTCAGTGGCGACGAGCGTGACGGGCCCACCAGCTGATGTAGACGACCTCGCCCTGATGAGAAGCTGTTCCAGTTCCTGGCAGGCCGCCTCAAAGTGTTCAAGGTTAATGAGAATTTGCACGATTTGGCCAAGGTATTGTGAGCTGAGCCTCTCCACCAGAGATTTGCACACTTTCTCTGTTAATAGCTCATCGAGCGACTGGGACGTGGAGAAGTGGTCAGTGCCTCGTCTACATGCTGTTGATCCGGAGATCCTACCTTGCGGAGCGTCTCATCAATAACATTGGGATGTTGAAAGTGATCGTCGGAGAAGAAGTAGAATTGGTTCAGAAAATTCCGAATATCGATACAACAGAGAGGATACATTTGCGAAAAGGGCAAGACACAGGGGAAGCTAAAGACCCGTTAAAACGACGAAGACACTGAGTGCTTAAGAGCTTACCTAAGTTCCTCCAGAGACTTGTCTTGCGAGAACCAGCTGACATTCACCACTTTCTCATATTCCTCACGGGTGTTGATAGCCATAGGCATATAGTCGTCCGTTGACACAATCTAGGCTAGTTAGCTACGGATGATCATATGATGCCACTCAAGAACTCGTACCTCTTGGAAGTCTTCGCTGAATCGACGCTTCAACAACTCTGCATATTTGTCGAATAACTTTAGGAGAAAATTGTCCAGTACAGAAACAGAATAACCCCATCCCTGGATTCAATTAGCGACTAGTAAGCATGGTGGTTACATTTATGCAGGGCAAAGCACCTCCATGGTTTGGATAAAGAGGGCTATGACACCCTTGATTTTAAGGAGAACTTCGGCGTTGCTGACTTCATCCAGAGCTTGCGAAGTAAGCGTGATAGCGGTGTGACACATCGAGTCCCAGAGTTCATCCACCTACAACTAAATTAGCAGTTTTGGGGGCGAGGGGGTGACTTTTGTGCTGCATACGTCAATCGCAGATCGCAGGTGAGGAGCGCGACGCATTGTCGCCTTTTCAATGATGGCGAAGCCTGCAATACCCTCCAGCAAACTGCTGAGGGAGGTCTCATCATCTGCTACCAATCCGACCGTACTCGGCAGGAGCAGGTCTTTCTGCTGCCGACGTGTCGTGGCGTACTCGGCACGAAACTTGTCACTTTGACCCAGGGCGTCGTGGATGTGAAGGCATTCAAACAAGGGATGGAAATCGACCTGAAGCTCCTCGTTATCAAGCACGTCGAACTCCTCACTCTCATCAAACACGAGTTCAATAGACGAGTTTAACCTGAAATTGTTCAGATAGCTATCGTTCTCGACGCGTTCTCTCTGTCTCGCTCTTCGCAGTTCGGTGTGATAAAATGCGACTTCGCCAAGAAATTGTGAGGTTTCGCGGATACGAAACAACCAAGTGTTCAGGTCAGTCATGACCGCTTCCGATATTATTTTCTGGGACGCTGGTATTGATTTCTGAATAACATCAGCAAGTTTGTGCTGGGTTGCATATTTATTCTGGATAGTGGGAATAAGATGCTCGTTTTGCAGATCATCGAGAGATTTTAGTGCGGCATAGTACTTCTTTTTGCGAATCAGATCGTGAGCATGGTTGACGGCATGAAGGATTTTGAGGGATTCTTTCAAGGCATCTGAGGCATCAGCGATGTTTTGTCGCACAGCTCTCGTATTGACAAGAGCCTGTTTCTGGTCGGCAAGCTTCTCTGTGCTAGCTTGGATCGACTGGTTCAGCCTCAGAATCTCTGCTGTAAGGGCCACGGTGCCCTCGCGAACGGTCTGCAGCTGGTTAACCGAACCGAGGAACTCCTCGTGCTTCGTCAACCCGATTCTTTCAATTTCTGACTCTCTATCTTCCGCATATCTCGAAAGGTTCTGCATGAGCGAGGAGGTCCGGTTCGAGTTGGAGGCATCTTTAAGCACGGGGATGAGCTGGTCGAGAAAGTCTGAATCCGACGAGGTCAGTATAACCTACAGCATTCGGTCAGTAAGTTTAGTTGCATAGGATGTAAGAAGTGGAGGAACAGGAGGATGTCGGAGGAAGAGGCACAGCTACTGACCTGCTGAACGGCTGCTCCATAATCATCGTAGGTCTGCGGTCGGCGTGGCATCTTGGTCCATGACCTTGGCGCTTTTCAGGTTGCGGTGTGCGTTGTGTCTGGAATAAGCTCGAAATTCCGTCAGTGTTTGAAATATGGTATATCGGAATGGGCCCTTAGTTCTTGAACAAGACAGCTCAGTTTGGTACTACTAGAGGGTGCAATAGATGAAGAATAGCTACATCGATTTGAAGTGATAAGCTAGGGTGGGCGTCAACGTGTAGGCCAAGAGATAATGTAAAGGTGTATGGTATGGGGCTTATAGTGGGTCTCGCTCACTGTGTGCCGCTAATGCAGGTGCCATGGAGGCTTACCCAAAATGCACCACTACTACACGTGTATATTTCCCCTCAGTAGCAATGCGCCACGATATGTGGGATGCGCAGGCTAATCAGGCGGAGCCGCATCTGTGCAACGGAATGTCAAGTTGTCCCGCCTTGATGTTAACACCACTTATACATAACATCTCTTGATTAATGTACCCTGGTTTACCCACTCGTTCAACAGGAAACTACCATCCGTAATGTATGAACTGTGACTTAAGAACTTACCATCCAAATACATGCTCCGTGCTGTCTGAGGTAGACGATAATCTCACATAACAATAGTTGAGGTCAACAAACAGGGAACCGTAGGTGGGGTTCCAGCTCGTAGAAGATATTTGCCCTACTACCAGTGTTTACCTTTGCCATGACTGATCTATAGGGTAGGTAGTTGGCATGGTCGAATAATCACATTGTACCTCTGTCAATCTTGACTACCCGAAAGTAAGCTGTTTAAAGTCTCAACCGTAGCTAGATTAACTACATTACCGATATAACGTACGATGGTATAGCGCTCTAAATTGCACATGCATCGTGGCAGCTTGCTTGATAACTGACACTCTTGCTTCGACTTGATGATGAAAATTCCCAAAGGGACCGCCCTTCCCTGTGCCCGCCGCCATTTTGAAGCCCAGGCCGGTGGGCAAGGCCAGCGAGAAGGCAGTACAGACATGTTGTCTCGCACCTCCCCGACTGGCCGAAGAAAATCTGACTGCCTGTTTTTTCTAGTGGGGGAAGGAGCACACCTTCTCGTCGCAGCAGACTGCTTGCCTCTTTTGCCCACTCATTGGCTTCACGCGTTACTCAATAAGGGGCAGGAGCCAGGTAGTTACTCCTAATCTTTGCTTCTTCCCCGGGATCATAAGGAACTCTCATACGCAACTTCTCGCCGCAGGGCACTGTGGTCTGCGAATTCACAAAATTTTGCCCTCGATCCTGCCCATCTTTCAATTTGTAGAGAACTTCTCCCTTGCCCGGCTCTCCATGGGCAATATGAAATTTGGGTTTTAACGCACGCCGACTAAGCTCCTGGAAGCGCCAGATTCATCGTTCTCCAGCCAAACTACGAAGACAGCGCAGCCTTTTGTGCAACTGGACGCTTTCAATTGTCTGCCACAGTCTCAGGGTTATATTCTGTGGTGCTTATCAAAGCTGTGGTGCCGTTCTGCTAGGATTTGACTCGCCACCTTCAGCTGCCCAGTGTATCAATCCAGCTTCTTTCGTCTACGACGCGGTGTTTCCGTGAGTACGCTGGTTCTCAGTCCTTCTCCAACGGGGTTTACCCCTTACTTTTCCCGGGTTTCTTCACTTTACGTACCAAATTAGTTTCACTGACTCTTCCTTGCTGAGACCAGGAGTTCAGCAAGCAACATGGCGCACCCCCATGAATTGAGGGCCTATAACCCGTCCTCTCCACAATCTTCTACGGGAGCTGCCGAGTCTTTCAAGGGGACTCCAGATACAAAGTTGACTGCCTTCTCTCCGGAGGAGGGCTCCTCCAGGTCTTCTCGCCTTCTTAAGCCACTGGGGCAAGACCATATAGATATCGCTCCACCGAGACTCTCTATCAATGCCTTCAGCAGTGCCACGGTTGATGCCGATAAGGATCCCTTTATTACCGCCATCTCCAGTACCGCTCTGCAAAGGCTGTCGCCCACTGCTTCTACATTCCAACCCTTTGTATCTCCCCTGGGTAGAGATTACCACACTGTTACCCCTGACAGCCAAACGCAGACAGGCACAAATCTTCTCCCGACGGGGCATAGAAATGAATGTAAACTCTCACAGTGCCTCTGTATTGGCTCACCAGGCTGTGTACTTGCCGAGACCGAGTTGACTTCGTGTTTCATGGTAAATGAGACTGCTTCTCTGACATCTTACCAAGTCTTACCAGCTAACCACCGGGCCAGAAACTTCAACTCCTTGGCCTCATGGTTGATGAACCGCGACAAATTTACTGCAAGAATGGTGAGATCTTTGTCCAGTTCAGAGATATTCGAGATGCTGTTCTAGTACATGACAACCTACACCGCACCGAGGCTGGTTTCGAGGCAAAATACATTCCGGAAATCCAATTTTTCGAGGTAAAACTCCATTCCTGGCTGATATGAAGTCTTCTCAACTGACCATCAACCAGGGAACCCGACGGGACACCATTAGATACGGCTGTTGCGTATCTATCCTCGCTATGGGCCTGCCACCAGGTTTGCTCGACGTGTCAAGATTGGAAACAGCTCTGAAGTGTCAGCTGCAATCCAAGAGCCAGCTATACACATACCATACGCAGCAAGGCTATGAGCCTGGAACATATGAAGCCATTGTCCAGTTCAAGGACCCATCCGAAGCTATGTCCGCTGTTTTCTCGTTGGACAATATGATTATTGAGGTGAGCTAGTGACATATATCACCCGGATTTGAGATTTCTACCCATCTAAATGGACTGCTAACCAGGCAAATTAGGGGGCTCGCATTTCGTTTTCGTTCATTGACGCCAATGATAATTCTCGGGCAGCAGTTAATACGCTTAACTTCGCAGCTAAGGCAACGGGATTGTCTCACACCAGTCAAGATTTCACGGGAAATTCCCATGCTCTGGCGATGCCGCCAAACCTCACTCAAATGCCCATGGCACTTCATGGTACTGCCCTAACAGCGCCAGCCTCCTCATACACACCTCTAGGTATCCAGGTTCCCTCGTTCAAGATGTGGCCAATTTTTTGCCAATCACAATTCCAACCTAACATGGCCTATGTTGTCAACGGCGGTCATCACCTGTCACTGCCACTACCTGTGCCTCACCCCAATGGTTATCAGATATTCAGTCCACTGTTTCCACATCAACCCCGTATGTCGACAAGTACGACCACGACGAGCAGTCCTAAGCCTGAGCTTCGGAGACAGAATGCGGCGCGTGTCAACAGAGCACCATATTATAGTGTTGCGAACCACCATAATCATGTTGATGTCAACCGCATCCGCGAAGGAACGGATGTCCGTACAACGGTAACTAGGATCAAAGGGACTTGAAAGCCTTTGCTAACAAGAATCAGATCATGCTTCGCAATATTCCGAACAAAGTTGATCAGGCAATGTTAAAGCGGATCGTAGACGAGTCTAGTTGGGGCAAGTATGACTTCATGTATCTACGAATTGATTTTGCGAATGACTGCAAGTAAGTTACCCAATCAACAAGCTTCGTAGGTGTGGAAGCTAATCGCTGGTTTGCTGTAGCGTTGGATACGCTTTCATCAATTTTGTAGATGTAAGAGTATCTCTGACCATCCAACTGAGTAAACATTGACATTTACTAGCCACTGGACATCATCGACGTCAGTGACAACTCTTAGTGGTGTTTCAAAAGCTGACGAACGACAGTTTGTCAATACAAGAGGCAACCAAAGATGGTAAATATTACACTACCCACCGACCACCAACCTTGAAATACCCTCAACTAACAAGAGTAGGAACTGTTTCAAGAGCGACAAGGTTGCTGAGATATCCTATGCCAGTGAGTAAACTTTTAAGTACTCAAATAGCAAGTATTTTTGCTCACGATAGTCATCAAGCCATACAAGGCAAAGACTGTCTCGTACAGAAATTCAGAAACAGTTCGGTTATGCTTGAAGCAGCGCACTACCGTCCTAAGGTTTGAGCATAGTCTGGCTAGCAAAGAAAGACAACGCTGATTAATACTAGTTATTCTATACGTCCAATGGTCCACTCCCTGAGCTTGCAGGAGAAGAAGAACCTTTTCCTCATCCAGACAACCAGTCAAAGATGAAGAGGAGCTGTGAGAATGCAGAGCATGTTGGTAAGATACTTGAATCTATACTGGACTATCAGATATACTGACTGACGGCTGCGCAGGCCTTTTCACACCAAACGCTGGCCAACATTTTCGTGACGAACAACGCCGAAGACGTTCACAGTATGACAGGGGCACGAGGTTGGCTGCACTTGAGGAGCATGACTTCGAGGCTAACCTGCAGCCACGCATGTATCACGCATAAAGCCATACGATGTTGATTGAGTCCCCATGGATGAAGGATCAGACAGCCGCAACTGCAATAATGTTTCCGGGAATCACACATGCGTCTGCTCATGGCTTTGTTTGCTATATTTTCAGGAGCTTTCTGGACGCGTTGATAATGTGTAATCATTAGTACCTAGCTAGACTCCGCGAGGATTATCTCATAGCCGTGTAATTTGCTACTCTGCCGAATCAAACGACAAGTCTAGTGTGAAACAGCGGAAGTAGCATATACTGGTCTTGCGAGAAGTCGGCTTCTTGCTCGAGTTGTTATTATCCTTACTTATTCGGCACTTTACCCCGCACATATGTTTGGCAAGGGCTCATGCGCATGTGAACTGGGTCTCTGTGCCCAAGCGTTCAATACCGTAGACGTGGTATGGCGGTTTTCATGCCGGATACTCTGGCAGAGCAGGCAGTGGTTTACGGATTGTAGATGGAACAATACTGCGAGTTTGAGGTGGGAACCGTTGGCCGGAGCCTACATCGAGCAGTGGATCTGGTATAGGTTCCACTAGTGTATCTGGGTCCTGGATGGAATAATTATGGTCTGACAGAGCAGCACCGCCTGTGAGAAATTCACCCTCCAAGGGAGAAGGGGTTGTGGGAGTAGAAAGAGTAGTCTGATAGCCCGTGTCAGGTTCATTCCCAGCCACTTGGTCAAAGCCGGATGTTGTGACTGCTTCAGTACACCTGGCATCGTCAGAAGGATAGCGATTGTGCGCTGTGTCAGATAGAGGTGTGAGTAACCTCTGCGGAGCTACCGAGGAGGTATGCACCGGACCTGAGCTTGAGTCTGGCCGGCGACCATCACCGCAATCAACGTTACCTAAACTGCGACCAAAATTGTCGTATCCAGGGGTGTGTACACTGTTAGGATCGCGAGCTGTGGGTTGGCCAGGCAAGGCATGGTCGAGACCTGGTGACCGACCGAGGTCAAAGGAGCCAGTCAGGATGGGTTGCGTCATGGCTCTAGAGAAGATGACCAGCACAAGACATGACAGAAGAAGAATGGCCTGAACTATAGCCATTCGCTTTTGAAACACCACCTCATCAGCGAGAATATTGAGGCGTGAGCTAAGAGCCACAGTTTCTCTCTGTGACTGCTCACGCTGGCTTTCCAAGGCAATCACTGTCGATTGCCAAATCTGGTCATATTGCTGGCGGACATTCCGTAATTCAGAAAGAACGGTTATGTTGAGGCTGTCCAAGAACACATCTATTCTGGAAAGTTGTTTTCGCTCGGCCAAGTGTTGAATTTCCTGCAAAGAACGAGACTGATCTTCAATATACTTCAATGACCAAGTCATGTTGGCCTCGAGTAACTGTAAACGTTTGCTGACAGCTTTGAAAAAGCTTTCCTGCACAGTGGGGGAGGCGGGGGCCGCGGTCGAGTTGCTCTTGGTCCGAGACTGAGTACTGGCTTGTGAAGTTGCCTTAGTGGGAGAAGAATTACCACTTATTTCTTCCGCTACTGCTGAACGTGTGTCCGACGGTGGATTGTTTTGATGAGCAGCCACCGAGATTGAAGCTGCCATTGTAGAGGCGATGCTGGTTTCTGGGTGGTTTGCAGCAGCTGGTGATGACGATGCAACTCTTTTCTCTGGAGGATGACTATCGAGGTACCTGCTGCTGGGTTTTCCATTACAATTACTCCGAGTAGATTCAACTTGAACTCGCTGTTGTGCCCCGACTAGGTCTGGTGGTTTCATAGGCGCTGTGGTTACAGCTGTGTAAGTTCTTGGGCAGGTGGAGTTGTAGTTATCTCTGCCTAAGCGCCGGAACAGGTTACCTGGCTGTAGGGGATCAACAGAAAAGCTGTGTTCAACGTTTTTGATGAAATCCTCCTGGGGAGCGCGTGATGCATCACTTCGCTTGTCAAAGCTGTCGATAGTAGAGGCATCATCGACAACACCGGCTAACTCGGTGGATTCCACAGCTGCATCCTCGTCATCGGCAGGAGTCTCGGTGTCCTTCAAAGATTCCAGCATTCGAGTGCCATGAACCCGGAGTAAGGAGACAGGGCAGTAGTACTCATTTCCGTAATGGCTCAAGAACTCCACTCGAACATATTTTGCCCAAATGAGTGGGTTAGGGACGAGAAAGGGTTGGATATCGCGAGAGTTTTTTGCCTCAAAAGTGCCCAGGTCTTTCCATTTATCGGCTTTCACGGGGTATCTGTCACTAACGCTAACTCGGAATTGACGAATCATGCTTGAAAAGAACTCGAAATTGGCGAGCACAACAGTATCAACCAGAATATCGTCACTGAGTTCAACAATGACAAACTTGTTCTCTGCTGAACACTCCAGAAGCATGTACGAGTCTTTGTTTTCCACCAGAATGGCTTTGGCATTCTTCGCCCCTTGGTTTGTCTTAAGCACTGTTGCCCCGGCATCGAATGAGGAATATGAAAACCGTTCTTTGCATGTTTTGCCAGCATCCTTACTGCGGTAGTACTGGGTCCTCCCGTCGTCATAGAGAACGGGCTCTTGAGGGTCTGACGTCGCTGCATCGGTTGGGGATGGTTGAGGGGCCGACGCAATGTTGCTGATTTTCTCCGACACAACATCAAAATTAAGGTCGATCTCGCCATCATCGCCCAAACTGTCCAGACTTGAGCTTTTTGTGGCCCTTTCGTGTTCTATGGCCCGGTCGTGCGGCCTTCGACCCTTGAACTCAGACGGGTCCTGTCCGGCTTTGCGAAGCATCATCTCCTTCCAGTCTTCGAAAGACATGAAAGGTCTTGGGGTCGGTTCCAGTTCGCTGTAAGTATTCTTAGAAGACATTGTCGACGTAAGGCTTGTGACAGGATCGACCGCCTCATCCGGTATGGTTGTTATTTTGCCAACGACAGGGTGGGTTGTTCCATTTTCCCTTGACTGCACATCATCATGGATGAGATCGGTTGCGTGTGGTAGAGCAATGTTGCCTGGCCAGCTCGTTTTTAGACATTGCTGTGGCAGAGTGTGAGTGATGTAGTTTATCGTCTTATATGCGCATACACCAGTAGAGGGAACTCCGTGCTGTGAACTCGGGGTGTCTATTGACAGGCTTAATGAGTAACCTCCTAAGTAGCCAAAAACTACTATGCCCACGTAAAGCCGATTAAGCAGGGAGATAGACATAGTTTCGAGGTAGCATAGTCGTGTTTATACGCAGGTTGTTGAGATAGATATCTAAAAGGGATACTAATGCTTAGGTAAAAAGTAATAGAATAAAAGGCTAAAATATTTAATTAAGCTTATTCAATATATAAATAATAATAATAATAATAATAATAATAATAATAATAATATAATAATATATAATAATAATAATAATAATAATAATAATAATATAATATAATAATATAATAATATAATAATAATAATATAATAATATAATAATAATAATAATAATAATAATATAATAATAATAATAATAATATAATAATATAATAATAATAATAATATAATAATAATAATAATAATAATAATAATAATAATAATAAATAATAATAATAATAATAATAATATAATAATAATAATATAATAATAATAATAATATTTTTAAAACTATATAGTTTTAAGTTTAATAAAGTAAGATTAAATTTTATTTACTTTCTAAAATAAAATAAGTATAATATTAATAATTTAGTATAATCATAATTATATAAACTTTCTAATAAATAAATAAAATATAGTATAATAAAGAACTAAGATTTATAGAATGAATTAATTAAAGACTTAGAAACTATTAAATATCTAGTTAAATTCAATAATTTATATTATTAATAGATTCTACTTAAGTTATTAAATATAATAAAATAGTTTTTACTAAGAACCTTAAGAGTTTAAATTAAATCTAAAGCTATATAAGTAAAAAGATCTTTATAATAATAATAAATCTATTAGTATTATTTATAAATTAATAATTATATATTAAATATTCTAGTAATAGTAAGTATTAAATACTAAAAGACTATTATATAAGTAATAATATTATAGATTTTATATTTTAAGTACTAAAGTAATTTAGATTTTAATAATATTAACTATTATATAACGAAAATAAGCTAAATATATAAAAAAACTTTATATAATATTATTAAGAAATTAAGATTATTATTTAACCTTATTAATTAATAGAGTAAATTTTTAAAATATAACTTATAAAAAAACTAAAATAAAAAGATTATAGTCTTTTTATTATATTTATAATATATATACTTATTAATATAATAAAAGATTTATAAAATAGTTTAAAATAGAATATTATATTATATTATAAACTAGTAAACAAACTTAATATATTATAATAAATAGATAAATTTCTTTATTATAATTATAAGCTTTAAAAGTAAATCATAAAGACTTAAATAGAAATAAAACTAGAAAGTAATATAGAAATATAGTATTTATTATATATAAGCTTTAATACTATATAATAAACTAAGATAGTAATAATAACTTAATATTTATTATTATTTTATTAAAAAAAGTTTTTATTTAAATTATTCTTATTTAAAAATTATATTTTAGTAAGTATATATATTAATAAAATTTTAATACAAATAATTATTTTTTTTTTCTTTTGTTTTATAATATTATATTACTTTAAAAGAGTAGTTTTTAAAGTAAATATATTTATTTTAAACTTATTTATATAATATAAAGATTATAGTATATACTAAGTTTAAAATATAATAATATAGTTCTTAAAAATAATAATATTTATATTTTAAGGTTTTAATAGTAAGTAATATTTAGTATTTTTTTATTACTAGTTTAAGTTTAATAGCTTTTTATAATAAGTATTATATAAGAATACTTTAATAATTTAATATTTATTTATAATAATATTAAATTAAGTTTAAGTATATTATTATATAATAATTATAATAAGATATATTATATATATATATATATATATAATATATAAACTTAAAAAATATATAAGTATACCTAATTATTATATTAGTAATAAAATATAATAAGTATTACTAGTTAAACCTTATATTAATCTTAATTAATAAATAAAAAAAGTCTAATATAGTCTATAAGTAAATAGGTTATATAGTATGAGGCTAGATACTTTAAGGCTTACTTAAATATTTACTTTTTTTATGTAGTATTATATACTTTATAAAAGGCTAGAAGGAAGTCTTCTTTATAATATATATAATATATGTTTATATTAGACTTTTAATCTTTTATTTTATACTTATTTTAAAAGATTAAAATACTTAATATTAAAAGGCTAAAGCTTATATAATAAGTAAGTATATATAAAGTATAATAATCTTATATTTCTTATAGTATAGCTTAAAATTAATAAAATAATAGCTTTTATAACTATTAAGGATAAGGAGGTAGTAAATACCTTTTATAACTTTTTATATAAAAATCAAAATACTTTATCTATTTTAAGCCTTTCTTCTTTATTATCTAACTATTTTCTATAAGTATAATTACTTAATTAAATAGGAGGAGGTTATTATATATCTAGGAGTTAAGGTAGACTTTACTTATAAAGATAATATATAGTAGAATAGTATAGCTATATAATTTAATACCTTAGATTATTATAACTTATTTAATTCTTTTATTAAGCTATTTTTAGCTTACTATATCGGTTAAGGTTATAATAACTATTTTAAAAGAGATTCTACTTATTATAAATCTAGTCTTATTAAAGTTATAATATTATTATTATATATTTTTATTTCGTAATTATATTTTATATAAGGGAAAAGTATATATAATATGCGTTTAGATCTTATAAAAGACTTTTTAATAGTTAATTCTTTAATTAAAACGCGTTTAGAGTTTAGGTTATTATATATAAAGTTTAAGGCTTAGTTTATTCTAACAAGTCGTATACTATAGTTATAAAAAAGCTAATTAGCTATTTCTTAAATACTACTTAAGTATAATGGAAATAATAATATATCTAGATTAATAATATATTATATAATACTTTCCTTTTATATAAGGTTAATTTTTTTTTAGTAGTTAGATATATATTTTTATAGTTTAGCTATAGAATCGTTTTTTAAAGGTTATTTAAGATACTTTATAAATAAATATAGCCTTTTATATGCTTAATTTTAGGTTAGATCGAAACGTATTTAGTATAAGAACTAGACTGCTTTTATTTACTTATTATACTATAGTTATTAGTAGAGAAAATAGGAATAAAGATTAGAACTATAAAAATATTAAAAAAGTAACTTATTTACTTATATAACTTATTTACTTATAGACTATATTAATTTATTTATTATTAATACTATATTTTTTTTATCTTTAATAGTTAGAATAAGTAAGTAATGAAATTATATTTTAATAAAATTACTTACTTATTTTTATTTATTACTATTTATTATCTCTTCTTAAATGCTTTATAATAGTAATTAATTATTTTTATAAGTTATTAATTATTAATTATTTATAAAATATAATATAATTTTAAAACTACTTAATTTCTTTTTAAAAAACTTTTATATTAAAGACTATTATAAGTATAATAGTAGAATAGAATTTTAAAATAAGTCTTATATAAAAATAATAAGATTTTAATAATATTAGATTATTTTTTAATTAGTATAGACTTATATTTTAAAATAGTTAATATACTATATAAGTATAATAAAATCCATTTATATAAGAATATATACTTAAAAAAGCTTATCTTCTTTATTTAAATTTAAATTTAAATTTATTTTATATAATTATCTTATATATAATTATTATAAGACTTAATATACTTTTTATATTATATTTTATCTTATTTCTAAATAGTTATATAATATATATAAATAATATGATAACGATTAGATAACTTAAAAGTATTTAAGAAATATAAACTTAGAATATTATAAGAATATTAATAAATATAGATAAAATAGCTATATATTTAAAGATTTTAAGTTATATAGAATAATACTTTTATTTACTTATAAGCTTAATATATATAAAATTTATAGTTTAATATATAATTTTATAAAAAGTTATAAAGATATTAATCTTATAAAGGTATAAAAATATTATTTTCTAATTAAATAGAAACTTATTTAACTTTATATATAACTTAATAAAAAGAATAAAACTAGTTTTATTAATACCTTACTTTTTATAACTATAAAAGAAGTCTATTTTTTATATATATAATTATAAAGAAAGCCCCTTATTTCTTAGTTATTTTTTTATTCTTCTTCTTAGGGAGGAATTAAGATTTATAAAACCAAACTAAAATAGGTTTATAAATATTAATTAGTTACTATTTAATTATTTATATAATAAAGAATTATATATTATTTCTAATAAGGAATAAATAAGGATATATTACTTTTAGAAATATATTAGATTATAAAACTATAATTAGCTAGAAACCTTTAATTAAAAATTTATAATCTGTTTTTATTTCCTTAAATCTACTTTAATTTCTTAATCTTTTTTTTTTATTATTATAGTAATTAATAAAGATTACTAGTTATATCTAGTTTTTTCTCCCTTAACTTTTAAAATACTAACTACTTTATAAAGTAATTAAGACTTAATTATATTACTAATCTAATAGTTTTAATCTAAATTAATTATTTTTACTAAAATATTATATTATAATATCTTACTAATTATATTATTATTAATAGATTTCTAAAGCTAGTAATTATAAGAGTTAACTTAATTTAATCTTTAAGATATATTATAATAATTATTTTAACACTTTGATATAACTTATAATCTTTAAAGAATTAAACTATATTTTTAATATTTCTTGCTAATAAGCATAAAATATATAATATATAATTTTAATTAAGTATTAACTAAAGAAAAGCTATAAAATAAATAAACTTTCTTTTAAAAATATAATCGTGTTAATAAACGTTATAAAGCTTAAAGCTTTATTACTTTTTAAATATATTTTTAATTAAAAAGTATACTTTATTTTATTTATATACTTAATAAAACTTTAAAGTAATAAGAATACTATCTTCTTTAAGTATTTTACTTCATATTATAAATAAAAGGTTTAAATTACTTACTCTTAAGAATATTTTAAACCTATTAATCCTTAATAAACTAAGAGTAATAGTTAAAAAGCTCCTTAATTAAGTTATTAAGTTACTAAATTATAAGTAAAT